AATAAGGCAATTTCAACCGTAGCAACGCATGAAATCGATTTCGTGACTGTTAGCACATTGCGATCAATAAAACATTGCCAACTAACAGATTTCTGCTATACAATCAGGATTACCTGAAACGACTAACGAGAGACCGTGAGCTAAAAGCATAGAACACCTACAATGTACAGGTAAAAGAATTGCGAAATTTATGCCACGAAAATGCAAGGGAACTTAAGTTGCGATCCTGTTCCTCTTGCGATACTTGATCGGATAGTTTGGCTAACAATGGCCTTTACATAATTTTCAAGAGAGGGTTACAACATCTTACAATTGCATAATTCATAAGTGATAAAAGAGCGAAAATGATAATTATCTTAGTGTTTGAATGCATGTCCGAGAGTCTTCACACAGCTAGCTGAGGGTTTATGTTTTGCAAGTGGGGATGCCTCAGTAGTTTATCTGTTATCTTTGATTAAATTAAAGGTTTAGAGATGAACGCACTTGAACGCACTTAGTCGCCTAGTTGGAACCAAGCTTTGAGGGAAAGATCAATAATTAATTAAATAGGTCCCGGAAAAAATATCAATGCCAAATAATTTTCTATAATCCTTAGACAGCTAAACCTTTTTAAAACAGTATTTGATAAAACAAAGCATTTGAGTAGCTTTTTTCCTGGTGTATGCTGGTCCCAATTAAGATGTTTACCTTTTTGAAGACCATTAAATTCAATATTATTAACACTTTCAATTACTATGCCATCATAACAAAAATGACTTGTCGAAAACAACTGATTGAGCTTGATTGGTTCATTACTCAGGTAATTTTGCAGGTCAACAGTTTTCTTAGATGAAATGGAAATAGTCATCTGGTCATCTGCCTAGATTGTTACGTGTCCCGTATGCAGTGTTCATGGGATGCAGACTCTAACCCTCACAAAGGGGAAGGATGGTTGCGGTAGAATGACTGCATAAATAAAACACAGTAAAAACCAATATATGAGCCTTGAGAGACACTCCACAATTTAAGTCACTGATTTCAGAAGAAAGGATATTAACTCCTCAGAGCACATGCATTGTCATGTACAACTCGGGAATTAAAATTATTAATTTTAAAACCTCTCACCGCTATTCATGCAGGAACCTCTATTGTTGCAGGAACTTTTTCATTTGAAACAACGTAGCCAGACATCTCTCCAAACACAAGTATGGAAGCAAATTAGTGAAGGCAACAAGAAGTGAAGTGAGAACCAACAGAAATACGCATCTTCAAATTCACGTTTTCTCTCGATAGTAAGTTGCATGACACGTTTTCAAAAAGTTGCATACTGTTTTTAATCTTCTTTTTAACTAACAATGAAAGCAAATCATTTCTGTTTAATACAACAAACTTTAACACGATCGATCTATTATAAGATAGTACTTTGGTCAAAAAATGCGGTTCACAAAATTGATACTTGATTCAAACTGTAATATCTGCAGAGCAGTTGGTAAAAGAAGGGTGACACAAGAAAATACGTTTTATTCATATTGATCCAGCTCTTATCAACTACTTTACCAAAGTATATTTTGATGGTAAAATAGATCTAACCTATTACATCTAGAAGGTTCTAGTGCCAATAGTTCTGGGGGCAACAATCCAATGTTTCGAAGCCAGCAAAAATACTAGCTATTCAGCAGTTTTTTTAGCATTTTTTGTTAAATCAAGAATGGAATGAACATCAAACGGAAGTAAACATGGATCCTTGACACTGATTTACCTAAGGTGTACGAGACACTTCCATTCCCTTAATAATTATTTTTTAAATCAAGATGTCTGCTGACAATCATCCGTTTATCGACCTGCACGATTTATGGGGCATAGTTAATACGATGAACCAAGGTATAGGGGGGGGGGAGAGTGACAAGGGGTGCGTGTCAAGGGGTGAGTGAAGATAGGTGAGTGATGAGGGGTACGTGTCGAGGGGAGAGTGATTAGGGGGCTGCTTTCTGAATTTGATAATGTGAAAACTTTTGGATGTAAGAGGCCTTTTAGTTGTAGCATTGTGTTGTATTTTCAGTCTTTATGAAAGTTTTAAAACGTTTCAATGGGCGCCGTCCGTGGAACGTTTTGAGGAGCCAAATCCTTAGACCTCATCAATATAGATTTTTGATATTTCAGTTATTTGTGGCCAAACTTCTTCGCTACCATATTTGATGTCTCTCTCCTTTAGTGAGGTAAATAGGTGAATAATTAAACCTTAAAGGGTTTCCTTTCCTAACTTGAACACATCTAAAAGAAAGACAGTATTTACAAGAATATTTGTTTTCGCTCAGGAAAATTTGAAAGGCTTGTTAAATATCTGACTTGAAAGGATAAAGTTTTAGCTCTTGATAAAGCTCGAAAGAGAATTCTTGGTTTAGAGAGGTCCTCTCAATAGATCGGCTTTTGTGAAGCATTTTAGAGGACATGATCCCAAAAATATTGAAGCAAACGACGCCTCGTCTTGTGCCAGTATGGCTGCCCATTTGTTGCAATATTCAATAAATGTTTTATTCAAGCATATTTCCGATTTGATTCTAATTTTAATTATAAAACTCTCCATTTAAAGGAAGATTTGATGTAAAACATGTAATCAATACAACAAAATGCATTCGAAAATCTGTATTCAGTTCAATAAAACATATTCAGTTCAATGAAATGTATTCAATGCAAAAAATTTATTCTATACAGAAAATATGTTCAATGCAAAAAATGCATTCAATGCAGAAAGACATGTTCAATGCAAAATAATCTTTCAATCTAAAAGAAATGTTCACCATTACTGGGGCGAACGCGTTCGGCATAAAACTTAGAGCCTACACAATATCAAAGATGGACGAAGTGGAGGACGATCAGGAAGAGATGCATTTGAAAAGTTCCTTTTTTAATATTCTTGAAAGAGTGGAAGGAGATATTACAAGAATCTCCAATTTTGAAAGGAAAGGCGAAGATGGAACCTTTAATTACGCGGAAGATGGCTCACTAGATGATGAATGTCTCCTGAGTGGAACCCTAGTTACAATTGAATTGCTCAATTCAGCGATACAGTTTCTTTTTATCAACAATACACCGGTAAATATTAGTGTGAATGATGGAAGAGTATGCTCAGATCTAGAAAATATGCTCAACATGCTTAGAAAAAGTCAGGAAGATTTACATTTAAATTTGTCATCAAAATATAACACTTTTTGTGCGCTGAGAATTCCAGGAAAACGTGTAAGACATGCTGTATTCCAAGAAACATTGGAGGGGCATTTTGTAAGACATTCCAAAAGAAACATTGGAGGAATTGCGCGGTATGAATTTTTCCTAGAGCAGAATTGCATCAATGTTTGAAGTATCTAGGTGGACAATATCCCGCAGAGTTGAAGAATATGGATTGTCCCATCTACAGCCGTTCGGCGATGTTTCTGATGATAGGCTCGATGAAATCATTTTGGATTATGTCCCAAGGCATGGTTCAATTACTGGAGAGCCATAACCGGTTACTTAAGGTCAGTGGGGAGGAATGTGCAGTGCAGCAAAGATGAGTACGAAGCAGCATCAGCAGGGTGGAGCCTCGAGATGCAGCTCTGAGGTGGGGTGCCTTGGTGTCACGGAGGACATATAGTGTTCCTTGGCCAAATTCATTATGGCATTTAGACGGACATCATTCTTCAATTAGATGGAAGTTCGTGATACAATGGCTGCATCGACGGAAAGTCTAGAAAAATTATATTCTTGAAATGCAGCACAAACAATCTTGCAAACACTGATTTGTTACATTTTTTAAAAGGCATGGATGAAAATTGATTATGGACTTTGGCCATCAAGGATTCGTGTCGATTATGGTATAGAAAATGTGAGTGTTTGTGATGCCATGGTTGTCAAGCGAGGTTACAACAGCAGCAGTTTTATAGCTGGGTCTTCTACTTCTGAGGAGTTGTGATGCCTCCTCCAACAGATCAGCAGCCTTGTTGGTTATATCAGCTTTATAAGCCATTCAAAGACTCTTGACGTGTTGTGACTAGCAATGACCGGTTGTGACTCGAGCGGGTTGTCTAATAAAAAACGAAGCACATGGAAGAGACACGCTCTCCTCAGTCACTTCATATTGAACATATTTTCTACACTGAACAGCTTTTTAGCATTGAAGACATTTTTTACATTGAATGCCTTTTTGCTTCGAATATGTTTTTTGCATTGAACATATTTTCTGCACTGAAAACACTTTGTGCCTTTGCATTGTTTGCATTGAATAAATATTTTGAATTGAATACATTTTATTGAATTGAATACAGATTTTTGTATTTATTATAGATCTTACATCAAATCATCAAATTTTACATCAATTCTTCAAATGAAGTATTTCACAATTAAAACAAGTATTGAATCGGGTATTGAATCAGGTATTGCATGAATAACAAATTTATTGAATATTGCTACAAATTGACAGCAATAAACAGTCCTAGATGGCAAAAATCTCCTCGTTTTTGAGATAATTCTTTAAGGGGGTTTCGCAATAATGTTCAGAATCACATTCTACAGTAGCTCAGCCTCAGCTTGTTCTTAAGTTTTGACCAATTTTGAGGCACGTGTTCTTATAAAATTGTTCTTTACAGACAACAGGATTTCGAAGATAATTTATAGAGAGTGCGGGAAAATAACCGACCCGAGCGAGAAAATACCCTATCCAGTGTTGGGGCTGCGATGGTCCTCCTGGTGTGGGCAGTTTTCTCTCACTCTTCAGGTCCTCTGCACTTTGTGATGGAGCTGCGATGGCTCCCCTGTGTATCTGGTAAAAGAGAGGGGCAGAGCGGGTGAATGACTCGGCCTTGGGTGTTGGCTTGAAAGCACGACCCGATAGCTCAGCGGTAGAGCACTTGGCGTAAAAAATTGTTCTTATGAAACAAATATAAAATGTTATACGTAAAGGCTACCGTGACGAATCACTGAAGGTGCATACTTTTGAAGTGGCTGCCAATTGTTGCTTTTCAATCTCTAATTGCTCTTTGGCCAAATAAACTTTTCCTTTTATTTCCATGCTTTGTCTCTCAGCAGATGTTTTCGCCGGATCCGCGCTGTCTTTTGTTTGCAGGCAAGTTGGTCTCCTTTGTTTACCGCAATTGTTATTCATGAACATGTGCAGGTTTTTTTGAAATTCAAGGAAACTTTGTGCGAATCGGACTTGAAAACTCTGTTTTGGAACTTAGGAAGAGGTTGGTTTGCTGTGAAACCTCGAAACGGATTGAAATCGCAGAAATTAACCGTGAAGAAACAGGCGTGTTCTTAGTTGCCTTATAAAGTTTCCGGCGAACATTTCCTCTGCACTGTTTTGATTTTCACCTGGATTGTCTTTACGAACACAGAAGTAGTCTGATCCTTGTGACATTCAAGACAGCAGACGATAGGTTGAGGTTTGGAAGCAAAGTTTAGGCGAAACATCAGGACATTAGAGCACAGAATTTTCCTTTGCCAAGGCAAGTATAAAACAAATATTCGTTATCAGTCTTTGTTTATAAAGTTTTACCGTTTACTTTTTTCTTTCGTACGATCTAATTGACTGATTGTTGGCTTTAATCATATTTCTATGGCTTTAATAGACAGTGGAGTTCATATTTCGGATATTTTTACTTGCTTGAGTATGCACATTCACATAACACTTGGTGACATGATAGGGCCACATCGAAGCGAACTGCATTCGTGCGCAACAACAGTAGAATTTTACGGGGCAAATATCGCCACGATATGTTTCCTAGGCGAAAAGTATTTTATATTAGCAATTAGATTAAGTTTTATAAGCGTCACGATTGTAAAATTTCCAAAAAGCCCTTTGTCTGGTAATTCTATGTCACAAAAATTAAAAGGTGGAGAGGTTAGCTCGGGTGTACCAGAAGGGACACGACACGAGGATAAAAGATGTAGTGCTTTGGAATAGTATGGTCAGATTTGCAACTATTCTTGATTATATAAGTCTTGAACGGATGATTTTTATAAATTGTAAAACTAGACATCATAGAATATACGGTAACAACTATATGTTTCGTAAACATGACCTTTTGTTTTACGATATTGCGTTTTTTGTCTTTTGTTTTACGAAATTAATTGTCTTGGTTGGAAAATGAATGTAGCCGAATTAGACCAGACGGAAATGGCGGGGAGTACCACTTTGGGGCGGGGAAATTTGAAATCCCAGTTTGAGTTCTTTATGATCATGGGGGTATTGAATTGTGATGGTAAACGGGGATTTGCCGCTGTTTTTTGGGGGTAAAATGGAGGTTAAATCAAGATAAGTTCCTGCCTATCCACTGCAAAGGAGAAACGTGGCTAGAATGACGTTTTTAACAAAAACCTGTTCTAAGCTGTGGAATATAAAAGATACTATCGCAGAGGATAGGCAGGAACTTCTCCTGATTTAACCTCCATTTTACCCCCCAAAAACATCACAATTCAATACCCCCACATGATAAAGTACTCGAAACTGGGATTCAAATTTTCCCCGCCCCAAAGTGGTACTCCCCTCCATTTCCGTCTGGTCTCGATGGGCCACCCGTATGTACCGTAAAACTCTATCAAGACTCCTCCACCACATGTGCCTTCACTATAAAGTCTCCTTTGGACGCAAAAATTTGATATAAGCCCCCCTCTATTAAGCCCTCCTAGATTGTTATCTGATCTAACAATTGACCCTGATCATACGAAAATGATTACGTTATCATTAACCGATTCTTTATTGAAGCATGATAATTGATACATAGCCATTTTGTTAGGCTTTGATAAAACCTGCTAGTACTATTATTCCTTGTTTATCGTCGTAATGCAGAATGAGCATTATGTTCTAGTAAGTTACCTACCTATTCAACAAGCCCTCTCTCTTTTAAACCCCTTTCTGATTAATCACACTTAGCCTCACCTTCTGGCTCCATAGAACCCTTTCGGGTATGTTGTTTGGCTTTCCTTCTCTGTGCCTGTGGAGTGAAAGCAAAATTTGTTCGAACGATTGAAATTCGAAGAACCAAACATTGTATTGTTTAAGCATTTTGAGTTCAAAATAAGAATAATAGATATTATTCTAAAATGTTATTTCATATCTGTTGTTGTTATTAGTTTAAAAAGTAAAGAAAAGCCGACATGTACCTAAGAACACGGTAAAGGTCACAACAGTGCTCGAAAGGTCAACAAAGGCAAGGCTTTGTCTAGTTGATCTTGATCGGCTATATCTCTTGATTCCAAGTCCCAAATATAGTGCCTTGATTACCAGCCAGATTTTTATGCCATAAACAAAAACCTGAAGCCTGATTAGCTTTGGTGAGATCTTTGATCAACGGAACTTTATATAGCTTATTAATTGCCAATCCTATTATAATTAGGCTTTATCTCCTAGTCCTGTTTTAGTCTTAAAACGATTGTCAAAAACCAAAATCCCATTTAGATACCACTTTTCTTTCTGAAATTATGATGATTATAATGACAGTAAAGGTATTCCGAAAAAGTCTCTTTTTAGACAAATTTGAAACATTTTAGACCTTTTTCAACCCAAAGACATAGGATATATAAATTCTTAAACGTTGTGAAATCAATGACTTCACCGAAGAACCCCGCATGGCCAGGACCTTTCAAAAAGCCCCCACCCCTCTACATTTAATTGTTCATTAAATTTATTTTAGCTACTTTGGCTTAACCTTGTAAAACCGTTTTTAAAGGTTGAGTGGATTACCATAGATAAGAATGCTAAATTTGAAAAAAAATTACCACAATATTGAATAAAATCAAGCCGCGGAAAGGAAAATCGGCCAAAAATCGGACATTCGTCCTATCTTCGGCTGCAAAATGGTTGTTGCTGTGAAGTTACGCATGCGCAAGAATGGTGCGGCACGACACGACGGAGTTTCGCTCATACCGTAAATTCTCGAATAAGCCCCCCTCGAATAAGCCCCCATCGAAAAAGCCCCCGCCTAATGGGGGCTTATCCAAGGGAAGCATAATTGCAAAATAGTATCTTATTTCAAGAAAGCCCCCACAGGACATAGCTCTACAGTATGACTTCCTTTGACTGGAGACCAAAAAGCAAAAACGCGACTTTTGCGATGGTAAACAATTATAATATTTGTAAGATCTTCACACAGCACTTTGTAAATCTTTTAATGATATCAGTTGCTGTACTTAAAAGCTCGAAATGCGCATGTTTAACTTTTTTCCATTCAATAAAACTTTGAAATAAGCCCCCCCCCCTCGAATAAGCCCCCCCTCTCGAATAAGCCCCCACCAAAAAATTCACTTTTGCAAATAAGCCCCCGGGGGCTTCTTCAAGGATTTACAGTATGCCCGTAGATATGATAAGCCGTGCCAAGACAGATAAAAAATTATAATGTGAGATGAAGTAATAATACACCGAGTCGGCCCAGACAAGAGACCTTTTCGAAGATTACGACACAGTCGAACCGCGAGGGAAATCTGTTTTATACGAATCGCACCATGCCATAGCTGCTTAAACTGGGGAAGCTTTGGTCAGTTCGGCACAGCACGGCGTTTCACGACATATGAAACAGGCCTAACATTATCCATATCTTCAGCTGCCATCATGAAGAGATTCAATTTTTTTCAATGAAAACTCGTCAAGCACATTAGCCAAAAACTGGTTAAAAATTGTTTAATAATTTGGGATAGAAAAACGAATCAGTTTAGTTTGCATCTCTTAATGTTATCAGTTTTGATTTTTTTTGTGACTAGGACTAGTTAGAGTATACCCAATGAAAGTTGGAGAACGGAACTTTTTCGGGCTAAAAGTTCTCATATCCCCCTCTCTTATCTCAACAAGACTACCCTGGGTGCAAAAACCTCAGCCAAAGAGTGGGTTGGTGATAGGTTTGTTAACTACCTTTATAATTCTTGTGGTTTCTAACAATGCAATTTATATATTATTTCAGTTCTTTTCGCTCCCCTATTCTGGTTGTTATGCTAGAATGACGTCGACATCTCTTAGGGCCTGTTTACACGCGATCTGATCCGAACGGATCCGTACCCAAAGTGGTACGGATAGGCTTTGCGTTTGCAGGGGACATGGTGGATCCGATCCCATTTTGATCTGCTATCCGTACCCGTTTGGGATCGCTCTTGAAGGTGGTCCTGTTTGCATCCGATCCCAAAAAGGTCTTGTGTAAACGGTTTTGATCATATCCAAACAGGTACGGATCCAAAATAAGGGGGAAATGTCCATATCAAGGAACATTGTATATTGCATTTCTAGACTTTACGCCAAAAAGACAAGAAATTTATTGTTTGGAATCTTTCGACTTGGTTTAATCTCAGCTATTAAATCTTTTTTATCAAAATGCCAGCTTTTTCAAAATGAAAAAGAAATTTTTAATGGACCACAGAGCAGAGTTTTTGCTTAGACTGATAAGAAGACGGCATTACTGCTGAAAGATGCGCTGAAATATAAAGTAAACAAAACCCAAGGAGCATCTTATTGAGAAACAAAAAAACAAAGATATGAGGGCAGGGACAATAGCCTTCAATCGATGTAAAGGATCAACTATTTTCTCTTTTCTGAGGTTGAGTAATTGCCGCCAAAATTTCGCAATAGGTTTGCGCATACAAATCCGCGCATCTTGGATCCATACGGATCCGATCCTGTGTAAACGCAAATATTTTCAGATCCGATCCCATGTCAACACCCCCTCAAAAATAAGTTCTGTTCCTATTGGATCCGATGCTGGTTGGATCCGATACTGTTTGGATCCGATACTGTTTGGATTAGTTTCCAGAGTCAGCTGTTTTTCTTTCTTTTCAATTCCTAAATTTCCTGTCTTAGCAATAAAAACATTGAGCATCCTTTCTCTAGTTTAATAGCAATTGTTATATGATGTTCTTTATAATGACACTTAATTTGGTTCGTAACATTTGGTATCGTTTAGGTTTCATGGAAATTATAATGAAAAACACAAAGGCTTTATTTTGAAAGTGATTCAAACTCAAGAAATGGTCTATTCGTCTTTATCTCATTCATCTACCAAACAAACTACAATTTGAATATCTTTCTTTGAAAAAACAATGAGTTCCTTTTCGCAAGTACGTTTATATGTTCTCGTCTGCATTTGCAATAGTTCCATACATTACCTTTTTTCTTTTCTTTGTAATCTGCTTCCAGTCTATATTTCATTGCCATTTATTTCGAATTCACGGATGAATTCATCAGTAAGCAAAGTATGACCTGCTTTTGCAGAGGATGTAGGCTGTTTTTATGACAGATAACCTCCATATTTGGCTTAGATTTTTTGCCAATATTTAATTCTATTCTACAAGATATTTGCCAAAAACATTCTAATTCATTTTTCTATCACTGATAAGCTCAAATTTACCTATAAATATACTTTATTTTGGTACAATTATGGGAAGTTACAAAGATACAGATACAGAAAAATTTAATCATATAGGCTAGTTAAAATAAGGAATAACCCATATAGATAAGAAATAAGGAATAAAAAGCCATCGAGAAATTGGAAAAGGAAAAATGATAAAGGAGACTCTGTCGACAATCTCCCTATACATTTTTTCAAGTACAGTTTTTGTCTTTAATAAGCGCTGGAAGCTCTTAATGCAGTTTTTGCAGGTGTATTGTCTGGCAATCTTAAGACGTGTCCATTCCAACCTAATCTCCTTTTCTTTATTGCTTTGCTCCACTCATCAATTTTCGTTCTTTCCTATAGTTTCGTATATTTGATATTTTGTTGGGCCATTTGATATTGATGATTTTACGGAGGAGATTTCTCTAGAAGATATTTATTGTATATTCAAGCTTTTTGGTAAGGGCCCACAACTCCCTGTTATACAATAATATGCTCTCTACGTGACCCTTAAGTAGTCTCATCTTGATGGATATTTGGACTTATTTACTCTCTAAAATTTGTTTCAATTGGTTGTAAGCTGATGTTGCTAAGAATTTTCTCCTGGAGATGTAATTTTCTGTGGCTACAAGGCTTCCTAGAAATTTGCATTTTTGCCAGGAGTCACTTCCATTTCTTTCAATTTTATGTTGCTCTGTTTTCCCTTCATTTTTTTGCAGGTTCTTTTTCTTCAAAATTGAAGGTACTTGTTTTCTTAGCTGAAGGACTGTCTCATCTTGATCTGTGATCCAGCTTACATCATCAGCATATTGTTGATCTATCATTAGCATTTTAGTACTATCTAAGTGTGGTGGTTTTGCTACTGTTCTTGTTGGTTTTAAAGCCTCTGCTACGTACAATATGAAAAGGATTGGGCCCAAACAGTCACCCTGTGATATCCCAATGTTTGTAATAATGGCTTCACCTGTTATTTTTCCATTTTTTACTCTCAGACCTGTGACCACACAACTCTTGAACTTCCTGCCAGGGCTTTAGGTGATAACGTGCATGTGCAATGACCCTGAAAAGGGGTTTAGTGCATGTTTGGAGTACGGGCATGATTCATCTCCAGAATAATGGTAGCATTTTTACGCTACCCTCTTGTTTTTTTAAGAATCAGTAAATTCAAGTTCAAGCTGACTGTTCTTGATTTTTAAAAATCTGAGGCTGGATTGTTGTTAATTTGTTCTTAGATTAATAGGTTATAAAGGCAGTGCGATTGCTAGCCTTTCCACTCTAGGGAGATGTTCAGGCATCATTTGCCAACAAAGTGAATGAGACAACCTTCATTCGACAAGCTGAAATGTACACCGAAAAAAAACCCACACATGGCTAAAAATTATCGTTTTTGTGATGAAGCGTTGTTCAAAATTGCATTTTACAGTAGCTCAGCCTCAGTTTGTTCTTAATTTGTTATTAACTTTTGACTTATTTTGAGGCTCGTGCTCTTATAAATTTGTTTTTTATAAAAAGAAAAGAGTATAGATGTACTTTGATAACCAGGCTGGCTGCCTCCATGCGAACAAACCCTCGGTCTGGGGTTTGCCAAGTGCTCTGCTAATCATACACCGTAATGGATTAAATGTGTCGTTGGAGCCTATTAAATTATACCAAAATCGTGATTTCACATGTGTGGACTGGATTTTTCTTGATTTTTGCTGCAAAATCAAGACATGCAGCTGCTTGCGAATCGTTTGTTTGTCTATGAAGTGCTCTTTCTCAGCAGGGCCAATTGCTTATCGAGTTTGATTATTTTGACAATGAATTTCTCGTTGCAGGTGAAAATAGAGCGGTCCGTGTACACTGGATTGGTTTAAGCTTTATGCAGCCTTAGCAGTTAGTTGCACCTGCAGGTCCTCAGTGCAGAACAACAAAAACACTCTTTGCCAGCTCTGAAAATTCTACGAGCAACACACTCAGGCTGAATACGAGCAAGTATGATTATATTGTTCTCATCTTATGCTCTCTCTCTCTTTATGGTTTCATAAATTTCGCATTCCTTTTTATTGCACTTCTCGCAGTATTGCGAATTGTTCTGACTGTCTTGTTGATAAAACTCGAGCTGGTGAAGCAAGGCTTTTGCGGAAGATAGTCAAAACACAACGAAATCTTAACGGTGCAGTGACCTAAAAAGCTCCAATTTCTGATGTGTTGTAAAATAGATTGGCTTTATTGCATTGACTGTATGTTTATAGAAAATATTTAAGCCTGAACGTCGTTGCAAAAGAGTTTAAAACATGCAAAACAAAGGAGTTAAGGTTTCAAGTTTTCAGGCCACTGTAAACAAGTGTATTTGCATACACTTTCGACTTTTAGAAGACATGTGTGATACAATCTCTTCAAGATTTCGCGAGGCGCTGAGTAATCCTATTTTAAACTAAACGTCAATAAAAAATTGTGAGCATAGTACCGCACAAAACTTCTTTACCAAACCTTCTTATGGAATAATGTATTGTCAAGTGCATCTTACGGAACATAACCGTGTCAACAATGCTCTATCGCAACAGCCTTGTAAAGAATAAAGAAATGCACATACCCAAGCAATGACGTAGCAGGCTTGAAGAATTTCTAATAAGAGAATCTTAAACAGCAACTAAATGTGACTGTTATCATCACTTTCAATTTCCCTCTCTTTCCAATATCATTTTCATTGCTTCTTTTGTTTTTATCAAGGAGTTTATTGACACCCTGGGTCTTCTTATTTCTCCATAAAACGTTTCATGCCATAGCATATCCGACATTCATGCATGGAAATTTCTAGATGGCCTATGTTAGATTACTTCACAAGCTAGTCGTTGGATTTTGTTATTTTAAATCAGATGGACAAACCTGTGAAGTCATAAAATTGTTGATAATTTAAGGAAATCTGCCAACAAATTTTTCTTTTTTCCACACATTTACCCTTTCATTAAAGTTCATAAAATACTTCTACAATTGGAAAAAATTATAACTCTTACAAATCGACCGAAAAACAACAAATTAAAAAATTATTCTTTCTTCCTAGTTGACAGTTTCATAGTTTATAGAACCAAATATCAAATATTGATATCCTGATGAAAAAGCCTCACTTATCACGTAGTCGTATATCAGCCATTGTGCAAAATGTATAACTGGTTTGCACATTCAAATATTTCTTAATGATGCTTCAGATGGCCTAAATCCAAACATTTTAGAAAAAAATGATTTTATTAACTTCATCACATCAAATTATTAACTAATTTGCCAGGAAGAGAAGCTCGTTGAATCGTAAATTACAAAAACGAACAAAGTCTTTCTCCTCTTGAACATTATGGAAAAAGGAAAATATAAGAGATTTATGAAAATTTCAGATGAAATAAGAAGAAGCAATTTGACTGTAGATATAATGAAAAATCCTCTTATATCCTATCTTTCTGTTTGTTTTCTATCAGCCATTTTCTTGTATCATCAATGTAAGAAGTCTTAAGCAATTCAGCAACCTTATTTTGCATTGTTTAATCATTTTATTGTTTAATCTAACATTGCCAATCTCCGAATGATAGCCTAAAAACTAAAGGATGCGTGTTGGATAAAATGCTGACACATTGGATTAGGGCTTTAGCGTCATTTTATCCATCTTTCTATTGTATTTACTTTACCTCCGTCCCAAAAGCAGGACATTCCACAGAAATTGAATGTTTGGCATTGTCCAAGGATATGCTAGCAATGACTGTCCGGGGTTTAATCTAACAATTTTTCACAATGTACTGAATATACTAAAAAAAGAAACTTACGAATTATTTCTGTATTGGAATAATATTAAAATTTGCTACGTGGATTTGAAAAAAACCTCCATGTACATTTGACTATTGCAATGACAATGACTGTGACAATAACAATGACAACCTTATCATTTATCGAAAAAAACTGCATGTAGATATAGTATTTGAGAATACTTTGTGCCCTTCTGAACGGGACCCTCTGAAAGTTACTGCTATAAAGTTTGTAAATATATTTCATTTGACTGATATTATATTACCAATACATTTTCAGTTAATTGTTACAATTATTTTTTATAATGCCTTGATAACGAAATCACTCCCAAGTTTTCTTATCAATTAAGAGATGAGCCATGTTTCTGCAAGGTTAAAGTGCTCCTTCACCTTAGAGGGAAATTATTTAAATAAAAGACCAATAAACAAAGAAAGCTAAAGACATTTTTCGGAGTGCCATTTCAAAGGAATTCAAAAATATAGGGGTTTTATTTCACACTCCTCATGATGCGACGCAGATGAGGTGGACTGGGAATGAGCCTTAGTTACGTCATACCGGGAACCCGAATTGGAATCGTATTTAAGAAGACCGTATCTATGCGTACGTTGTTCAATTTTTCCATTACTTGTATAATGTCCTTTTCCGAAAGCGATGTGTCTAATACAAGTGGTAGTTGTGGTTATGAATCTGAAGAAAACTATGCTAGAGAGGTTGGAGGTTGCAAGGAAACAGAAGCCTGTTAAACGAGACGATTCTTATCCATCCAATTAATATTCAATCGTGAATATAAGCCACTAATGAATTCTTATCTCTCAGTACCTTGCTATAAAGCAACCTCGATCTAGATATGATTAAATCTCCGTCTTAAATGTAGCTCAAATGCAATGATCGGTATTTTATCGGATCAAGAAACCCGACCAATTTTCTATGCTACAAATATAGGCCCTAGACGCACCGAACAAGATTTCAGGAAGAATTTCTGACACACTTAACCTCTGTTGTTCATAGAGAAAAGGGATTAAGCTTGTTAGTAAACAAATGCTGATTTTCCAGTGCGGCCACCCAAATTGCCACTGAACCAATTTCATTAATCCCTCAGAGGTTCTGAGCTCTGGAAAACGGAAATGTTTAGCAATTAATGCATTTTTCTGGTGCCACACAAAACCCAAAGTCAAATCGTTCTTTGTTACATTAGATTGCCTAATAACACATTACATTAGCCTAACAGCAAACAACCACTTTACACGCGAACTGCAGCGCGCTCGAATTTCCAAGCGGTAATCGGATTATCAATTTTCCATTTTGAAAAAGATAATGAGTTTTTTGTCAAAAATCAGTGCGTATACAAACACAGCACCAACGAACAAAGAATTCATGAAGAGGATACCAATGCTAGAATTATATTTCTGGCCCTCGTTATTTTATTTATGTTATGAAATCAAACAATTTGTTTTAAGAGAGAGTCAAAGCCAAAAATTTTCTTTATGCGGTTATGTGGCAAGGATTTTACCGCTCTTTTACGAAAAACCAAAGCGACAAACCAAAGCGTCATTTTGATAAGCGTTTGCTAAATATTTCATGACCGTAAATACGTATGTTGGTTGCAGTAGTATTTAAGAAGTGACGAAATAGATATGGTAGCATAACCATGCTGTTCAGGATGCTTTCAAATCAACTAGCCACAATATAATTTTCTTTCCAGTAAAATGGGCCTACATGTCGACGTTTCAAATCTCAGTCCTGAAGAATGCTTCCAAATCGTCGGTGTTATTGCCAAGGATATTGCATTGAGGAAATTCGACCAAGAACGAGTTAGGTAAGGTCTCTTTGTTGACATCATTAAAGGCTCATGCGGAACCGGAATTATTTGCGAATATATTTTCAAAACCGGCCTAATATCGTATTGTACGAAAATACAAAATACCGCTTAAGAACAGCCACTGCAAAGCATCCCGGTTTCACAAGAGCTTTTAAGTCTCTCGTTATTATGTTTGGCCTTGATAAACAAAGAGTTTTTGTAACTGGAATGGAAATAAAATCGTACTAAAGGCACTGTAGCTAATAAAGCCGCCAGCAATACAACATTGAGGTAGAACAAAAAGTTCAAACATTGCACATCACCCCAGTATCAATACTGCATACAGTTGAGGGGCAAGCGTTCCCAGTGCTTGCACGGAATCATGGGAAGCATACTGTTTCTAAGGAGACTATGAAAGGCCCGTCAAATGATATTTTCTTCTGTGTATACTTTTTGTACTAGTCGTTGGCGTATGCTACGTCAAAAAGCTCGATTGGATTCGAAAAAGTAACGAACTTCTACAACTAATATCTCTGAAACGGGGAATGCATTACCCTGTAGACCATATCACTATTAATCTACACCACGATCCTCTGTCAAGTCTTTACAAAATAAGTAAAATGGGATGAGGGGGCTCATGACTAGTCTACACCACTTTGCAGATGACTTTGTGAGTCTGAGGTCTTGTATTCAACCATAAGGGTGCAATGAAAATGGAGTTTTTTGAGGTAAAAGGGGCTCAGGATAGAATTTTACTACATAGATCTTCCAAAAAATCGAAGTTTTCTGAGAATCTGATAGCTCCCCTGTCCCTCCCCCAAGCCACTGCACTCCTGGTCAATCAGCCTTTGTGTCTAGAAAGAAGACATGTTGTATAAATGTTATTCTGTTTTATTGGTAGGAAACTTCGCAAAGACTTCGATGAGCTGAGACGATCGATCACTCTCAAATCTTCAAAGCGTCGTTCGCTAGACGACAACTGCCAGATTTGTGGGAAAATGCTGTTAAAATTCTGCTGTTTGTTCAGCAGTGGGGAGAGGTGCTTATCATGCGAGCATATGGCGTGTTCTAAATGTAGGAACAGTCTGTTTGATCTTTCAGAAGAGAAACATTATCTCTGCTTTTTATGTGTAAAAAAGCGGTAAGCCTTAAAATAGTTTGTTCTTCCTTCGTTTTAAGGAAAGGGATTGAAGAGTAGCATAAGTGATTGGTACGAGAGTAAAAATTTTTGTCGATGAAGAGATCAGGATAAATCTATTTAACACTAATTTTGAGCTAAGAAGTGTTTAGAGGGGAAGCTTGGGTATGTGAAGGGGCTACAGAGCAAAACATTGACTGATGGGATTGATAAGGAATCGTTCAATAATTGCATGACGGCAAGGGAATGGGTCCATTTTTAGTGAAGAACGTTTCGAAAATGTTAGGGGATGGCGGGATGTGATGTTATTGATAAATGTCTTTACGTACCACTGTAATCCGATGCTTTTATCAAGGAAAATTCTATGAAATTTCATTTTTCATTTTGCCTGATTTTATGCTTCACAATTTCTTTAGATGCCACTTCCTCTTTTATTCATTCTATGTTTATTGAAATGTGCGATATTTTTCTTTCTCTTCTCATTTGGCTTTCATACTTCCCCTTCTGCTTACTTGTTGGTACATATGGGGTTTTTGGTGCAATTTTCGACGTTTTGTTGCTAATTCTCTACTCTTTTGAAATCTCCTTGACATATTCACTTACTCTCTCACACAACTTGGCTTTCGTTCCCAAAGATTATATAAACTTCTTCTTGCTTCACAAACTCATAACCTGTCTTCTTCCGAAAGTAAAACTTGATCTCAGCACACTAACTTAGCATCTCTCTCTTTTCCTATGATTTGTTATTTGCCTTTGGACCTCTCCCTAATATTAACGCCTTACAATGCTCTTTTACTCAATGTACCAAACCTGTCCTATACGTTGTTATCGTTAAATGATTCAGGAAGTCAGAGAAAATTTATGGTACATGAGAAAAGTCTGTTAAAAATGACAAAGAGGTTATCAAAACGGGTGGATTGAAGCCTTGTCAGCCCCATCTCCCCGACTGTTAGCCCTCGTGAATTCTTTATTTAATAATTAGCAGTTGTGGGTACTTGTTTAGAATGTTCCTTTAAATTTTCAGACAGTTGAAAAGAAAATGCTTCGACTGGTTTTACGAGGCTGTCGAATTAAAGTTTAAAAGATTCGGCAGTGCAAAGGTGCTCAGGGGGATTTATAGAAGCCAAAAAGGTTAGTTTGCTTTCTAAGGTCGTTGTTGCTTCTATTTTTTTATAAGCATCCGCATTATTAACGTCAAAATAACTGCTTAAAGTCATAATTGTACCCAGAAATATCTTGATTTCTCTTTTATTGAAGACATAATACATTTTGTCACATCTAACATATTTCATACCCTCTGTCCAATTTTGAACACAACTTTTTTTGCTTTAAGTCGTAAAGCACAACTTTTTTGCTATATTAAAGCAAAATTAACTAATTAATCTAATTTATGCAATGCTCTTTTAATATATGCATAAATCAACAAAACAGCAGGCATCGTATAAGACATATACTTGCATATTTTAAGGACTAATTTAAAACTAAAGATGTTTTTGCGTGCATTATAAAACAAGGCAATTGTTGCATAGTGCTTGCATTTTAAGTATGCATTTGCCATTTTAAGTGCTGGGATGAGTTTAATTTACTTTTACCTAAGTCATAGGGTCTATTGCTGCAGGCATTCATATTTGGCTTGCAGAAACCGCTGAATTATTGCACACTAAGGATGCGTACGCTACTGAGCCGAATCAAGTAACACTGTAGGAACAGACCTTTTAAAAACAATTATGCAAATGATACTTTTTTTTATTTTACTTTAAAAAGATTAGTGATATATTTTGTATCAAGTGTTTCGTCCCTATGAACTTCCACCCCTCTCTGTCCCAGGCAACATGCCACCCCTCATGGTTGAATTCCTTGTACTTTTTCAATACATGTTCAATTTCAAGTAAAGGGTATTTAATCTTATTGTTTATTATATACGTGTCCCTTGCGGTAGTCACTTTATTTGCGTGACGTCACAGCATTTTCATTCCATTTCGTTTTTGCAGCTGATTCTCGGGTAAGTAACCTGCTTGCAGTGACGCGAGAGATGACTCTTACGACTGTAGTATACTCTAAGGCAAGGCGCATGTCTTCGCTGAAGGCGCCTTCAAGAAACACTAGTTTTATCAGCAGTTCACCGGGAAGCAGCAGCATGTCTGAGCAAGAGAAATTTGAGAAGAGAAAGGCGACAAGATCAAAATCGACGGAGGACCTTGGAATCATTGGCCGGTAACATCTTATTTAAATTCTGTAAACTTTAGCACAAGAAAAGTTTATTTTCTTGTAAACCAACCATCATACCCTGTCTTTGACGTTTCAGACGGGGCTTAGAGAGAACTTCAGTGTTAATTTTTGCAAACGAAATAGAAAAGTCTTTTTAGTGCCTCTGCAACTCTTATAAAAGTGTCCCAGAAATCAACGCCAATTTTGTCTAAGATGTGATCACATTCATTAAAAAGCCTCTTAAATTGTTTGCTGGCTGTGTTTCGAGAGAAGGCTACTTTGTAATGTAGAAAATTAAATGGTTAAATGTCTCAATTATGGATGCCACAAAAAACATCAGTTTGTTCTGAATATTTCAAAAGAATCGTATTTGACAGTTTCCAACTCACGTTTTTACAGAGGTCAAGGGGAAGTAAAACCAATAAAACCACGTCATCGGAAGATTTCGGCCCCAGCCTGTTTTTGGATGGAAGTGACCCCAAAGGAAGCGGATACTAAGCCTCTTGAGACGATGGAAGAAAAAAGCCGTGGGTCCTCAGAGGATTCAGATCTTGACGCGAAATCTGCTACGCAGACGATGCCCTCGCCTCTTGCAGAAGAAACATCATTTACACTAAAGATTTTTGGGGAAGGTTGGTGAAAGTAATTTGTACATAATTCCTCGCCAAATTAGCGTTCATGAAAGGCAGCGCTCATGTCTTTTCTTAGTTGAAACTAAGATTCAATGCGACAACCTTTGATTGTTTTACAGATCCTACTTCGTTACCTATATTTTCTCTATAGGAAACATTTTTAGAAATTTTGTTGTCATCGATTCTCGAACGACGAAGATAAGGAAAATCTTATAAAATCGACTTATAAAATCCTAAAGGTTGAATAAAAACCTATTCGAATAAAAAACAAGTAATGTATTTTTAATTTTTTCAGCAAATATGACTTTAAGCAAAACAGATTTTTACCTCTACCATACAAAGTCGGTTGAACTTCGAGAAATCATCAAGAGCATTAAGAACAAATTTCTTTATCTTATGTTTGACATTAGAAAAAACTCATTTTAGAGCAAAGGTCACAAATCATCTTCCCATACAATCGAATTTTTCTCCTACTTTCTGCCAACACTCTTTGCTAATTGCCAGAAGCACATATCAAGGAATGCACAAAAATCGATGTTCACAGTAAAAACGTGTCTTTACTGTGTGAAATATTTCAAGAGTCAGCCGTATGCCATTATCGCTTTTTGAAAAACACCACATCGTATTCACAAATAATCAATGATAGGCGAGTAAGTCTTGAGCAAGCTAAGCTCCACCTATCGAGTCGTTACACGTCTTTAGTGCTATGAAAGCATGAATAGTGAACTCCAGTTAACTTGTGGAAATTTTTTTCACATTTCAAAGCTGGTTAGAGTATAAATGCTGTTTTTAAAATTTTTTTTCCAAAATACCAACATTAACCTATTTACCTGTTTCAAGAAGTCGTTCTTTACATTTCAGTGCAACACAAATTTCACAACAGGTTGATATAAACAATTATTTCTGTATAGTGGCTAAGTTATGACTTCAAACGACCATATTTCTTGAGCATTCAACTTAGACCATAGGATTTCGATGGACACAATAAACTAATCCCTAGATATGCGAAAATAATTACATGTGTTTCAAATTGGCTGAGATATGGCCAAGGAATCGTCTAAACATTATTAAAAGACCATTGTTTATAAAGTCTGGTTTATAAAGTTAAGCACGAAGACCAAACCACAATGATTTGATAATGTGGGAGCTTGTGCTCAATTTTTAATGTGTCTGCCCATTCTTGAAAGATTCAATTGTTTTGTAACATGCAGGACAGTTTTACAATTCTCCTTGAAATTTAAATTTGAAATTTGCTTCAAATTTCGTATATGTTCAAATTTGAACTCTAATACTGGCCTTTAATGACTGCATAATTTAGCCATTTAGTTTTATAAAGGCTTAGAAATATTCTTGGTAGTAACCAGTAGTGTAGATAGAGGGAGGGAGTCAGGGGAAGAAAAAACCCCCTTGTTAAGCTAAACTGCTCTCTTTTCGGAAAACATCTGATCATGTCGGAATTATAATATGGTTTTCTACTTTTATCTAAATGTTACATTTTGAGAGGGAAGATTTTAACATAATATAACATAAGAATATCTGAAAATATCTGAATAAATATTTTTTACTTCAGTTCTGCTCTGATGTCGTTATGTTATGTTTAAATTTATGGCAAAGTAAAATTTTTTATTTGTCGAAAAAAGAAAAAATTTCTTGCCCCCCCCCCCTTCTTCCCTGTGAATTTTCCTATTTATGCCACTGGTAGTAACAAGCATCTCAGATACGAATTGGAGACTTTTGAATCCAAATTTTACTTTCCTCTCTTTTTTGTTTTTGAAAACATTTAAAAACATTGAAAACTTAATATTTAGTCTAAAACCTTTGTCTAGCAAAATTAGTCAAATACATCCATTCGAAGCAAGCTAAGATTCATAAACTACTTTAATGTCAAGCAAAGATTCATCCTAAAATCTCTTGCGTTCTATAGTTAGCTCGTGTCATAGTCTTTAGGTTCCTTTGACCAGCTTAAGATTCTTTGTTATGAAAATTTATGTATTTTTTTCTGCAATCTCCTTTCCATGCATAAATAATTAATTCTATAATGTTGACATATTAATGCTTAAAATTAACATTTGGCATTGTTTAATTCTACATCTAATTTCATATTGAAGATAAAAAATTAAATAAAACCGTCCTCTGAATTCTTTAACCCTTCAAGAGTTGATATTCCATTTTATCGACATAATTCTAAACTTTAGTAATTGTGTGCGTAATTGTAAGTGAATGCAGTCGACGTATAGGCTAGCCATTCTTTTTAAATACATTAAACTGAAGCTATCGTGGCGTATTGTGCAGGTACAAATAGTGTAAACTAGATATAGCAAATCAAATTCATTAATTATGATAAATATAGCAATGTTGATCAAAAGGAATACTAACTAGGTTAACTTCCTTTCTTTCTAGTTGAAGTTGTTGCATTGGCAGTGTTTGCATTAATGTTGGCAGTATTTCTGTCTGTACTCGCATGCATTGGGTACATTGATGACTTTCAAACAGACAGGTAAAATCAGCGCTACCTGTATTCCAAGTTATAACCAGCTTTCAATATTAACCAACTCTAACCAACCATAATGATAACATAAACATTTTAAAAGTAGTATTACATTAATGCTAACTATAATACTCTAAATGATAACTAACATTGAAATAGACTATAAAAGAACGAGGCTTTTAATGCATAATAGTTCTATCGTATTTCTGTTAAGCTTTGAAATGCACACAAGGTTTGAAGTGTAATCTGCTACTTGCCACTCCTAGTCGGCGAAAAGTAAAAATGGAGGATTTCATCAGATCACTTAATAACGGAGATGAAATATAGCTTTTCTTCATCTTTATTTTAACCATCAATACAGAAACTGATTAAAAGAGACCAAACAATGGAGAAATCTAAGAATTTTCTTTTGCATGAATCCAGCTTATGATACTAAATTTGGACAAGCAAAAACAGTTTGACTTACCATTCTCAGATTATGTCACTTAGATGAAATGTTCACTACTTAAATGCTATCGACTTTTATCTTAACAATCATGAATTAGAAGTCAGGTCTCCCCAAGTGGCTAGTTAAACTTGCTTAAAGTTGTAAAGGCATCTTTAGTCTGTGTTTCCACGGTTTCCACAGTGTTTCCACAGTGTTTCCACGGTTTGCTGAAGTTTTCATATTATCTGCATTTTTACAGCAACTCTTCATATCTGGGAATGTCTGCACTTGCTCGCGTTTGTTCATCAGCGACTTCTTGAATTACTGAAGTTTCAAATGATTTCTCTGCTTCTTCAAAGCATTTTGTCGTTCCTTGAAATGTTTTCGTATGGTCTAGGGCTAAGTCATCTTAGAGATTGGTCATAACTGGGGTTTAGGTGCACGTTTGTGCCTAACTACCGGCCTTCATAATGTCTGAGTTGTATCATCTAATGCAATGATGCCTTATAATGTTTGGCTTTATTTGCCAGTTGTTTCTTATATTCCCTGCTGTTTATGTTACTCTTGTTGACAAGGAGCATCTTATCTTGTTGAAAAACAATTTAAAGCTGCTACTCCGGGTTCACGGTTACCGGTTCACGCTGCAGGTTCACGCTTCTAGTTCTGTCATAGTAGTTCTATACGCCAAATAGCGTGTACAGCTCTGCCCATACGGCATCGAACACTTTTTGAAAGACCATTAAACGGTACTTTTCATTAGATGCCCAATCAGGCATCGAAGGCCGGTACTCTACTTTTACAACAGATCACTTTGTCCTAATTCCAATGCTATATCTTCTGCATAGCATTCTTTGCTATGCTAGTAAAAATGTCTGAACCGTCCATTATTGAGTATGTCTTATCATAGTGCTCTCTCTGATATTCTCCATCGTATTGACAACTGCAACCTTGGCTAAGACTTGAAGTTTTCAATCTTATTGCTTAATTCTAATGGATCGTTGTCCTTATGCAACATTCAAATCCAATTAGCCAGATGAAGGGAGAGCAGTTGATGTTGATTTAATATCATCGACAATCCCCACAACCATAAAGGCTTCTTTGATTTGGAGATAGCTATCCGAATAATTTCTGGCTAGGCCTGATATATATCAACATTTCCCCTGCCATATCTTAAAAATTTCTTAGCTTATTCTAGAACATTTTTCATCATCTTATCAGTATTTTCACATTGCCTTTGCATGTGGTTCCTATTATTACATTGTCTTTATCGAATGCTCAGTATTTTGCACAATTTTACGATGAAAACCTTTCTTGGGGCGGACATTACAACTCTGCATTAAACTACGAGGATCACGAGCTCTATTGCCTCTGATAAGAAAGATTTTTAACATACTTGTATAACATTCTTTAAATGTTAACATCTAAGTAAATTATATGCATTTATTGATTTTTCGCCGATTTTATTAATAAACTTGTTTATGTATTACAAAATATCAAAGAGATTTGATAGCTTTGCAGAAAATACGATCAAAAAATGCCTCTGAGTCAAAATTCTTTGACCAGTTGACAGTTACTCGTACTAAGGCCTGTATGTTTTGGGTTTCTCCGAATTGTAGCATCTTTATTACATAAATAAATCTTTGTCTCTTGTAGTGAAGAAGAAGATTGTCAGGCGGACTGATAGTTATGGGAAAATTTGATATCAAGAACATCCCAGGCCTCTTGGATTGCAAAGTATGTGTCATTTGCTGAACACATTGCAACAATTTTCAGTTACACCATGGACATTCAACATCCTTTCTTCGACTTCGAGCTATACTTGATCAATGCTCAGTTCTGAGGTGACTGATTACTGTCTATTTGAGTAACTTATTGTAGTTTTAGGCATCATTCCATTGTCATGAATGCTGCTTGATGCAACACGTGCAGGCTTTCTTTATAGCTGTACTTGTTGGGAGTATTTGAAGAGAACTTGACATCAAGCTAGGCGAGAAATGCTCAGGAACATCATGTTATCGTAGATCATTCCAAACTCATGAATAATCCTTTTAAGAAATTCAGTTTAACTGTCGCTAGCTAATTGTCAGTCCTGTCTTGACTCTTATTTTTGTTAAGAGTTGAGTGCTATCCTTCGCTGAGCTAAGATGCTTAAATTGTCATCTGAACGTCGTTTTCGTTTACTACATATTTAATACATTAATTTTTAGAGTTAATATTATCAATTACTTAAGATTAAATAATCCGCAAAAAATCACGTTATTCTAGAAGCTTAACCAATCATGTCAGCAATAATTGCTATTAAGTATTTGTCAAGACGTAAATTTGGTGACGTTTTGATCGCATTTAAAATGCAAAAATACACGAAAAAGCCCTCTTGATAAAGCTGTTAAAACTTTTTTGGTTAAGCACTTTGTGTTGAAAATAAGAATCCAACCTGATAAATCGTAAGGCCTTTATCTGAAATATTTTACATATTGTCCTCTCAACCATTTTTGTAACAAGACAACGCAATTGCCACGCATTCCATTTCAGGGCACACATGTAGAAACTTTATGTAGAAAAACATTGACCCAGAAATTTCTACTTGCACCTTTTAGCCAAGATCTAAGAGCAATCAGACTCTTAAAAAAGTACGTTCTTATTTGCAGGGATTTATTGCATATACGATACATTTAAATTTTAATACAATTTAGTTATTATTACAAAATAATGTGGAAAAAAGTAGGTGAATAACGAAGCATATGCTTGAACATATAAAGAAATCAAAATTGTAGGGATGACAGACTGCATAAATATGCGCCCATCCTACAGCTAATGGTGAGGGCCGCCGAGAGGTTTTGGAGGCTCTAGGGCAAAACCGAAAGTGGAGCCCCGTGCGAGCGGAGGGAGCAGGAAATTTTCGCGACCACGCCCTTCAGTTTAACTTAAAAAACATTTCATAATAGTTCTTGCAGTAATTTTTTGCAATCATTTAAAACTTTTTCAGGTATACTTTTGCTATGTTTATTTCCATTCTTAAGATGGAATTCATTACTTTATGAGAACTCCTAGACCTTGAAGCCCTGAGGCAATTTGCCCCCCCCCCCCCCTCCTCTCGGTGACCATGCTCATTGGCTAGAAGGACAGTTCGATATAAAGATTAGATTGCTGGAGTATGGAGTGGTTCAAATTTTACACACACAATTCACAGGGATTTAGGTATATTGGAAAAGTGTATAAGTAAGGATATGACTAACTTAGGAAATGACATGGAGGCTTTACAACGATGTGCTTGGTTTATTTTCGCATTAAATACCAACCATCTCTTAGCTGACTGTCAGTAAACATAGTGTAAGTCATAAAACGCTTAGCTATTTTCTCATTATGAAGTCTAAGTTCTCTTTTCTTATGTGATAGCTGATATCTCCTCACTTTAGGGTTGTTATAATGTATTTAAAAGTTTTATCTAATTTATTAAACATAATGAACTTTCCTTTTTCTTGTGTTTTTGTCAGTTTCACAGACATTCTTTTCCAACCTTATTCCTTTTATTATTTATAATTTCACATCTAATTTTTCAAACATGAACTGATCTCTATCTGGTTGAGAATTACTTAAAGTCTTGAGAATACTCAATAATTTCTAGCCATGATTTGGCAAAATTACAGTCAGCAAATTACAAATTTGTTGTACTGACAAATTTAGCTAAAAGACAACAAAATTCACGCAGCGTGTCTGTAGCTATGCACTGTGCCTAGGCCAAAATATTGCTTTGCCATGGCTTCATTAAATCACACACTTTCAATTTGAAAGCAGATCAGAGGCTAGACTCACTCCGTAAGCCTCTGTTTCGCTACTGCCTCAATTTACGATTGCTACAATACACCTTTTCACCTTTTCAAAGGGAACTGGGTCGAGATTTGGAGTGAAAGACCGCACGTGTTGTGTTGTGCATGTATATTGCGACTGTCAAGTGAACACTCACGTTGTTTCAAGTATTGCTTTATACGTCCCAGTGACTTGTCTCAAATCCAGGTTAAATAATTATTAGCTGGAGCTATACCTTTTTAATAGTAGCTACGACCATCCAGAAACTTGAAGCTTTGCTTATGAGGTAGTTGCAATGTATTTTATATCAAATTGAAAGCCTGAAAGGAGCGTTACAATGTTTTTCAGAAATGTGAAGGGCGTGACTGTGATATCCTCAATTTGCATACCCCGGTCTTCTGGTCTGGTGACGCAACTGTGTGACGCCGCAGATAACTTTTTTGTAATGGCTACTCTAACCTTCTCTTAAATTCCTTGAAGGATTTGTTTTGTGAAAACACGATATCTATCAAGCAAGCAAGCAACTGAGATAAAGTTTTGCAGTAATGAGACAGCAAATGCCTCACAGCCCGTTAGCTTGATGAACTATGTGAAATCATCGTGACACTGGCCCAGCATATGGTATGGTAATTCTGGCGAAAGTACCAGTTCCCAAGTAAAAACAGCCAATTGAATCCATTAAAAGAAGATTATCATGACATTTATTTCTATGAAAGGGTTTCTATACCTGGGTCGAAATGGTGTATGAAGTGGAATGTCGGTCCTCTACAGAAACGAATGCAGTTGCAATTCTTTGTCGCAGTTTCTTTCTTATCTCTGGTTGCATGAAAATATATACCAGTGGAATGCTTATGGCAAAAAGCATCAACAAAACGAAAGAAACTGCCTTGATATATCCTGGATAATAACTTAGATGCAAACTGATAGCAATAGCAACTTCTGGTAAAATCACGAGGAACACAAACAAACTCACAATTGTTACTGACATGGAAACAAGTCTCCGCTCACTACGGTACGTTCTTCTGGTATTGATAGATTGCCTGTTTAAATCTTTGCTTTGCTGAACAAGGGCATGGAAGGTGAAGCTGTAGGCGTACACAATGAAGCTAAGGTAAATTCCATCACTAATTGGAAACACAAATTTGAAGCTCACACCTAGAATTGTTGCCGGGTTTGAGAAGATAAGTGGAATGATACCGAATACCCAAGAAGACCAAGCAAAGACCAAAATCCATAGGATACGACGTTCTGTTAAAATCATCCTATATTTGAGTGCGTGTTTTACTCCAATTAAACGATCCATTGTCAGCAAAAACAAAAAGCAATACGCAGGCCATCTGGAGCACGTGCCAAAAAGTAGACAGATCTCTACAATCAGTGTGTTATCCTTCTTACCCAGTAATATAATAATGAAATAAGCAATCGAATTCAGCGAGCAGAAAATGTCAGCCAAACTTGAATGGATCAGAATTCGGTTTTGGTGTGTACGTTGCCTTTTTGCTCCATGTAGCAATGCGATCCCTAGCATATTCAATACAAATGCGCATACTATTAAACAAATGCCTGCTATTGAACTTACGATTGCGTAATTATCCATTTTTGATGCAAGGTAAGAGTTCAAAACAAACAATATTCTTCCACTTATGAACTTCTGATTACGTAATTCTTCATCTTTGGGGACAGATCACAGTTCAAAGCACACGACAATCTGCCAATTTCAAAGGCCGCTTCTTCTTAACCAGCATCTATAAAGTTCGAGCAGAAATGATGAACACTTTCCTCCTTCTTTTCCATAAAGTCACTAACCTTCTAAATAATTTGCATCAAGATTATTACCCAAATGTCTTTTTAAGGGTATTAGTTATTGAGAGGTTATCTTGAGTCTTGAGATTCTCGACAAAATGATCAGCCTTTTCATGATTTGTTTTAAAAAAGATGCATTTAAAGATGACTAAAGATGATTAAAGATGAAAATATCTTCACGAAGATTTGCACTGTTCAAATGCGATGCTCTTTGAAAAATTCGCCTTGTTATGAATAATTCTTGTAGAAATCTTTGTAAAATAGACATTAAACATCACTTTTGCAGTGGATGGATCTTCAGGACGTCCTCTAAAAGATTTTCTTCATTATTCATCCCTGGCATATACATTATTTAAGTCTATATTTCTTTAGATGATGAGTTCTTTAGAACCGAAGAACATCCATCCAAAGTACAGACCTTATCCCATAGATGTTCTTCTACACTGAACGACAAGGAGAATAAGGTCGTGACATATCTTCTCCTTCGATCTATGTAACGTCACCCTCTAAAGCTCATCTTGGAAGATATTCTGGCACAGATTACTTCACATTTGAAAGCACCACTGAACGCTGACACTACATTACTTGAAATAGCCGACAAGCATCATAATTCACAAGGGTATCGTTCGATCTTGTATTTTTATTGTAAATATTGCCTAGTGGCATCATTGTTCACCCTTCTACCATGTCAAACACGGTTTTATTCAGCGCAAAATGTTTGATTAACAATATCAATTTCTTAAATCTATTTAATCTTAAGTTAACAAAGCTTTTGATGTTTAATTTAGCCGACACTACATAAGCAGCCACTAAATAAATGAATAAAGAACGAATGGATTCAAAATTCTCTCTTGGTTTCCATTCCGCCATGCTCATGTTTCTAAAGCCTCTGTGTTAAATAATGCTATCAAAAACCTGAAAGGTTTGGAAATTCCTTGTGGCTCAATATCAAAACTGTGTGATAGAGGGTATTGCTATATGCAATGCAACGAGGAAATTCCCTACTGAAGCAAGGAAGGGATATGCAATTTGTCAATGAAATTTCCTATTCCATTGCTCCATGATGGTACAATACCTAGGATCCTCTAGAATGAGCTCTACACCACATGGTATAGGCTGCGTAAAATACAGAGAGAAGAACAATTGTCATGAATGTTGATTTGAAAAAGCTTGCAATCAACTGCCATATAAATTTCATATTGAGTTGGTGGATATGCTGACTGGAATAACAGTAGTCAGTGTTCCTGACTTTTAACCTTAAAGAAGCGAAGGTCTGGAGAACAGGGCTCTCTGTTGCAGAGCGGCCATAACAGTTTATGCCAAATTTTCAGAGAGTTGGGCATGGTATTATTGGTCAAACTTGTGATTACCAGAAAAAATAAGAGAACAACTGAGGGAAATTCGTGGCAATTCAAACTAATGTTTCAAAAAGCTTAAAAACATAAGCAAAAAAATAGATTAAAATAATATTTTATCCAACAAGATATTGAAAAAGGCTATATTCAATTGAAGGAAGCACTAGAAACACAGTACTTGAATCATCGCTATCATTGCTTAAACATTGCACAGAGCAAAATTCTTCTTAGACTGAGTAAAATTTTGTATAGACTTAGAAACCATAAGAATACTGAACAGAATACTCAAATCCGAGTCTTGTTTCTTAGACGCAAATTTGATTTAGCTATCAAGCATCACATACTGTAGTCAATACGTGATCAGTGTTTCGGTTTGTGCCTGCAATAATTCAATGAAGGGACTGAGTTCTCAACAAAAAAACTGAACTGGCTCTTCTTTTTGCAAAATGAGAACCCATAAGGTTAGAAAGCAATATGAGACAAAAACAAGATCATGAACTCACACTTTTCATTATTAGCAAAATATCATTAACATTGATTAAATTGGTGCTCCAAGCTTATTAAAGCAAAATTCAATAGTATATATATTTATATCTACTGAGAGAAAATGGCGGTTTTTGACACGACAGGATCGACATGGTCATTATCTGACAATTTTACTCTGAAGAGTTTCGGGCGAAAAGTGCTTCGGTATGCAATGTTTCCGATACTTCAGGCCATCCTGCGGGGCCAAAAATTAATTTGATAAAAATATCTGAACATATTAGAGGAATTTTTATTTCAGTTATGATCTGATGTTGTTATGTTATGTTAAAATTGATGAACAAGTAAGTTTTTTGTCAGATAATTTTAATTTCTTGCTACACGTCAATCTGAACTACGCATCACAGGTGGATGGTCAAGTATTAACTATGGCACTGGTTTAAACACAGTTAAACTGAACCAGCATGAAGTCTTTGATTCATATGAAACTGAGTATCTTTAGATATAACGAAGCACAAAGACCTTGTCATAAGGCAAGTTTCGCCAGTATTTGTCTAGTTATTTTCTTCCATGGGTCTAATTATGATGGTGCTACCGAGAACCTTCGTCCACAGCATGCCCTCTGTACTAGTTGTTGAAGTCTGTTTCTGATTTTTTGTTGCATGAAGATGTATGTCAGCGGAATGCTCAAGCAATAAAATGTCAACATTATAAAGGCCGCTGCAGCCAGACTCTTTTCTACTGGCCTCTGTACCAGTATAAAAGTTGCTAGAGCTGCATCTGGCAACACCACAAAAATCGCAAACAGACACACGATCATCAATGACATTCGAACAACTTTCCGCTCACTTTCATAAGTTTTTCTTGTGCGTAGCGAATGCTTGTTGAGGTTTTTTCTGCGTTGGCAAAGGACGCGGAAAATGTAGCTGTAAGCGTATGCCGCAAAGCACAGGTATATTCCATCAAATGCTGGAAACAGAAATTTATAGCTTACGTTGAAAATCGTCCCTGGTTCTGCGAAGATAAGCCAAATGAGAAAGAACATCCACGAGGACCAAGCAAACGCCAAGCAGCACCGGATGCGTCGTTGTGTCATAACCAGCTTGTAGTTGAGCGCGTATTTGGTTCCAATTAGTCGATCTAATGTCAACAGCAACAAAAAACAATATGAAGGCCATCTGGTGCAAAATATAAACAATGAAATGATCTTCAATGTCACACTGCCATCTTGTTCGCCAAGCAAAACAAAGATCCAGTGAATCATCGCACTCACCAGTAGAAGAATTTCAGCCAAGCTTAGATGAATCAGGATTTGGTTTTGATGTGTACGTTCCTTCTTTGCACTTGCCAGTAAATAGATGCCCAGGAACAACAGTACAAGTGAACATAATATTAGGGAAATAATAACAATCGAAGTTATGATAAAGATATTCATCTCTTTTTCAGGAAGTTACAAATCACACATCGAGGGAGTATTCTTTTGAGTCCTGGATAAAATCTTGCATCCTTGAAGCTATCTTCTTGTTGTTTAGGAATCTCGAGTAAATCGTTGATGTGTATTATTGTGCTTAGATTGTCTTGGAACCAATCATTTTCGGACAGTTCTTCTTTAGTAGTGCTGCTTTCATGAAGTTCCTGAAAAGGTATTTTCAAGCTTTCATCTCTTGAATTACATGTCTTGTTCAATTATATTAATGCGCATGCTTAATTAGGAAATTTTCTTGATCAGTTTCTTTTAACAAGCCATACCACAGAACATATTTACCTATTTGTTATGTAACCTGTCATCAGATAATTTCTGTAATTTCCACGTTCTTCTTTGAAACGGCAACGAGAGAGAAGACCAATCAACGATCATAAACTTCTAGACTGACAGAATGCTTTGTTGTTTGCATCTGTCCTTTTCTGAATAATGCAATTTACGTATCAAAGGTGACTCTAATATTGCTATTCCATCATCAAATATTCTAAAATATGTGTCTATCTTCGCCCTTTCATCAATAAAATGAGCAAGAATTTTCGACCCTTTAGCAAATGCTGCCTGGTGGCATAATTTCCTCCTTCAATTACACAGTAGAATAATCTATCGATTGTTTTTGAGAAGGTGTTGATCTAAATTTATGTACTTGGTTGATAATCTGTATATCAACTCAATGCATCAATAGTAAATTCACGAACAATTTGATCTTATCATCCAACTTTAAGGCCCGATGGGTGATAAGATTTGTTATTTGATGGTCACCCGAGGCAGAAATTCATTTTGCAGGTGGGGGGCAAAACCCACAAGAACAAGCAAATATACATGACAAAATTTACCTACAAAGGCGCTTTCGACTTTGATTTAACCGACAATTCAGCAAAAGCTAGAGGGGATCGCCCCTCCAACACCCTTGTATTTCAAGCTCTGATAGTCTTCACAATACAAATAAAAGCGAACACCAACATTGTAAAATCTAAAAATAAGCACGTCGGTTTGGCAGTAAATCTGAATTTTAAATTTTACAATCTGCAATTCAAAGTGTGAAGCATTTTGATCGAATCTCACGCATCGACAAATGATGAGCAATGGAAAGTACATAAAAACAATATATATAATTGGGTAGAACAATAGATCTCACGCATTTAGGAAAAATTAAACTTTACAAGAATGCTTCAATCTGATATCAACTCATTTGGCGTGGGAAATCTGTAAAGGGACTTCAGGTGATAAGCGGAAATGAATCTCTTTTCAATCTAAACAAAATAAAAGAGCCATGTCGAAAAGTGAAAACATGCTTAATGTTACGTAACAGTTGAAACTTGAAACATTGTCTTTAAGACGATATAGACAAGAGTATTTCAAAGAGGAGCTCCTAGGGACCTGTTTAGGGAAGAGGAGAAATGTTTTGAAGGAGAGGAGCTGTTAGGAACCACAACGCCCCCTGCAACAGCTCCCCTTCCCCTTGCTCTTCCAAAAAGTCTTGTTTTATTTACATACAAAGCTGGCATCAAGATGAAGTAATTTTATCTTGATGCATCATTACAGAGGCGGAAATTTTTTTTCAGTTGGGAGCAATAACCTCCAAAAATAAGTAAATATGCCAAAAAATGATAAAATCTACTGATAAAAACGCTAATTTGTGTATTAACTGACTACACTCATTTTTATAAGAAACTGGCTTTAAGAAACGAGTAATGGACACTCAGAAAAATTATAAAACTTCAGTACTCGAAGCAACAAAATTAAGAAACTATTAGATCGTGATAACTGAGAACAACGAAATTTTGTAAAATCAAAGAACATGATTGCCCTGATGGCTTTGAAATTAAGACACAAGGGATAAAAATATACTTTCCACGTCTAAATACAGCGTCAGAACGGAAGCGAATCTCTTGACGTGAAAAAAGGTCACGAACATTTCATAACATCATTCATAACATCATAATTAAGAAACTCTTAAGAAACAGTGAGTATTGAAATTTCCAGAACATTAAGAAACTGGAGTACTCAACATCGACCTTTGTTTCTTATAAAAAAATGAATGTATTTAGCAGTTTTCGGCCCTGCACCCCAGGGGCGGATCTAGAAAATATTCTGACTGTCGCACACAAGGGTGTGGTCGGAAATATCATTCGTGACCACCCCCTTTGGTTTAAGGATATTCACCCTCTTCTCATTTGAGCAGTCGACACGCACATTAAATTGGCTTTATTTAGAACGTGGCCAAACTGTTGTTTATTCCTTATCTGAGTTTTCAATTGATACTACAGAATCATTTGTGTTGTTTCTTAGCCAAGCGTAAAGCAAGAAAGCGTATTGACGGTCTTCCTTTCATAGTCAGGCAAAAATTCGAGTCGTCTTTTTCGATTTGTTTATGGTATACGCGAAAAAATGAAAAACATCATTGCAATGAATTTTCAGAACTAACCAAATAGAACAAATTTACACAAATATTCATAAAACCTGCATTAATAACTAATATTATTTAATAGCTAAACCAATCAGCGTGTAAACATGTATTTTACTCCGAAGAAACCCCTTCGAATTCAGGGGAATACCCAAGCAAGTAAACATTACCCGGAAATATCTGAAAGCTGATAAAGAACTGAAAATCCACATTGAAAAGATTCACTTTGAAAGTTTTGTTTAAGTGAAAATTTTTCTCTGCCAACGTCCTGAACATTATTTCTTCGCCAGAGCTAAATCGCAGGTATCGCCCACTGATTATCACCCCAGTCCAGTGCATTTATTGACATTAGTAGGCCCTCGATCCATGGAGGAGGTAATAAACATCGAAACTTGAAAACATCCCGTGTCGAATGTTACTCTGAAAATCTAGCGACCTTTGTCTTCCAAATTACCAGGTTTAACGTATTCGTTTTACATGTAGCCAGCCGACTCCATAACACAAAATTCCTTTTCTCCAGTGAAAAGCTTGCCCATGCCAGGCATAAATAAGCTCAAAACTGCACAATACACGCAATGAGGACGGATTAATCTTAGCCCAGTGGTGCGACCTTACTAAAAAACATACTGTGCACCAAAGTTCGCACTATCTAGCAATTTGATTGGCTAAATATTTTAAAACAAAAGCTGTGCGAATCGGTGCGAACTAATCATACTGTGCACCGAAATACCCTAATCTAACTACATTGGTACCCTGTTGTTTTTTAGTCAGGATGCTTTGAGATTTGAATCAGATTGAATCAAGATCGAGATAGAATTAGAGATTGTTTTTAAGATTTTGCTTCTGTTTATGGCCAGGTTTAAATCATGCATGATTCAGACCTTGGATCTTCCTGCTCCTGCACGGTGTTCAGTTGTCAAATATAACTGAAGCATAATTCCCGAGTAAATAGAATCAAAACACAAATGAGAAATTTGCCAATAAGCGAAAAAGTTGTTGTTCAGCAAAAACCTCTCTCGAGACAGATTCTTAGTATAATTTTAAAAGTTTGACTGTCGCATGTGCGAACGGTGCGAACGTCTAGATCCGCCCCTGCTGCACCCGCTGATGGCTTTTAGCACAAAACTGCTTTTATAAAGCATGGGAACGAATGATTTTCCCCTTGCCCGGTATAGGGTAAATCCCTTGTGCTTGAGTAACTTGAAGAGTGGGTACCATTCACTGATCACTAGTACCATATGCTAGTACCTTGGCTCCGTACCTCTGGGTGCCTCGTTCAAGCACAGTTTGTCCCATACAGAGGTCAGAGCCAGCAACCACCACACGGCAACCAGCTATCAAATATGGCCGATTAAAACAGTGGAAAGGGGTCGGCCAAAAAAACATTAGGTTTAATGTTGATATGTAAGATTTGAGCGAAACAGCAGCAATGGTGATGATGCAAGGCACCCTCTGGAAATGGACGAATTACCTCAGCGGTGAGCAGTTTTCTAATTGGGTTTTTAATCTTCTTTGCCTTCATTCTATCGTTTCAGTTTTGTTTTTGTTATGTTAAGTCAGTCGAAATTGCATGCCTTGGGCAACAAATACAAACATGATACTATATGCTGCTACGGCTTTTGTACTGTTTAGAAGTTCACCAGTAGAAGAGGAAGCTACTCTTCCAATTTCATTTTTATATCAAAAACAAAATACACGCACAATGAAGTTTAAGGAAAGAGGAAATTCCGTGGAAAGACACTGTCAGATAGATAGTTTAATGCCTTTCCATAATCATTTGTTAAATTTTTTTTTATTTTGCCTTTCGTTTATAGCCAGGTTGTCTGTATATGTCTATGTGTGTGGGTGTTGAAGCAATTATCCAATGCATGCTTTGCTTAGCACTTTATTCTTGGATGTCAAATGGTTTCACATTATAAATGTCCTTGTACATCCCCCCCCCCCCCACATGCAATTTATTTTGTTCTCATTGTTGCCTTAAATGTATACTGACATGATTTCACTTACTGGTGTATAGTTTTTCTGTGACATTGCCATGTTTTCTTGTAGATTAGCAATTTATTTGCTTAAATGTCTCAATAAATTGTATGTAGTGGAGTTGAAAATAAATAAAACTGAGAAAAAAGCATACCTAAAAAGGAAACAGGCAAAAACACATTTTTCTGAGCTTTTTATTGTCACCTAAAGGATCAATGAATCACGTTTAAACTGCATCCATTTAGAACTAGAGATATAACTCCATGGTCAGAAATTTTCATCATAATGATGTAAAAACATGAGAAATTAACATTCAATATTTTGATCTTTACTTTTTGCTTGATAACAGTCCATTTCTTCAAGGTTGGCAACCCCGCTGGTTTGTCTTGGATTATGGTGTGTTGGCCTATTATCGCTCTCAAGAAGAAGTTCACCTGGGAAGCCGTGGCTCAGTAAAGCTTTCTTGTTGTGAAATATGTGGTAAGCTGTTAGTTGTTTATAGTAAAACCTTCTTATAAAGGTATTTTTCCCTCAAGCTATCAATTTTTAAGGGGATGTAGCTTGGGCGTAAAGTAAAGTTATGTAAAGTGATGTAATGTTTATGTTTGCACCTAATTTCTTATTTGATCAAGATTTTGGGTGAATTTGATGAATGAATCATTCCTTGATTTTTTTTTGGCTTCTTATAAGTTTAAATGCACAGATCAAAATTTTGCATGTTTTAATTGTTCGAGCATTAAGCCTGGTAAGCATTAAGCATGTGTGAAGCAAGAGCTGTCAAGCACCAAAGTAGCGCAGTTAAAACTTTTTGAATGAAGCAAGGCTTGGCGGAAAATGTGAAGTAAGCAAGTTAATCAACTTTGATGTCAAAGTATAGGCTTCCTTGAATGGCTTCAGACGAATCATACATAGACAACAATGTTATCTCTGATATAAACAAAATTGGACTAAGAAGTTTCACTTTCATTAGGATCCTTGATGCTAAAACATAGAATACATAGACAAATAGACAGAAGCAACTACAGAGGAAAGCAGATCTTGTTTGGGAGATGAAAACATGCCCATCTTCCAGACCATGCACTAGCCCTTTTTCAGGGTCATACAACATTCACACTACAAAATTTTATTAAGCAATCATGACACAAAGGTGAAGCAGACGCAGTAGTGAAGCAAGATTATCAAATCTTTTTTATATTCTTGCTTCAACGCATGCTTCATGCTTCATGTTTGCTTCCATTGCTTCATGTGTGTTCACACTCCACTTGCTTCTGCTTACATGCCTGCTTTTGCTTCAGCCCTTGCTTCACACATGTGAATCAGGCTTTAGAGTGTGTTCCTCAGAGCATTCCACATGGTGTTTAACTTAGTCGCCTAGTGGAAACCAAGTCTTATAAAAGTAGAGATGGGATACATTGATATTCAAAATGAGTGATGAATGTTGAACAATCAGAAAAAGAAGCTACCTTTGGACCATACTACACTCAAAATTAACTCGGATAACAAACTTAGTATAATGTACCAAAGCGGTGCTTAACAGTACCTGGAAAGGCACTCGATTGTGTGCCAATGCTAATGAGCACCTCCAAGATTGCCACGGAGAGCAATTTAATGACCATCTGATAACTTAGAATGATATATTGTTAAAAAGTAGTCTCAAATGACCACAATAAAAATATTATGATTTTTGTAAGGCCACAAGTTTATTGTAAGGCCACATCTTCAAGAATACATTTTCAAATAAAAGCATTATTTTTCCATGCTTTGAGGAATTAAAACATATGAAAACAATTTTGAGAGTTGAATCATTTGATAAAACAATAATATTTGATAACATATCATTCCGGTTTGGACGCAAAATGGTTGATTTGTTCATAAACTACTTCAACACTTAAGAATTAGACACAACTATGCAGCAAAGCATGAACAAATTTTCAGAATCCAAAATAGATAAAATACCTTTATGATTGCAAAATAGACAGTTTTACCATTAACCAAAAATGGTTATCCTATATAGTCTTAAAATTCCATTTATATTTATTCTATTTTTGTGAAGTTTTAAGACAGCTACATTGCAAGCTTTACAATTTTTTACCTTTCCTGATTTAAGTTGATGACCAAAGCTCTTCTATAAAGTTATGCTTTTTCTTGGCTGTGTAGAATATATTAATATTTGCTGAAATCTTGTATTAGGCTGTATTTGTATGGACAAATTGGGTTACATAAGTATATATATATTATCATATATTTCTATAAGTTTTCATATCTGACTATATTTGTTTTCCACTTAAAACAGTACATCCAACAGACCCTGTGAGGCTAGACTTGAAGATTCCTCCAGAAAACCATATGTATCTCAGAGCTGCAACTTCTGCAGAGAGACAGCAATGGCTTGTTGCATTGGGAACTGCCAAAGCATGCAGAGTTGATACTAGTTACCAAGAACAAAGGCAACAAAGTGAGTTTGAATTCCTATATTTTGATGCATGACAATTTATTAAGGTGTTTGAAATTAATTAGAAGTCACAATCAAGATGATGTTTGTAAGTCTTGGTCTTTGCCAGACTGGAAACTTTGTCGCACACCTGCGATTAACTGCCTGCGCACTCAAATTTTCCATCTGCGCACTTTTGCATTTTGGCCGTGCAAAGTCCCTATTTGAATACATTTCACATTAATAACAATACAAATTTCTTAAAAGTGCGTGGTTTCAGGCGCACAGTCCTGCAGTCAGGCACGTGAACTTGCCCGCGCTAGAAAAAAAGTTTCCAGTTTAGGTTCTTTGTGAAGGTTTTGATGTAAGATAGAAAAAATGTTCAGTGATATAGTTGATAACCTCTAAACATTCAAAGAAAGCCAACTTAATTAGGTGAATGCTCTCAAAATGCCCTAGAATTTTTTTCTTTGCCAGCTGACTGATCAAAGAATGCTAAAAACATTTCTTCATTTAATTTCTTATTATTCCCAGTGAATTCTGTGGAATTCTTAAAGGAAAAGATGGCAGAACTAAACACATGTAGAAATATCATTGTTCATCAAGTTCATCAGTTAAAGAGCCTGTGTCCAAGTGATCAGCAACTTCCATCACAGGTATCAGAATTTTGCGTTTTCATTTTACCTGACCATCAAAATGTGGCTGTGAGCAGATGACAAACTATAACCACACCTACCAAAGGAAGCAGTTTTTAAAAATGATCAATTAATACTCAGTTATAACTACATGGTACAGATTTCTATTACAGTTTGCCACACTGGCCAAGTCATGCCAATCTGGGCCTCTCAATTAGACCATATTATCCATTTTTTACATTGCGATGTATATAGAAACAGTTTTAGTATATTTTGTATTTTCTATGGCCCAGGTTTTGTTATTGAATAAATGGATAAATGAACTTTAAGTTGTTTAAATTTCACAGAGACTGCTCACAATCTATGTCGACTTATGGCTCTTTTATTATGCAGCATGGCCTTTAATTATTCACAGCTTTCAATAGTTTAAACAGGTTTTCTGTATTATAGGAGATGAATGAAGCAGCAACAATGCTCTCTGCCACTTGTGATTCATTTCTGTCCAATCTAAGTGACATGATGGAGGTTGTAGAAGATTCACTTAGTGAGTATAGTCATTGCATCTTTTTTCTCTTGATGCTAAAATTTTGCTGGTCCAGAATTAAGCAACAATATTCCTATTTTTAAATTTTGACTAGAACTGTTTGTAATTATATAATTTAATTTCCTATCTCATTGGTATGTACAAGATGTATAAATTTGGACTATTTTCTCGGTAAATAACGGACAGAATGAAGCAAGACTCAAGGCTCTATAGAACGTGTATCTGCTTTCATGTTTTCCTTTTTGGGGCTACCTGTTGCAATCAAGTGCTAGTTTCTTTTAGAAACTAATACTTAATTGTTTTTCTCCAAGACTCATCTGAAATTCTGCCATATCAGCCTTTTTGGTTAATTAATTTTCAACCACAACACATAACTGCCTGTTTTTTTTAAAGAAAACTTATAAAGATCAAATGTTTAAAATAACCAAATGCTTTTTTGTTTCTTTCATTCATCCATAAAGTTTGCCTTTCAAATTTATGTTTCAACGTAATTTTTACGGAAGAAAAACACAGAGGAAAAAGTTGTTTTCTGGCTAGCCTACATCAGTCTATTTCCTTTTTATGCTGGGGTGAATAAAAATAATTTTCTGTGTTTATGCAGATGTAATCATACACAATAACAGTTTTTTTATAAAACTAGGGTTTTAGTAGGTTGTTTCTCACCTGACACTGAAACTGTATTTTATCGTGAAGAAGTTAGATTTATTCTTTATAGAAAGCATGAATTATCAGACAAGTGAAAATGTTTTTATGCAATAGTAATTTTTTGAGATAATAACTCATCTAAGAAGTTTTATATTTGATCCTGTAAATTTAAAGACAATTGATGGGTACTATAGTTGCTTTAGCCATTTGTCAATCACATTTGTCAATCACACCTGGCCAATTGATAAGTGTGATGCCACTCACACTTTTTGATTGGCCAATAGTTGATTGACAGGTGTCATGCATTTTATTGTCATTTATTACCAATGGCTAGAACTTATCTCGAAATTGTTTTTTCAAGGTACCACCTCAGGATCACCAGTTTCTACGCCGATACGGGTTAGTTAGAACCCCTTTATCATAGTATTTTTGCTTTTCTTTACTTCTTTTTTAGATCTATTCTTTATTACGCTTTCAAAGTGTCTTCACTTATGTCATGTTTTTTCTTCTTTATGTTTATGTCACATACAACAAGACATCTGCCTGTTTGACATCAAATTTTTCATACTCTCAAACGGATTTTTACCGACCACAACTTTTTTAAGACAGGATTCTGACCAAAGAAAGAGGAGACAGGAAAAAATGGACTTTCTAAAAAAAGCTATTTACTAGGATATACTTTACGGGCACGCTTATAACATTGCCTTTGAAACTCTTTGCTATCAAAGACAATTGAAGAAGCCGGCTTTACTAGTCTTGTGTATTTTGAGACTTTGAATGACTCTTTTGTAGTCTTCTGAATTTTCCTCAAGCGGAGAGTTCTCATACAAAGGCGTTTGTTGGCACGAGGGGTGCTGTTGTAAATGCCTTTTCACAAGGAATAAATGCCCCTTTTAGGTTTATTTTTGTACTGTGACAGTGCTCTTCTTACCTGAACTTCTTGCCCATGACCATGACAAATGCTTTTGCAAATGTCTATACATCCCTTTTTGCAAGATCAGTTTCACTAAATATCTCACCTAGAAAAATTCCTATAAAAGAATAAAGTTCATTTATGACCCATAAAAGAACTGTATCCATTATAAATGAACAGACTAGCATAGAGTTTCCTGGTGATTGTATTAATCGTGAAATTTAGGGTTTGAACTTTAAACTATCCTGTTCTAAACATCAAAGTGCAAACTAACATACCTGATATTTTTGGTGAATATCGATTGGGTCTACTTTGCCATACAATGGTTATATGTGACCATTTTGGCTTGCTTAATTTTCTGTTCATTGAGTTGCTAGTGATTGCTCAGTCTGTGTAAAAATATTCATTTTTAGTGCTTTTTCCAATTGCAGATTAAAGCTCCTCCCATCTTTAAGAAACATTCGTACCACACTGAAATTGGGTATGAATTTCAATTTTCTATTTTAGTAAACTCTCTATATCTCTAGAACCTCCAAGGGACTAACGGAATGGCTTGTTGATGGAAAAGATATAGATTACTTAAGATATATAAAACTTCTTGTTTCAATCTCTAAGTACAGGTTCTCAGTAGGGCATTTGAAGATGACGTTGGATTTTTCAAATAACAGAAAATTGAGTTATTGTAAAAGCGGAGCAACATTGCATGAAAATATAACAAAATCACTTTTGCCTAAATTTCATGATCACTTTTTTTTGCTGGTTAAATTTGAATATAAACCTCATAAGTGATAGAAAAAACAAACAGCTTAAGCTCAAGATAGGACCGCTCTTACTTCAAGATATATTATTATTTTTGTTTTGTATCAAACTTATCATTTCCTATCTATTTTACTCTTTTTTGCCTGAAAGAGTTGCAAATTATCTCCTGTTTATTCTGCTGCATCAATATTATTATTCGTTGACCCTAATTTCTGTAAATTCTTCCTGTAAATTATAGCGCCCCAAGTCCTTCATCTCCGTCAACTATTTCTGATTCTTTCACTGACTCGGACCGAGGTGAGAACAAATTGTCATTGCTGTTGAGTTTTTTTAAGATGCTGGACAATTGCTTCTCGCCATTCAGACTTTTATGCTGTAGTTAAGATTTGTTTATGTTGATTGGCATGTAATATAAGCTGACAGCCTTTAGTGGTTTATCTTGTGTATAGTCACTGTTCATGAATTTTAACCGCCTAGCTGACTCGGCAATGTCAATGATAAAGGAACACAGAGTTCTTTAGCAGCAAGTTTTCCGTAAATTTCTTAATGAAAGCAGCAATATTTTATCATGGAGACCTACCTCCTGCCCCCTCTTCCTGCCTCCCTCCTCCTGCCCTCTCCTCCTGCCCCCTCCTCCTGCTCCCTTCTCCTGCCCCCTTCTCCTGCCCCCTCCTCCTGCCAACATCCATTACTTTAAAAGACTGTTTGTGTAAATATTTTAACAGCCAAAGGACAAGACTGTGCATATTTTACTGCTAGAAATATTTATGTAAACGGAATTTGAAACTTTCACCACTCAGTTTAGTGGACCTCTTTAATTTGAATGAGCTAGGCTAGTATAGAGTCCAAAAAGTATCCATCTTTCTCCGGATAATACCCCTAAACTCTAAATACCTTCTTTTGAAAGATAATGAAAACGAAACAAGGTTTGTGTGTGGCGCTATAGTTTCTTTTGTTTCAATTGGCCTTTGTCACGGTCATTGGCCGTCTTATCGTTATGGTTTCGGTCTCTGGGTTAGTGTAGTTTCTAATGAACATAGTCGCTTACCGCCATACTCATAACGAAAATCGGTACGCAGGATTGTCCCGATTTTCTGCAATTATCTACCCTGGGTTCCTGACAATCTGTAGGGGTTGTGGAGACGGATTGGGGCGGAAAAGCGCGGCGGAGGAAAGAAAGATGGACGATAGAAAGAGAGACGCACCACTCCTTCTCCCCAATCCATATTGGACGCTCTGAAACCCAAGGTGGCGATAACTCAGCAAAATTAACAGTATTAATCGGTATTTTTTCAATTTTAGAGCTCCTTTCTCCTCGTAATGGCTCCCACCACCACCAAAAATCTCCAACGGCATTGCAGCCACCAACGACATTAGCTCTTAAACCCGTTTCACCGAATTTACCAGCGAAACAAAATCCGGCAGCGACTTTTGACGAAGGGCATAATGGTACTGCGAAGTACCCTAAAGGAGAGACGCGGGAACGAGGTCCGGTTGCGTCTAGTGTGACGTCGCCGAGCTCTGCAACAGCAACAACAACATCCAGCAGCACCAACGACAACAATAAGTTGTACAAGTTGTCACAGAACTCCTTAGAGTCGCATTCGCCTGAAGAAGTGCAAAAGCCGGAACCAAAATCGTTCTTTAGTGCAACTCCTGTAAGGTATGCAATAAAAGCTACGCAGTTTGGATTTTGGCCCATGAAATATAGGTTGCAGAAAAGCTGTTCTGCAGCGGTTAGGTCTTTCTCAAGTTGTTCATCTGTTAAGTATCATGTCAATAGACGTAACGAGCATTTAGCTCCTATACGAAAAGCGTAATAGATTAAGCTAGGTTAAAATAAATGGCCTGAGCTAAAGGGCCGATGCTTAAAAAGACTGATACTCCGATACGCTGTGGTGATAACTCATCAGAAGGCTGCTTGCACGAAATAAAATAAATACGCAGTTTTATTGGATAGCAATCAAATCTATTCACGTCACAACAGGGAACTCTTTGAGATCTCAACTTTTAACTCAGGCCATGCCCTTTTATTAAATTAAAGCAATTAGTTAAAAGTTTTGTGACGTTATTGACAAATAGATTTTCGTAATCTAAACGCAAATGTTAAATTCTGGATATAATGGTTTTTTAAACATTGAAATATTCACAACCAGGTGTTTGAAGAGATTATACTTTTTCCTTTTTATAATTAATCTTTTGGCTGTCAGGAAATTAAAGCTGATTTTTAAATTTATCTTTTTTGACAACTTGTTATCTTGAAGCACGGAATTTTGATTTTCAAAATAAGTAATGTTCAAACGGTTGATAGTTTATCAACAGTGCTTGAGTTTATATGGCAAAAATTTGTTTTCAACATGCTGAATTTCCTTCTCAGATTTGAAGATGTTGCAGTTGTGGTGGATGGTCGAATTCCAACTAAGACGTTCCTTGATGCATGCTCTGCAATAGTGCCCGTTTTTGGTAGGTTTGCTCTTCCTTTGTTCCAGGACCAAGTATTAGTTAAGGGACATATTTTATCCATAAGTGACTAATTTCATATTTTAAGTGCCAACTGTCAATAACGTCAAATATCAACAAACAGTAATTTAATTAAATTCAAAATGTCTGCTAATTTCTGATAAACGTTGTTTTCTCATCTTTGTGAAAAGAAAATACAATGTCCGTTAGAAGCTGTTTTTGTAGAATTACTATGAGAACTGCCTTGAAAGAGTCTTAACTGCGATTCTAACATATATCTAGAAATAATTTGAGTTGTTGGTTCTTGATTTTGTTGCCTGCTAGGTTATATTGTGCTGTGTTACTTAATTTTCTTTCTAGACATACTTGGATCGACGGCCTTTGCACCAGTCAAGATTGACATTCAGGGAAACATCAAGGTACATCAGACATTACTTCATACTTTACTCTCGAGAGTCAAGTTTATCCTTGGTAGAAGTTTTGAACTCAGCAGCCATGTATCAAGCGATGTCGCTGAATTTAATACCACATGCTACAAGATTTTTTAAGTTCTGCAGATTAGTTTCTCATTTTTTTCTAAAAAATACCTCTGGTAAATTTAAGACTGAGAATTTGCTTTTTGGCAATTTGTCTGCATTTACTAAGCAGGCATACTTATTGTGACTAGTCAGCCAGAGGTGACAACTCGACAACTAGCTAAATCATTTTATAAGAATCGTTTACAGAATACAAAAATAATTAAGTCATTCAAATGACAAAGTGAAGCAAAATTCTTTGGGAGGAGTTTTCAAAGTGGGTTAATTTCAAAGAAGACCCACCCCAACTTCATCTCTAAATTTGTCGATAAGAGTTAATCAATTTATATAACAGTTCCAGTTACAAATTTTGGTGAGGTTTAGTGATTTTAGATTATTCTAAAAGCAAATTTTAAGCGCTTTTTGCATAGCAATTTTGAAGATGTATCTCTTGTTATAACAGGTACATCATACCTTTATTTTGACCCCATCTATCAAGTTGATTTCAAGCCATGCTGTAAAATGCTTTAGGGTTTCTCAGCAAGTAGTATAAATGAAGAACGTCCAAAGGAAAGCTTGCTAAATATTTGTGGCAGTTAGGAAACGATCAAACACACCTAACGTGTCAAGTTGAATAGTAAGCATGTCAATAAGCTTGCTATTGTCAATAATTGCAGAAAATACGAACGAAATTTGAAACAGACGAAAAGGCGTTCACCTATCTGCAGAATATGGTGTTTCAGGAGCTGAAAAGTAACACTTGCACCGCGAGAAACTCGACAACTGATGCTTTGCTTTGGCTGAAAAGGTTAGTTTGTGTGCATGCATTACCAATAGAGCTCCTATATCATTACCATGTGGCGTATCTCAGTAAAGAAGTTTGTTTTGTGATGAATATGCATTGAAAATGCTAGTAGGCTTCAATAACGTTTTTAAGTATTGTAAAAAACCCATTTCTGATACTGCTATAAACATTTTCGGCAAGAGATCGTTTGAGAAATTCAGTTGATTCTTCCAAGACCCCTTGGGAGCTACCAAAGTCAGATTTCCCTCTCCCTGTCTCCGGTTTTTTCAGCAACGGCTCAGTCTGGACAGAAACCGGATCAACTGAGAGACTAACTGACCGGATTAGACAGGAACAGAATTTTTGTAGGGATACTAACGGTCTTTGATTTTTCTGCACCTTCGCAACAAAATTCGCTTCACCTGTTGATGCTTCTACCGTTTCATAGGGTATTCTTGCGGTTACTAGATTGCTTCTTCTTCTGAACGGATGGGCGCAGTAGGCGGGTTGTAGTGGGCTTTTACCCTCTGATTGTTTCGTCAAATTTCAGAAATTTTGCTGCTATCGGCGTTCATAGTAAAATTTTATCTATCCAAACTACACACATTTCTCTCGCACTGTGCGCGCAACTGCAAAACCTTTTGACCGTTGTAGCTGAAATTCTGTTTTGGAGGGACTTTTTGTAGGAATGTTTTATGTGAATCTTGCATGTGTCATTCATTTACCTAAGCTTCTTGCAGCGCGCAGTTTCAGCCATATTGTTTTCATACGCAGAGCACTTGAATTCATTCACGTATTTTTGGCTGAAATTTGTCGCGGGGAACAAGATCTTTCAGTGGCTGCTAGTAAGTACATTTTGGAATTTAGCCATTTATATTTTATATACAAATTGCTACATTTATTGTCTATAGTCGTTATATACATAACTAATAAAAAATTGTAAATACTTTTTGCCCTTAGGGAATATACTTTTACCTGGAAATTTGTCTCAAGAGGTTGTCTGTACTAAGATTGCTTCCCTTCACGTTTATTAGCTGTCTTTTAGCAACTTCAGTTCACCGAAACTCTTTGTCTTGTTAAAAATACTTTTATTCGCAAGATAATAACCTGTTGAATATCAGGGGAATTAACGATCACTCCTGTCCTTGTGTTTTATTTTTTATAGCAATTATAAGAAATAGTAATATTGACTTCCCAGATGTTGGTTTTCATATATTTAATGATATTTTTATGCAAATTTCTGTTCAACATTGCAGCTAACGCGTATGGCAGGTCGTTGAGAAAATATCATGGATGGGTGGTTCGTGGGGTCTTTTCGGTAAGTTTGGTCTTGATATTTTTATAAAAACTACAATATTGTATATATTCTTAAGAACTATATTTCATGAACCGTATTCTCGCAGGAAAATCTAAATCTTATGTTGAAATGATCGTGACGTCAGCTTTAACAACGGTTATACGATCATTGCATTGACAACATCTACAACAACAGCAAAAGAGAAGACTGCGACAGCAACAACACCAAATCAGTTACAGTACATTGAAACCTAAATTTTTGAGAACCTCCAGTATAAACACAATAACAAACAATCAACATTACCAAAAAATTTATTTTCTGACGTTAAAAGCTGATGAAATTATTCTCCAAACAAGAGACACCTCGTTCTAATGTTCAGTGAATCAATTCTTCTGGTGCTTGCCATTTTGAGTTTTCAATGTAAATTATTTTAGACGAATTTCTAAGTGTTGTAACTGTGAGATATTACCAGCAAGGGCAAACATAAAAATTACCAAATTGTTGCTATAAATCGAAAGGACAACAAACAAATGTTGGAATAAAAAAAAAGTGAATTTTCGCTACTGTTTCTTATTAAACAACGAGATCGATCTCAACGCAATATTTTGGTTATACTATGTTAAGAAGAATATAAAAGCCATCACTATGCTAAGTACAGTTAAATATAAATACATTTTGTTATGAATACTCTATTAAAGACGTGTCGCCATTTTAGCTTGCAGTTAAGGCTGTGCCTTACAGGAAAGACTTTATGGAGGCTTTACGTAAATCAGGCGTCAACAGCGATGGGTCACCTACTCCAGAACAAGAAATTGTCGATGAAATGAGATCATGTGCGTCAGCTTTGGGAAAATTAGTTAACATACTGTGCCAGTTTTATAAGAGACATAAATTAGACAGTGAGTCAGTTGTGTAGCAGACTATTTATGGGTTAAAGAATCATTTATTTTTAATGCTTAGAATTATTATCTAATGTAAATAAATTATCTGCCATCATAGGATGGCTTGTAATTCTAGAGAAGCAGTTTTAAGTCCCTTTACATACAGACCGTATTGTCACATATGAACAGGCATACATTCTGACTGTTTGGCTTGGGGTTAAGGATAAAACGATTGAAAACGAAAACCTCTGAAAAGATGACCTTTGAAAACAGTTTTTAGAGTAAGAGATATAAGGAGATTAACACAAACCCATGGTAATACACCAGCGTATACGGGGCACAAGCCTGCTAGTGTAGATTTTTTTTAATGATAGAACTTGAATTTTGATTATTCTGTGGTTGAGCTGGTTTCAGTTCCCTCTCATTTATTTCTAAATGCTTATTGCCAGTGACCTATTTTCAAATTTTCGATGCTTCTTTATGTACTCAGCAGAATCAAATGTTCTCTAGGAATATTAGTCCAAAAGTTTTATTTTCGTAAGAAAGGTTTTTCTATTGTATTTTTCTGGTCGATTGAAGAATGACAGCATTTTCGTTTTAGGCGAATTCTTCAAAATATAAAATCATGCCAAATAATCCTTGACAAGCAGACGAATGTCTATGGCTTTGAAAAAAGCAAACATTTAGTAAACTAAAGCTTTTCGTCTGACACTCTTCAGAGTTTAAATGTCAGAACATAGATCGAAGACGAATGTCTGTTATTAAAGAGTTGACCATGCACCAACTATGAGGGTACCAAGTTTGTTTATGAGGGAATCCAATTTGTTTTTCGGGGAAGCGGAAATCGTCATTTTTTGTGTCGGGAATTGGGTATCGTCAAACATTTTGTGAGCGGGATTCGGGAGTTGATAACACCGGGATTCGGGAATTGATGGTCGGGAATCGGGAATCGGGCTTAAAACGTAGAGAGAATCGGGAATGAGGAGACCTGTTGGGTGTTCTCAACTATGAATGTTTAGGGGACTGGGAACAAGGACAATACCTCCTTTAACCGCCAACTAAATTTCAAAATGGCGCCGCATTAGGATAGCGATTGTTTGCGCAATACTTGTCTCTATACTCCGTCTTTAGCATCTCTATAATCTTGTCTCTAACAGCCGGTATCATTTCTGAAGTATCAATGCAGTAAATTTCGACACAAAGAAAAATCTACCTTTTCTTCAAAGACAGTTGCTTATCTTTTCTACCAATTGCTTGCTGTTCAAACGTGCAATTGGGAATGACAGAGTCAACGTTTCTCAAAATTTGATTATACCTGGCAATAGAGGATCTCGTACCAATAGGTGGTCCATGGCACTTTGTCCTTTGAATTGAAAAGTGAATTATTAGTCAGTCAACACTATGTTCTTAAATGGACAGACTTGATCAAAAAAAGCAGCCATTAGGTTTATAAACTCTTAGCTTGTTCTTTGTGGGATTTTCCTGTCGTTAGTGGACTGGAAAGTGAAAATTAGTATGTAATATTTTCGACCTTGTAAAAATAAAGTATTAGTGAAATTTCTAATTTGCCTTCATTATTGTTGCAGTATATCATATGTTTTCTGCCAAAAATATATTTTGTTGCTATAATTTTCATTTATTGTATGCCAAATAATAGTATATATTGTGTTTTAGCCAGATTTGTTTGCTCTTAGAATGTCCTTTTATTTAAATGTATTTTTGTTGCATATAGTCTTTTTCATCAGCTGAGAAAAATCTTGTCATCCTTTTTACGAAAACTTTTGGGCACCACTTTGTCGCTATTTCAAGGCATTATTCATTTCAAAGCAAGGAAATTCTACCTGATATTTATTTTCACACTTAGTAATACATAAGGCCTATTTGTAAAAAAGGATTTTTGAAGCAGATTTCTTCTTCTTGTCTATGGCCTGCCAACATTTTCTGACTATAATTTGCATCGGCGTCCATAAGCCGGGTCAGGAATCAAATTGAATCTTTCACTGTAAGAATTGGCGTAAATTCTGTGTCGGATTGGAAATTCCCTACTAATTTGGGGTTTTAGAGAAACTAGGTCTGCATCTGGTATTTTAAAGGACGGTCATGATCCAGTCTGGGGCAACCAGCAAGGTCGCTAATTTACATACTAACTTGTTACATACTAACTAAAATAAACTGCATTGCATAAAATGTTCGCTACTTTAGTATGAACACCTGTATAAAACCACACTATCTTGAAAAGGTGCCCAGTTGTGATTTTGTATCAAATGTTTTCTTTCATGTTTGTGGGTCTATGATATAAGATAAAATGTGTTTTTCTTTGGTAGATTATCATAGCTTGCTGGTATATTGATTATGAGTAAAAGCTTTTGTATTTTCCAATAATTGAGACTATTTTAAAAATGCAAAATCACTTCAACAGTTTCTATGCAATATAAACTTTTTTGTTTTTTATGCTTTCTGTAGGGTCTATTTTCCTGAGGGGAGAAAGCGAATAGTCTAAATAGAAGGACGAAATGATCAGACAGCAAAATTCTTCCAGGCTATGATCCAGGGATCTAGGAGATGAAGATAAAGTGCTGATAAACCTCTTATCAACCCCGCCTTAGGATAATAGACGGGGATCAGTGTCTGAATGTAGACTCAAGGACACTGAGAAGCCCTGCTCTTTGAGCAGTACCCCGTGACTTTCTTATTCAAATTCTTATTAACAGTACGCAAGACAACCTGGATTTAACTAGTCAAGACAAGACTTTGGCAGTTTAAGATGTCCCGGGTTCGCTCAGCCCGGGTTAAATTACATAACATTAAGGCTATTGATAATTCTGAGAAGGCTATAAGTCTTGATATTTACAGAATAGTTCTGTTCAGCTTTCTACAAGGGATCGGGTATGTTTATCGGAAACAGGATGTAAGGCCAGGCCTTTAACTCGATCTTTAATCGTAAGCATTGGTCATCACGGGCTAGTTTTTGTGAAAATGCGGTGTAAATGCGAAATATCGAGTCAAGGCTCATTTTTATCAACGCTTAAAGACTCATTGCTAACAATGGGCCTTTGCGAGCGTGGCGACGAACCAAACAATGACAGTAAACTGTCTTCAATGGCAGTAAATTGATTTCAGACTGTCTAAAAATGCATTATAGGATGCTTGCGTAGCGCAATGGCTCATTGTTAGCAATGAGTCTTTAAACTCAGCTTGACCAAAACTAGCCCGGGTTATTCTTAACTCAAATCATAGTTGACCAGAATTCCACTATCTGCCATTGTTCTCTATGTTCTCTGCCTATTTTTCTCAGAATCCTTCTATATTTCCTTGGCTTTTTCAAGTGTTTAATCTTTCTCCAAATCACGATTCTGGTTTTTAACATGGTGAAGGTTATTTCCATTTTTTCAGGGTCGTGCAGCTTTCAGTCATATAGCTGAACTGTTATTCTATAAATTTCTTGTATAAATTTTCAACTTGCCCGTAAAGATACATGGAGTATATGCATGGAGTGCTCTTACTCATTGTTGACCTAACAACATATTGCAAAATTCACTGATTCGAGACTCAAATAACACACAAATTCAATTTACGATCTCGTTTTGCAAATTTCTCCCAACCTTATCACTCAGATTTGGTGTTTTCACCATAATTTTAGGCCGGATACAATGCTTCAAATTGTTTGTGCTTATATTTTGGATTTTACGGAGAAACTTATAATGGATTTGACCGCAAGAATCGTTCTGGATGAGACTTTACCCCACCCCCACCCCCAGTCGCCAATCAAGGTCAAATCCCTAAAAAAATATTTTCTTTATGTCGTCATAAAAGCAATATCGTAAGCAATAACATAATGAACTTCAAATTAGACTAAACTTTTTGCTCTCATACCGAATCTGCAGTCAATAACTTTGTACAAAAAAAATTTCAAGAATTTTTCAAAATGAGGCCGTAAGTTGATTGTAGGAGAGGCTCAGCTTGCATGTGTAGAGGGAAAGATGGCCATATAAACAACACAGCTCTCTAAGGAAAAGTAAGTTGTCTGTTCTGAATTTTATTTCGAATCCTCAATAATTTTGCTTTTAAAATGCAGTCAGTCTCGATATTTCTCATTCATATTGGATGGTCTGCCATAGCTCTGTGTTTTTATTATGTGTCCTGGAAAAACGGAGCTGATTAAAAATATTTGGACATGTTGTTATTGAATGGTTTAGTTTGAGTAAGTAGATACCTACCGACAGCTCGAATATATTTTACGTACAATATTGTCTTGTCTTTTGATATTGTGAATTTTGTGGCAATTTAGATAGTTTATAATGATTTCTTTGAAGTGAGTTATCATCGAGGAAGACAAATTAGAAGCTGTGTGTTAAACAACCTCCAATCGTTTTATTATGTGGCACAGACGTAGAAAGCATTTCAAAAGCAGGGGCCATAAGAAGTCTAAAAGGTGTATGGCCTTGTTTTCTAATAAGTGGGGGGCATGCCCCTGGTCCCTGAATCTATGTTAAGTGGCATTTTATTTTGAAGAGGGTAACCCTTAAGCACATTTGCCAGTTTCAAACTCTTATTATTGTTGTATCCCATTACAAAACACCTTTGTTTGTTTGAAAATGGCAGAGGGGTGTACCTTTTTTGGAATAGCTAAGAATCTAAATGTAAATAGATTCCAACAGCTTAATATTTGCTACAGGACACACAGGTAATGGAGCACAGAAGCACAGCAAAGCATGTTTTGGTAACAGGTTCTCCAGGTATCTATAAAGAATTAACTTTGAAAAACGAAACATTTTCACTCTGAATCTCTTATATTATGCCAATTTTTGAGGAAAATAATGTCAAACCATAATGTAGATAAGGAAAGGCATTCTTATCAGATAGAAGGAAACCTGCTCCCTTCAATTTCTTGATAATTTGAAAATTATGACTATTATGGTAGCATAATTTGGGACCCTATTTACGATATTTTAACAACTTTTTGGGATTACAAAATTTGAAAATGGTTTGGAAAAGCCCGGAAAAGTTTCTGATATTTAAGTACTATTTGAGGAGTGTTTAAATATGTTGTAAAATCGTTACACCTACTTCATATAAGTTGATAATTGAATTGCATACTCAGTAGCATAGCCAAGGTGGTAAGATTTTTGGGGGGGGGGGCAAAATGGAGTTGTGCAAGGGAAGACTGGGGGTCCATTCTCTTTTGAATGCCACAAAATGCCTTTTTCAGAGAGATTTTTTGCCATTTGGGGGTGCATCTGCCTCTTCTTGCTTGCCTCCCTCTCGCTAGGCCACTGTATAAACTTTACCTGGTGTTTTACAATCGATACTTCCTTTTTTCTCCATTTGTTTTTCATAATACAGATGCTTATGATTTTTAGGTGTTGGAAAGACTACCTTGATACGCAAGGTTGTTGAGAAGTTGAAACAAGAATTGTCTTTTCCTATTAATGGATTTTACACAGTAGAAGTTAGAAAACAAAAAATCAGAGGAGGCTTTGATGTTGTATCATTGGGATCAGCTAAGCATGGAGTTTTGGCAAGAAAGAGGTTTTTATATTTTTGGTTTTGTCTTATTCAAATATTCTAACTTTTAATTGCCCAATTAGAAATCCATCGGTCTCTTTGTATGACATGTGTTCACTTATTTATTTTTGTGTGTGCATTTTGAATTGAGGAATGCCGTAACCAATGATAAAATCATCATTTTCATCTTTAGGATCATTATCATTGTTACCACACCTTCATTAAGCATCAGGGCTGCCAAGAAGGGGGGAGCAAATTGCTCCAGGTTTCAAGGTCAGGGGGCCACATACAGTTATGAATTCCATTTTAAGAAATAAATAGTCAAGTTGATATACATTATGTGAGATGAAGGGAGTTAAGGTCTCACATTTTATGTGATATCCATCATAGACCTAGTCTATTTCAATGATAAATCTATTTTTGAACTGCAAATGGAAATCTTAGCTGTGCAAAGGGAATTTGACTGCACAGGAGAAATAATAGAAGCTGATAAGAATCATTTTTACTCCTCATTTATTTCTTCTCTGCACAAACATTTCCTTTTTGAACTTTAATTTTCCCTAGTATGACAAATGTTTCATATGTATTCAACATTAAAAGATCCTTTAGGAAAGTTTATAATCAATCCATCAAACATATGAGATCTGCATCATAAAGGCTTGTTAAAGTTTTTTGATACTGTTGCCAAATTAACCATCCTACAAAACATCTTTATTTTTGTATATAGTGACATGACCTCTTTTGCGACAAAAAGAAGAATGCCTATGGTTGGCCAATATTGTGTTGACATAAAATCTTTTGAGGAGATTGCATTGCCAACACTTCAAGGATTAGTAAGTAACTGATTGCTGGGCGTTTTTCAGTAAGTTTTTTAATGCAAAATGGAATTCAAGATCCTGTGTATTCATAGAGGCATTGGGAGTTAAATTGGGGGAAGTCAAAGAAGCAGGTTGCTGTCAAATCTATAGCAAATTAGTTAAAGCCTATTTGCCCCAATTTACTGTGGCCCTGCGAAGGCTATTGTGCTCAAGGGGGTTCCAAAGACCACCCATTTATTGACAAAGTGGGTGAGCCTTTGCACCCCTAGATGCCAAAACTCCTCATTTCTGCAATTGATTTTTTTCAAGGGATCGTCACACCTCCATACGTCCCTTATAGCGATGGCCTGGCTCTATGTCTATTACTTGGTCTTCTTTGTTGCTCTTATCTAAGCCCCACAAGCAATTTATTCAAGTAGAAGGGTCTGCCAGACAGATGAACTAAAATGGCTTACCCCCTCCCCTGCTTTTGCCTAAACATAGTTCATAAAATATTTAAAAATTGTTTTGAGGATTAAGTCCAATTTTTTGTTCTAGGGAAGATACATTCTATTCTTAATCCTAACCAAAATTTTGTCAATTTGTATGTAGCTTGTTGTGCTTTATCAACTTTATCCCTTGTTCCCTCTTTTTGCAATATCCTCTTCTAAGAACGGTAGCTCATGGACCTCCACTGTTCTCTGTTTGCAGAACTGTCAGTTTTGCTACTTCAATTTTTCTGTTTCATCAATTTGTTCTGATATCAATTTGTTCAGCCCTCAAAGATATTTTCAATTTATCTCCCTCTACTTTTCTTCCTACAGGTATTTCAGGATAATTATTCTAATCGTTCATTATAAGTCTCAAAACTCAGTTATATGGTTATGGTAATCTGCCACTCAGTTCCAACTTCCAACTCTCGTAAGATCTTCTCGTGTGCTACGTGATCTTTCCACGATAGCTTCATCATTCTTTGGATAACCACACTTCTATTACCCCTAGCTTCTTCTCTATTTGGGTTGAAATAACCTAGCATTCATTACCGTTTAGCATTTTAGGGGCTTCTCGATGCTGAAATAAATTATTGATTTCAGTTAGTTTATCAATTCTATAATCATCCAAAGCTACCACCATGTCCGTCGCAACCTTTTTTCGACCCTGCAGCTTCATTCATCTTTTTCAAATTACTTTCTACTTCTGATTTTAGTATTTCTAGACCATCTACCATGTGGAGAATTTTTGGCGTTTCCTTTCATCAGCTTATGTTATTATTCGATCAACCATTCCAAAACGTCTTCCTTTCCGACAATTGAACCATTTATCTTTTGTGCATAGTTGCAGGTTCTGATCTCTTGTTTTCCTCGATTTCGCTGCCTTCTCATTAAATCTATTTTTTTAGCCTCTTCATACTTTATCTTCACTGACTGACATATTTCCTTGTACTCTTGACTCAACCTGGTTTTGATTGCACGACTCTTTTCCATAAGCACTAAAATGTTGACTGTCAGTCTTAAGTATGAGCACTTCAGCAGTTGTGACAAGTGCTTCTATGTTCCCAACTCCATGTTTTAGCGTTTTTTCCTAAAATTTAATTGTTTGAGAATGTTTTTTAGTCGTATGATTATTTCCGTTGAAGCTTTTATTCAACCAATCAAATTAATCAATAGAGATGGCCACCTTTGGCTGGAAATTAAGGCTTGCCCTAAGCTTGATAAAGCACCATTACATTCGTCTAAACCAATTGCCGAAACTTGTTTATCTAATTTTCTAAATCCATTTCTGTAGAGATTATGCCCACCATTAATTTGTAAATGATTTCATGTGAACATTCATTTAACAAAATCAAATCATGTCAGTTTTCAGATTAAGCCATTTTTCAACCTAAGATTGCACGAATTTACCTTTAATCATAATTAGATCTACTCTTGAATATAATGAATAATGAATAAAGAATTAATCTCAAATTTCTTTCATTAACAGGAATCAGCCGGTCAAATTCTAGTTATTGACGAAATAGGGAAAATGGAGCTGTTTAGCGACAAGTTTGTGGCTCTGGTACGAAAGGTTTTCGAAACGGAAAACACCATTATTGTATCAACAGTCCCAGTCTCTAAAGGAAAGCCAATAAAGCTGGTAGATGATCTAAGAGCGAGGGCAGATTGCAGCCTCGTAACGGTAGTTCTTCGGAATATTGAAGTTTTTTGGCCAGAACTTTTTATCTCCAAACCTACCACCCAGTTTATCCATTTACTGTAAATCTTCGGATTGGTCACCCTCATATGAGCCCCCCCCCCTCGAATGAGCTCTCACCCTGGAATAAAATTTTTAAATATCCCAACCCTCGAGAAAGCCCCCCCCCCCCACCCTAATATGCCAATTTTTGCGTTTAAAAAGCCCCAATAGTGGTTTAATTCAAATACAACCAAATGCTACACAATTTTAATCCATGATTTAAAACACAATCATGGGCAAAAGAAAAAATCTTGAAATGAAGAAGACATTGACGAAGATACAGCTGAAGACAATGAACATATAGGTTCTTCTTCCTTTTCAAAACAATATTCATCAAATGTTTATGACTCAGTGCGATGCACTACAACTACACACGATGATTTCTTCCTGTTTTGAGCCTGCTCAATAGCAGTTCTTGTGTCTGGAATGCCTTCAAACTTGAGCTCTTCCTTAAGCTAGAAAACGATTTGGTCGGTGATCTGCCTCTCTGATGCCTGATCGTCCCTAGACCCTTTCGGCCTGCTGGCAGGCGTGTTTAAAGGGAGACGAGGATGATCCCAGCAATTTCAGTTTTCTCGTTTTTATTTTCCTTGACCATTGAGTCTTATTGGTGTTCTATAGTGTTTAGTATTTGATATTTGATATTGTTTGATTCCCAGTTCTTTTAGTGTTTCTTATCCGCTTTAATGGTATTCTTTGAAAAATGTCAATTTGATTCTCAAGTTTGTCAGATAGTGTCCATAACTCACTGTTTTGCATGAAAATACTTTCTACCATAGATCGAAGTAAACTCATGCCTGTCTTAAGCAATATCTTTTTGCTTGTGAGTTCATTCTTACAAATGCAATATTAACTAATTGTCTCCTTCTCTCTAAGTCTTCATCTTATTCCAGTTTGTTGCCTAGGTGTATGTGCACTTGTTCAAGTATTGATCGCCCTCTTTTGTCAATTCATATCTTTGTGATTTGTTTTCGTTGACAATTAGATTGTGCTTCGCAAACTGTGGCAAAAAATCTTTTTTGATGTTATTGATGGCATTTTCAGTTGTGTATGTCCAAGATATGTGGATGTGAATAAAAGTAGTTCTGTTCTAGCATTTGATGTGGTAGAACCGTTTCCATTTGATTTTGATGTTTGCTACTCGAGTGTTCTTCATGTATCTCGCTTCTCTCCTCAAAAGATTTGGCCTAATAGAGTATGAATAGCAGTGGGCTGTCGCAGTCTCCTTGTGGTGCACCCATATTTATGTTAAAAAATCTCTTGGTTTATGTTAACTTTCTTCAGCATGATATCATCAAACGGATTATCAATATTTAGACTAAAATTTATTTGTGTTTATTGAGTTTGAAAGTCGTAAAGAAGCGACAGAATGGCCAATTTCGTGTGCGAAATTGGAGATGATTTTTAAAAGCAACCCCCCCTCCTCATACAAGCCTTCTTTAGAATAAGCATAAATCTAAGAAACGCCTAGATATTCGAGGGTTTACGTATCCAGTTTTTCTTTGCAAATAACAGGTAACGAAAGAAAATCGAGAAAGTCTTGTGAGTGACGTGGTAGACCTGCTCGTCTGTTCATACAAAGCGTACATTTCAGGAAAGGTATAGAATTACAAATGTTGTTTTTTCTATTTGGTATGAATCCTTTCCATTCACTAATGTCTGATATTACAAACAAACTCTGATATGTCTTATAAATAGTATTCAACAAAAATTCTTCAACAAAGATGTCTGAACTGACATCCCAAGGGGGTCTTTTTTCTTCAGCAGAATTTGGGGATAACCGGCGAAAGGTTTGGGAAATAAGTGAAGTGGCACAAAGATTGGACGATCGGTGTTTTTCAAAGGGATTGATGTGCATAGGATTAAATAATTAGTTTTATGATATTTAACAGTATAATAACAATTTTTAATAATATTTCTATCGGTTGTTATAATAACTACATATGAATAATATTTCTATAGGTTGTTCAAAAGCCCAAGCATTAAAAGCCAAAGTTCTTGGAGCTGTTTGATGTTGCTACAACAAGAATTTTGGATGTATCTTATAATAATGTCAATTTGAATAAGTAACCACGTTGAACTACAAGTAACTTCAAGTTACATCTCCCGGGGGGGGGGGGGCGCTAACTTCCACATACACTGTACGGGATGTGCCATTTTTTTGGTTACCTTCTTAAAAGTAGAAAATAAATTTTAGGGTAACGATTTAATCGGTAAAATCAAACGTGGTTTTAAATTTTGGGATTTATTTTTAGCATGACCTTAAATTTTGAGGTATCATTTTTGAAAGAAAGGTAATATGTTTTCATTTACTTGATTGAATTGTTGAAATGTTACCTCAATATGGGCCTGCATTAAAGCAAGGGTATGCATTGCATGCGGTATCTATATTTTGGGGTATATTTCTAGAAAATTTATAAATTTTGGGGTATTTTTCATATTTCCAAATGGCACAACCCCATCCTCTGTCTTTGGAGTTACCCCCAAGGTTACACTCTACAGTTCAGGCAAATACGGATTCCACAGAAGTAACATTAGTATGAAAAAAGACTTTTAATTGCGGTATTCAGAATAATCCAATGTTACTAAAAATTTTCAGGCAGCTTAAAAACTATTTCAAATTTTTTTGATATTTTTGCATGTTTTGTCATGCTTGCTGTCTACAGGGATAACATTTCAAACAAAGCAGAGCACCAATCTGACGAAGTTTCAAAAGATGAAGATATCAACTTACAAACAAAGATTCCATGACTATTCTGGGTTCTATGTCACTCGATTCAATGAAGAAAGACTGCTGTTTTCTTTCTCTGCCACGCTCTCTTCCTTGCAATCGAGAGCCAAAATTTTTCGCTGAAAGTTGTTTGCTGGAGCTAAAAACTGATAATTAGGAAATTAAAAAGAGATTTGTTACGAAAAATTAGAAGCTGTGTAACTCTCTTTAATAGAATAAACCACGAATAAAATTTTTTTTAGATATTGTTGTTGTGTTAAAAGAAAATGTTTAGAAATATTTCCAAAGAATACTATTTTGTATTGTCGATATGTGTAGTTAATTAGGGTAAGAATTTGTAACAGATAAAGCTCATAGAAGCACAATAGAAAATATCAAAATAAGATGCTCGAAATTGTGAAATATATACACCATATATCAATTAGTTAGTTACCGTAAGCCTCGGTGGGCTTATTTCACAAAAGTTACTTTAGGGTAGAGGTTTATGCGAGGGGAGCTTATCCAAAGGTGGGGGGCTTATTTATGGACTTATGGTACATTTGATAATTGAGTTTAATAGTTGCTTTGTAAGGTTTAGATAGAGAAGTCTGAAGAGAAGGCTGGCATTGAAATCTGAAAATGCGTTTCCTTGTTGTAGGTTTACCTTGCAAATAAAAGATTTTGCATTGTTGTAGTGTGGATAAGAAAACAGTTTTAGCTTGCCACCGAACTTTCATACCGTAAATTCTCGAATTGGCCCCCTCCTCGAAAAAGCCCCCCCCCCGCGACCAAGCCCCCACCTTAGAACTAAAAGTTTTCAATAAGCCCCCCCCCCTCGAATATGCCCCCGCTGCTACCGTAAATTCTCCAATTGGACCCCTCAATTTGATGATTTTCCCCATCTAAGGTTGCCTATGGGGTTTTATTGAATTACCACAACAAATTAATACTTTTGGTAGTAAATAATTGAATGCTCGTAAAGAAATTCCTACTAAAACAAACGAGGTATTTTAATAATGTCTTCTTAATGTCACAGTAATTTAATAAGCCCCCCTGGTATAAGCCCTCCCCCCCCCTCGAATAAGCCCCCATCCAAAAATATAAAAAAAATTATCCCCAGGGGCTAATTCGAGGATTTACGGTACTGTAAAAGGTATCATGCAAAAAAGATCCCATTAAAAACTTCTCTTTGTTTTTTGTTGTTGGCAGATTTAACGGTCTTTGTCGTAAATATTAATTGTTTCTTATTCAATGCTCATTGTTTCTTAAGAGTTTCTTAATTATGATGTCACGAATGATGTTATGAAATGTTCGTGACCTTTTTATCACGTCAAGAGATTCGCTTCCATTCTGATGCTGTATTTAGATGTGGGAAGTATATTTTCATCCCTTTTGTCTCAAATTCTAGGCCAACAGGGCAGTCATGTTTTTGGATTTTAGAAAATTTCGTTTTTCTCAGTTTTATCACGATTAAATAGTTTCTTAATTTTTTCCTTCGAGTACTAGAGTTTCTTAATTTTTTCTGACTGTCCAGTACTCGTTTCTTATAGCCAGTTTCTTGTAAAAATTGAGTGTATCTACTAAATGCAATGCAATAGGGACAACAATGTTCGGTTTTTTTTAAGTCGTACGAAACACCTTATGTGGAATAATCATTCCATAGGATTTTCTTCTATTTTTGTTTTCCATCACTTTTTGGTTCATCAATTTACATGACATAAATATAGAAACATTTGAGCTAATTTTGGCAGTTATTTGCTGTAAATTAATGGAAATACCAACTGCTAAAAATGCAACTCTGGGCTGTTCTGATATTTACAAAACATAAAAGGTTTGCAGTTAAAATGCCAGAAAGAGCTTTTGATAGAGGAAGAAAATTAAACTCCTGCGATCATATGCCATAGTGCGCTGTTTAATCTCATTGAAACAAAGTTTAATTTTTTTTCTGAATATTTCTGAAAATTTCGTTACAGTTTCTATCCGGTGTTAGCCCGCTGCAAAGAATCCGTGAAGGTCTCCCATTCGTGCGGTGTCGTAGCTTGTCTAAATAGTGAAATTGACCGACAAAGACATAGATGAAGAAAAATCTAAGTGGTATTTCATCTGCTGATATAGATAATTTTACCGACCAACTAACGATTTTGTGGACCAAGTGAAGGTTTGCCTACCAATCTTTGAAAAATTTGAGGTGTCACCCCCCCCTTCACCTTCCTCCGGCTAGCTACGCTTCTGCAAACGTGGTTTTAAAAAATCTTATAGCTTCAATTTTCAGGTTGTTAAATTCTTTTGTTGTATTTTAAAGAGATTACAACACATTTGAAATCTTAACAATGAAAATTGTAATTAACAAAAGAAGCAATTAACGTGAATTTTACACGTGAGAATTTAAGTAGACATCATCTTTCAAAGCGACTTTTTGAATCACGAAATTTGGTAAGAAACTTTGAAGAAACAAATGAAAAATGAATTTATTTGTCTTGATAGGCGAAAACAGTTTGTATTACGCTACATCTCTATCTAGCAGAGTTTGGTAGATTTTTGTTTAATAATTTCTATAACTAAAGGTTGTATAGCGAAATTCTATGTCCGTTCGGCGGATGCTATTTTACTGCGTAGAAGTAGTGTATCTGAAATTTGGCGCGCCACTGAAGTCAAACAGCAAGTGTGGCAGGTGAGAAGTTCGCGAAATAATCGCTTCGTGGCGATTCAAAAATAAAACTCATTGTCTGTTTCTTTAATACGTCCTAGTGTAATTTGCTAACCACAAAGGCGTTGTATGTCATTTGTTTCCTCCATAGACCGTTCTTTGACGTCCGGCCTACAGTCCTATCTAAGACAACAAGACGTTATTGGCGTTGGAATTAAATGATTGAAAAGAAACCGTCCTTTTTATCCTACGATGAACGAAGAAGCTCGAGCAACATCTGCAGAATTAAAGAAGAGGCAAAATTCGGGTGGAGGTAAGCGAAGTTGACGTTCGTTGGGATAATCATGCTAATTCCCGGCCTGTTATTTAATATGTTAAATGTCATGGTTATTGGGCATCTTGACAACATTGGGCCGCTTCATCTTGTATAATCGCCCGTGATAAGAATCAAATTAACTCCAGATGATTTTCTGGAAAGATATCTCTGTCTGAATTTTGTCTGAATTTTGTCTGTCGCAGAACCAAAACAAAGGAGACCATTTCGGACTAAATTAAGGTTTGGTCTAACTTCATAAAATAAAATCATGAGGTTTTAAATTAATTGGTTCCTAATAAACAGCTAAACGTTGATCTTATGGTCTTTTTATTTGCGGAAGGTTTTTACCGCCTTTCTTTTTCTGTTCTAAAAACTGACGGTTTTATATGTTGACATCAAGATTATTCTGGAATGGGTATGATGGTTAAATCTTGTAGGCGTTTCTTGGAAGATGAAACTTAGATGAACAAAGTAAGTAAAAGTTTTGAAAATATGCCACTATAGCCTTGCAATGCATGTTACACAGATTTAAAATGCATAGAGGTATGCAAACTATTAAGATATTTATGTTTTCAATTTTCCAAACAGACTGAATTCACTTTTAATAAAATGGGTGTGATATAATTTAAGCTTGTTATTCATTTGGATAGCCTGACATGGTTTTGGCGTGAGTTTTTAACGATTTTTATTGACGAAAAACTTTTAGCAGAATCTAAGATTGCTTTGAATCAAACTTGAATGCATAAATGAAATGCGAAAAGATAGTGTACCAGTTTATTCACCTTCTTGACACTGATGACATGCATTGTGTTTTTCAAGCCCTTGACAAAAATAGGAGAAAAAAATATTAATTTGTGATCACTTGCATTCATCTTGAACATTAGAAGCTGAGAATTTGGTTCTGAAATAGGTGTTTGAAGTTCTGAATTGGTCTTTGATCATTTATTCAGTTTTACTACATGATAGTGGCAAGGATATTAAAAATTAAACAGGTATTAGGAGTACCTGCTGCTTTAGCTCTATGTACATTATCCTCATCAATACACAAAGAGCAGCATTTTTATTATCAAATTTAGGCATTTTATATCTTTGCAACCAATTTATGTTGCATATTAAAGTTTATGATGATTGTCCTGTGGATTGAAACTATTTATGGATAGGTTAAGTGATAGGCTGAAAAAGGTGGAGAATATTTTGTGCTGCAGCTATATAAATTGACAAACAGTTGTGCTTTCAAACCCCACTGAATCAAAGTCAGTCAGTTCATCAGTGTCTGACATTGTTCCAACTTCATAGGCCTGAACACAAGCATTATTATCTAGTTGCAATCAAGGGTTTATTAGGGGTGATCTGTATAATTTTCCTAATTGTTCCTAAGACCCTTGTAAACGCTTCTACACTCTTTACTGCCTTCATTACCTATTTGAAAAAGTTGTAAAATATAGGGGAAATATTTTAGAAACTAGAAGTAGCAAATTGATTTATATTGAGCAATTCTTTTTGCTAAAATTCTGTTTCACTTCTTCCTTAGAAGTGAGGTTTTAAGAGTGGATTAATAGCAAAATTATCCAGCTAATTTCAAAGCCCAAATTTCAAATCTTCATGATGGTTTTATTTGTTGATGTGATCTCATCACATATGAAAGCTGATCACCTCATGTTGCTAACCACCATGTCGGTGGTAAATTACTAGGTACTTAGGATTCTGGGGGCTATAGACCCCACTTTTTGGCTGAAGTATCATATAAAAATTGTGGCATCAAAGATCATACTACCAAAGGTGTTTGCCAACTCGCCCAGTGGTCGTATTGAAAAGAGGTTTTCTGGGGAATGAGCTAGTGTATCAAAAATTGGAAAAAAACTATGACAAGGGGACACTATTTGCAAAGATATAATAATATTCTTTAATAACAAAGCATCGAAGATTATCATGATTTGTAAGATTATCTGTAAGATTATCATGATGAACTTTGGTTTAAATGTAGAGATATATCCATCTTTGTTGAATGATTCTCAAAACTCATTTATATCCAGATTTGGTTGCACCTTAAGATTTTGGCAAGCATCCCCACCGGTAATATTCTAGTTTTCCCAACCAAAGCAGAAATAAAGACAAAAAAAATGTCCTTGACAACTTCAAAAACATCATTCTGAAATCAACACAGTTTTTTTTATCCATACCCAGAATGATGCATCTTAAAGTGTTGATAATTAAAGCACAAAAACATGTGTTGCAGTCAAAGCATGTCGCAATGATTTTCCAAGAAATATGCTGACTCAGCAATGAAAGCTGACTCAGTATATTTAAGACTGTGAAAGATAAAGCTATGGAATTTTGGGAATCGCTTTATCTCTATTGACAAAGGAAATACACAAAATTTCATTAAAATCTTGGATGTAGTTACTGGATACAAATTTGTGCTCTACTGGATGATTTGACATAGTTTTACCCCAAGGGCAATTGGGAGTAGAATTGCAGGATAATGAGGAAACCCTGTAAATTACACCTTTGTTTGTTTGTGCAAAACAATCACTTTATGATTTTGGAATTTTAGCCAGAATACTCCAAGAGAAAGTGAATTCCAATGAAGTATATTATGTTTTTCCGTTCTCAATACATGTCACATAAAACTTTTGGTGGCCTGTAAAGATAGTATCTCTCGTCTTACATCCAACTCTAATCTGTATTCATCAACGAGTTAACTTGGCAGATTTATCAAGTTGCAAAGCACAATGTTCTATTATTGATTGGTTCCAATCTCGTCCCCGTTTCAAGCAAGGATGCATTAAAAGTTAGAATACAAGAGATTTTGTGTGACTGCTTTTTTGTTATGAGGTTTTTCTGTCACACTTCACTAATATACGCCTCCCATCATGAGCACTTCAACTTTGATAAGGGTTGTCATGCTTGCTTGAATATTTCATTTGTTTACAAATTTGGTGCGGTTGACTTATCGAGATTTTGAAGTAATGGTGTTTTGGCGAGAAATTTCTCTGTTTTTACTCAATTATTCTGAAAAGACATTCTCGTATGTGTTACACTAATGAATCAATTTGTTGAAAGATTCAATTTTGACGAAAACAACGAAGCAAAATGGGGAGTATTCTGTCGCCTTGAAAGAAATAGCCCAAAAGTTCAAAATACCTTGTTTCCATGGTCGATTATTAGATTCGTAAAAGATTTTCATATGAAGAGATCTGTTTTGCAAAGCAACTCAATTGTTTCATAGCTGTAAGTTAAATAAAGCGATATCAGCGATATCTAAGTTTCCTCTCATAATCTGGATTGTTTTCGTTCCAGCCTATCCATAACCTTTCCATCATGACTGGTGTTTTTAAAGATTCTGTAATGGGGCAAATCACAAAATCTCGTACACCGTTTGTGAAAATCCTATTGTTTTGTCTGAAAATCCCCAGAAATCCTTTTGTTTTAAGCAAAATCTCGTACGCTATTTGCAAGAGTGAATCGCCCCTCGGATTCTGTTATTTGCCTGCAGGTGAAATAGCTTCGTTTTAAAAAGCTTTTGATTAGCAAATTGTCCTAATAAACGTCTATTTTGTACCCCTTATATATTATTTGTAGAGATTCGATTGAATTTCTTTGCTCTCAACTCAGTGAGTTTCTTGTAGCACATTCCGGGAGATGTCTGTTGGTTACAAGCTGGCTCCGTCAGTTAAATGCCCAGGTTGACACGGTCCTTTTTAATCCTATATAGATTTTACATAGATTTATGTCTGAATTCTGATACCTTTGTCTGCATCTCTTTGCTACATTGGATTTCAAAAAGATAGGATAACTCCGCGAAACATAAGATTTCTCATCCATGATTTTTCTTTGTTCGCGGAACTCGGGTTTTTGTTTGTACAGATAATCCAAACTGGAGATATTCTTTACCTATTGAAATTTGAGAACTGTAGACGGGAACAGACTTACGTTTGGTCGAAAACAAGTCGCTGAAATTCAGATAAGAGAATTCCCATCTAATAGTAGACGACAGGAGATCGACCTAAAGTAAGTCCTTCTAAATGATGACAAATATCTTGCTCGTATGAGGCGTATTCGTATTTCTTTTACAATGTTTTCATTTCGATATTAGCGCGTTGTAGGCCGCGTTAACCATGTGGATACTGTAACGTGGTTTTGAAACATTGCAACTTTTGCTGCTAAATTATACCCGGTTTCAATTAGACTGACACCTTCAGATTTGTAATTTGTCAAGCTAAATTTTATGGCTTATTGATACGCCACAAAAAGTTCCTAAATGTAACAATCAATCAGCTTTTGTGCACTTTGCAGCACTCACAGATCTCCATGTTGCCGTAGGCCCGCCAGCTTGTAGGAAATCTGACCACGAGTTTTTGTCAGTAGTCCAGGTTCGGCACTAGAGAAACTCACCTGGCATCGATGTTTTTACCCACCTTTGCATCGATTCACGCAAAGCCTTTTTTTATTGCGTTATTTTCATTGAGACGCCCACTCTTCCATTCATCACCATTCAGCCCAATTAAAGACTACAGATTTCTTCTAGGCAGTTGATGCCTCCGCTTCTGGGTAAGAACCCCAGGTCATTTAATGGCAATGATTCAAAATGTATTCTCTTCAATTTTTCTTTCATCTCTTGACTATTCTCCCTCGCTTCTCTCCAGCCTCCAATTTTACTACCCCATCTTCGTTCGCCCCTTGCGCCCTCCCTCTCCCTTGATTCTTCTTATACCCCCCCATTTTCCCCAGTAACTCCATGCTCTCTCACCACACCTCTTTCAATGCCTGTATTCCTATGCTTCCCAATCTGAGTTTACCGACGAACCCCCTTGAATTACAGAAAACTTTCCAGCTTCTCAGGCTGACCCCCATTTTCAACTTGTTTGTCACTAATTGTTCACTATCAAGCTCTCTTCATCTGGTCGATAAGAGCCAGATGTTTTCCGTCGATGATCTTTGTTCTTAATTCCCAGAGAATTTGAGACTCAGGTGTTCTTAATGTTGCCTTCTCTTGATTTCTGATTTTTTCTTCAAATACATACAGTTAATGGCAGGGGCTTTTAAACAGTACTTTAGAGGGGACAATTGTCCCTCTAACCCAAGTGATCTCCCATTGTTTTAGACAATAGCCTATTATCATCCTTCTTTTATAAACAAAGGTAAACCCCCCCCCCCTCAGCTAATTTTCCTTCGAAATGGCTATGAGCAAACGGCAAATGGGCCCCATGGATGCCCCCCGCTCTTTTTGGGTCTGGTATTACATCGCCTCGCAGCCGTTTCGAGCAGCCTTTTTTATTTGAACAGTATGTGATATAATAATCTAAAGATATTAAATGATGCACATGACCTGCAATATGATCAGCATTGAGTAAACCTAGAAGCTGGAACAACTGTTAAACGATTTTAAAGTTTAAGGGCCATGAGAAGCTGTGCTTATCGAGTAGTGTCCTGGTCCTTCCTCTCGATGTGACCACAACTCGTGTTGACGCCCTCACTCTCTATGTGAAAATTGGTCATGTCAATGATTGAATGCAAAGACCCTTGGTTGGCTTTGTTTGTAACCTTGTTTTTTCTGTGACCTTATTTGGTTGGCTTGATATCAACCAGTCACCATTAAGCATGTCCTCCTCGTCCTTTTTCCCTAGTGTTGATTGGTTAATCTTTATGAAACCCAGACAAGACTTAATTTTTACCCAAACAAAAAGTCATTAGATTAGAAATCTGAAGACAAATGTCCCTGTCACGGTAATTTTATTTCTTTTTTTACCACGTTGACGGATCCCATCTTCGGCAATGGTACTTATGTTTTCTCTATATTTGCGACGGATTCTCAAAGTGTTTTTTATTCTGCAACACTATAACCACAGGAAAACTAAGCAGAGGAAAAAGACTGATTAGCTAGCTCAGTAGACATTTCTTCATATTGAAATGTCATCCATTATTGAAAAAGCTCATGAGGTTTAAGAATGAATTATTAAAAAGTTGGAATGATCTACCGCAGCTGCATTTCAACACAGTTGGCAAAGGCGTGTCACTACAAAGGTAGTTTTTTGTTTAAGCTCGAGCAGCGTGCACAAGATCGTAGGCCAGTCGAGAAACTCGTCGAGGATCGTGGCATTTAAGTTGTAAGAACTTTTTTCTGTCGTCATTTACTATAACACGTTATCTCGAATAAGGTTATTTTGTATCTGATGGTAAAATTTCCTCAAGGCTTCCTTTATCCTTCGTTTTTCTATAGGTCATTGTACTCAAAGGCTTAGTCTTTTTGTAAATATTAAAGCTTATAGTGAATTGACAAATATGTTCTCTTGCACTGTATAATTCTATTTGATACATGCTTGGGGATTTAGGCCACCTACCAATAACCCTAACTAGCTTCCACAAATCTAGCCAATCTTGTTATTTTGTTTTCAGAATCAGAAAGTGACTCTGGTAACAGAATATTGCTTCAGTTAACATTTGAGCAACATTTCCTAGCCTGCTCTCGCAATTTTCTCTCTTAAGTATGACTTTTCCACATAATCTAAGCGAATTTGTACAATACAACATGTTTCTTGGGAGTAAATCAAATCGCCGGTATTTATCTTCGGCAGTGTTAGATATATTCCGGGTGAATCCTACTTCTTTACAGTCTGTTGTCTTATTCAAAATGGCTGCATTATCTTAAGGTAGCGTGGTTAAGTTATTGACTTGAATGTTCTATAGTGGCGTATGAATATTTCAGAGTTTCGTGGGAAGCTTTGGGAAATGAAAAGTAAAAAATGCCCGTGTGAAATTTTTGAAGGATGGCCGCTATAATTTTTTGGCAAGAGAAAGCAGTGGTAAGATGCTAAGTTAGAAGAGGTGTTTTTTAAAAACAATGAGGGTTTGGCTTTAGAAAGTAGCGATGCTGTGCGATATTCCTCTGTCTATTGCGATGTACTACTTGCGTCCTGTCATCACTGTGTTATAATAGTCACAAGGGAGGGTAACATTTATCTCCAGGGAAACTTTTCCTGTAAAATAACCAGTTTGGTATTCATATTTATTTTTTTTAAGACAAGTTGTAATGCAAAGCCTTAACTCGTAAAATTTCGCAGAGATTTACCAATTCATATCGTTTACAGTTCACTTAAAAAATTGGTTTTACCCAAAGATTTAACGGTGAAATTGATATATTTTTCGAACTTACCTTAGCCATGTCTTTTTTCCTTGAGCCAAAATTGACACGATCCATGATTTTGAAGAAGAGAGGTCTTCTTTTAAAGGCTATTGCGCAACCGGCATGCTTTGCGACTATATTTTCAAAACCGGCCTAACATCGTATTGCATGAAAATAGAGAATACAGCCCATTTCGCTACTGCAAAGCATGCCGGGTGCTCAAGACCCTTCAAATACCCTCATTATGAGCCGGAAATAATTTTGGTGCTTTTTCTTTAGTTTTACTTTCGATGCAGTTTTTTAGTATAATTTCAATTACATCTTCATTAGATTGGTACAGAATGGATCAGAAACCAGAAGTCAAAGAAGTTAAGAAATTTGACATTGATGCACATAGTGCCAGGACAAAGACCCCACTGCCGGGCCTTAGAGACTCAGATTTGAACCAGGAGGCTCTGCCATCTGCGAGACACGCAGTCAAAGAAGAGTATTCTGACTATGTGAAGCTTGCCAAGTCAGGCGGACATCAGGGTAAGTTTTCTAGCACTCGATGTATTTTCTACGCAGAATTTATCAGCTAGCACGCTTTGAAGTGTTTCATTGGAAGCGAAAGATTGTAAAAGACTTAGGTAAAGGGGGTAGCACTTGTGTTTTAATCGTAAAATCGAGGCACAACTTGCACTAGTGTTTTAATTGGACCATTTTTTGGTTCTTTTGATGTAACAACAACATGGTCGAAATTAAATGTCAGTCTCGTGTCTGAATGAAATGCAATAAGCTAATTGAACATGATGGTACTATAAATAGGTAAGTCTGTTTATGAACAAAAAGCTTGTACAGCTCTGCCTTTACGGAATAGAGCACTTTATGACAGACCGGTAAACAGGTATTTTCATAAACTTTCGCTAATATTGTAATCTTCCCATGCCTTTCAAATGAAATTTCAAAGCTGAGTACCAACAGGACAGACGAAAGCAGACGTAAAGATATGTACCTGGAGAGATTAACCGGTCCTGTTATCCTTTTTGCCAATTACGGGTCCTGTGAAAGTTTCAGCTGACTAAAGATGGATCAACGTAATTAGAACAATTTGTGTCACAGTCTTTTGCCAAATGTAACCCTGCACTAATAGTAAATGTAACCTTTAAAAATATTCACCCTCTCTGTTACCAAATTAACCCACAAAATTTATGTTCCTGTTGCTGTCAATCACTTGACACGTTTCATTACCTGCTGGGCTTCATGTTACTTATGTTACAATATAAAAACAAAACTAAGTCTTGCTTCAGTTGAAAGAGTTGTGCCGACTTTTTGAAGTTGCGAGGATCTAAAGTATTTAATGTCGCTGTATGGTTATCCATTCTCTAAAAGCAAGTAAGATTTGGCGGCTAGAGCATTCAGTGCCTTGAAATTAAATAACTTATTCTAAAAAATATCCAAAAGATAAGAGGCGATTCAAAACATTTGTATAATGACATTCCAACTTGCCCATTTGTAGAGTCAGGTAAGATCTTTGCAAACAAAGCCTTTAATACTGAACATGTAAGCCAGGAAAAAACCGAGAAGGGATTGTTTCGTACTTTTTGGTGAATTCGTTCATAAAAACATTTTCTTTAAACGTCGGGACAAGTAAAAAACTTTCAAAGTCACACCTTTCTCGAAAACGGGGAAATTCCAAGAAAAATATAGGCACCTTGCACCAAAGGAAGGATAGTCTTTGTGGCTCACTGTACTATACAGCTTGTTTTGGGTAGTGTTGCAACCATACATTTGGCTGATCTAGTACAAAGTTGTGTTAGAAGGGTGTAGTTGAGAAGACAATGAAAAAGAATTTTTACATATTACAGTGATAGAATATTTCATTAGGAAAGCAACATAGATGTTTTTTTTCAAACAACAACACAAATTGTTATCACTAGAGGGGGAAGCTGCAATTTCCTTATTTTGAGTCCAAAAAGCGGTCCATTTAGGCGGTCCAACTTTTTAACTCTGGAGATCGCCGAGGGAGGAGAACTTAAGAACTGTTGTTTCAGCCATTCACAGGCCTGCAACACTTATCGGTATCGTCCGAAAAACGGATGAATGACCGCTCCTCTGGCAACTGATGAAGCCCGCTCGTCAGTGACATTTGATTATCGTTGATTAGTTAGAGACTGAAGATAAATATCTAATGAAACTGGCTACATTTTAGTTCATCTATTAAAATTTACAGTACCCTTTGGTCAATACGGAGATTTCCGATAATTTCTGAAAATTTCCGATAATCATATCCTTGTACATTCAGGACTTCCAAAGATTTGTGATTAGTAGCGAAAACGAATTTTTTGCACGGCTGTTTGCTCAACTGTAAACATTGTCCGGCAACACATTTTATCAATATTTTAAAACATTACATCGTATGACTGCTTAGACTCTTTGTTGCCTGAAGCCATAACTCATATTAAAGCCAATTGTCCAGATCTAATTCATTGAATGTGATGCTCTGTCTGGTCATCTGTTATTATTGTCCATACATTTTGTTCGGTTTTGGTGGGAAAATTGACTCATATTTAGTTAGTATAACAATGCCTATTGAGTTTTTATTGTGAAAAAAACACTCTAATCGTGAATGTTGCCATCGGCGATTTCTTTTGCATGCTCACAATAATTTTGGACATGCGTACTGTTTTGCGTGAATGCGCATCACTCATCTCTTCATCACAACCAGTACTAATTGTTAGGGGACACCTGGTTTTGGGACCTAGAGCGACAACTTTTGAGCTCAAGTTACGTGACATGTAAAAGTTGATCATTCAACGCGAATCCAAATCAGGTTGCTTAAAGCTAAATTTGTAGTCCATAAAAGCTGCTTTGGGAGAACACCATAAAGTACCTAAAATGTGTCTTTTGAATTTATTGTTTTTTATATTATATCTTATCTTAAAAATACTCCCCGTGGGAAAATTTTTTTCACTGCAGATACCTTTGATCTGTTTAAATGAAAGTTACATTAATGAAATGTGACCATGTATTGAGTTTGTGTCGGAATTGATTCTGAGACCACGTCTCTAATTTATGCATTTTCATGCATAGTGTCGACATCAAAACAATGAAGGACTTTTTTCTATAACACTAGAAACAAATACAAAATTCAAATTAGTTTTTGTAAAGGTGGAGACAAAAAGATACTATCAAGTTTAGTAGAGCCAATCTTCATGTACAATGCTGAGCTATGGAACATCACCACCACTCTAGAAAAGAAAATAGCAGGCTTCCAACATCGAATTCTGAGATGGATGCTAGGAGTAAAATGGCAAGAAAAGAAAAAGAACACAGAAATTGACAAGATTGCTGGTATGACATCATGGGTGGACAAAATCAAAGAAAAACGAAGAAGATGGACGGGTCACATGCTGAGACTAGATGATGAAACACCTGTAAAGAAGGCTTTAAGAGAAGCTAGAAGACCTGGAAGAGCCCATAGGGGAAGAAAAAAGTACATATGGATAACACAAACAATGACCAAAGACTTTAAAGATATGAAGTTAGATGGATGGAATGAAGCTGAAAGAGCGGTGCAGGATCGAGTGTTGTGGCGAAGAACAGTCAAACGAAGCCTTTTTTTTTTTTTTTTTTTTTTTTTTCACTATTTGATGTACACAATGTTGTAAATACAACGGAATGTGTGATTATATATAGACAAAAACAAAACGTTATCGAGTGGCCTCCGCACCCAACATTACGAATATTCCTATACTTGACAAAATACACTATAAAAAAGAGTACAGCATAATACAGCACAGAACAGTGAAAGATAGAGTAGTCAAGAAGAGAGTCGAGAAATAATTCACCATTATACCAGCAAATAGGATGTCTACGTGATGACGTCTTAAATTTTTTTTAGTATTTTGAATTTGCCACATAGCCTGGAAGAGCACCACGAGATACCTTCAGATTTTCAAATTGGTCTTGGATTTCTGACAGTCATGAACGAGGGGCGAATCAATCCATGGAAATCTCGTATACCTTTGATTGAAATCATATTGTTTTACCAGAAAAGCCCTTAAGATTCCTCATATTTATGCGGAAATCTCGTACGCTCAGGGGCGGATCCAGGGCATATTTGAAGGAGGGGCAGTCGGTAGTGGGGGCGCTGAAAAATTTTCAAAAATTGGTGACGAGAGATTTTCAGAATAAACAACACAACTTTCAGGTAATCTTTGAAGCGAATTAACCTATCGGTCTCAGAAACTTTTTCACCTGATTCTCATTCTTCGAAAAAGGCGCAAAATTTCTAAAAAAGGGCGCCACACTTGCTTCAACTCGTTGAGGGAGGGGCAGCTGCCCCTAGTTGCCCCGTCTTAAATCCGCCACTGCATACGCTGCTTACAAAAACAGATTACCCCTCGTACGGGGATGTGTGGTAAAAAAATAGACAACCCTCTCTTCTTGCTTCTTTCATTCTTTTCTTTTAAATCGACACTGCCATATACAAGACATGGTATGCTCAAAGGCCGCCAAATGTGTTCTTCAACTTCTACATGTTTGTCATATTTTAACTTATTTAAATAATTTTCTCCTATCTACTTCGTTAGAACAAAGCCTTTCAAGAATGTCCTACAGGTATCTTATCTATAGATGTGGTAGCTGGTTTGGTGCCTCTTTTGATCTCTATTGTACGCGTGCTTACCTGTCAATTACCCACAAAGCATTTTACTGTACGTGTTTCGCTACAACGGATAACTATCACATATTTCAGAAACGGAAAGCCAAAAAACGGATACAAATCACGCGTCTTCAAACCATTAAAGATTGTTGTATTAGATCATTTTGCGTAACATCAAAAGCAATTCCCGCCAAAACGGGTTGTTTGTGAACTGCTTGTTCTTGGACAAAGAATTCATTCACGGTTGTCATTCGAGAATCAAAGCCCAGCAAACCTGAATATTTACCTTGTCCTTTGCACATATGCGTTATTAATAAACATTTTGAAAGTCAATCGTGATGCCAACATATTGCTGTGTGACATAGGCCAAGGAAAACTGTAGAGCTTGTAGTTCCACATCTAGGTTATTTGAAGCGAAGAGTAGAATTCTTGATCATTGTAATGTCTGCAAATTCTGGATCTTTTGCTCACTTAGGCCTGCTCAAAATCGATGGCGCTGCAAAGGAACAAAATGGCGATGTACGTCCCCGTTCCAGAATCAACGACACGGATTCGGCTTACGTTAAGATGGCGAAAATTGGAGGCCATGCAAGTAAGTGTTTTCTTTACACGTATGTTACGCTGCTTGCAAATATTGCTGTCACAAGTTCTGTTGTTACTAGCCGCTTGCCTAAGGATTGCCATCAATGACGTGCCTAGGTCTCTCGCAAACTGAAGGGGCAAATGTAAGATAGGTCGCACACAGTTATCACTTCACACAGATTCGATAAATGCCATATTTTTACTTAAATGGAAAACACTTGTTAGATGTAATGATTAACAGATATATGCTTCTATCTATCAAAGAAAAATTAGCATCTCTTTAACTATCAAAGAGAATCATTTTTATATGGTCTATGCAATAAAGAACCATTGTCTCCTTCACTAACTCATTTTTTGTGCTTATTTTCCATGCTTTAGGAAAACGTTTCAAATATATATATTCCCAAGGTTGTCTCCTAAATAAATGTTTACCAAAAACGTGCTGTGTATTTTGGAAAATATTGTTTTTTTAAAAAATGACAAATCTCTCACAAAAGACAGTATGCCTTGGTTAATTTCTGTGTCAAAGATTCTAACAGTTGTTTTGGGTTATCAAAGAAAGTCCTCTCTGTTCATTCAATCCTGATAATTCATTCAATCTCAATAACTTTAAGCAGCCTCACCAACAGAGCTAGTTACATGAAAGTTTTATAGGTTAATAAAGTCTTAGGAGCTTATTGTTAAACTTTGCCTAGAAATATACTCCTCCCCCCGCCTCAACAACACCTTAAATATACTTAATTCTCAAAAAGTTGATAAAGTTCCACGGAAAATGTTTGCTCTTCGTTTAATTAATATCCTCCAGCTAAATTGTGTAGTTTCACCTGCGATTTGATTCCTTTAATGAATCCTTTTTAAAAAGTAAGTGTTTTAAAATGCATTTGTAATGAAATAGTTTCTTGCTTTTTATTATGTTTTGCTTTGTGATCTCAAGAGACAAGGGTAGTTTTGTGCACTTCGGGTAAGGAATATCTCAGAATCCTTTCTCGAATCAGTCTTGTCTTTGACTGAGAGATATTTTCAAATTGAAATTAATTGTCAATTTATCGAGTGTTTCCCTCGGCTCATCTTCTTCTCATCTTTGGCTCCTTCCCCTCTCGCTTTTCTTTTGGAGCACAGTAGCTCCAACTGCCTTTTCTTCGAGTCATGACAGCTGCCATGATTCGCTGGTTTTGAATTGAAGTTGACTAACAAGGAGACTTCTTGTTTGTGCAACAGATCTGCTCAAGATGGACGGGGTTGCAGAGGAAGTACCAACGCAGAAGAAATTGATCAAGGAACACGATTCAACTTACGTAAAAATAGCAAAGTCCGGAGGGCATTCCGGTACGGTTCCAGACATTCAAAAATTAGACCTTTCTTCTCTAAAGTAGCAGTTTTATAGAACCCAAACCATTGATTTTGATTTTTCGTCTGATAATACTCATATCTGAGTTTTTTCTAAAAAGATAGCACTTCAAATCCTTTCTGTGAGAATTCATATTTCTTTCTTTGGGAAAAAGCAGTTTTTAGTATACGCTGCTTTTCTCAAACCGAAGTTCCAAACTTCCATTATTTGTATTCTAGATGGTTGTTTGTATTCTAGATGGTAGAATCATTAATATGAATAATTAGCCATTGCCTTTTTAGAATAAAAAGGGCAAACTGCAGCCTATTTGTTGGTAAAGCAATATCTGTTCTCTTTCAGATCTCTTGAAAACTAATGGAGCCCCGGTAGTTGAATCCCCCAGAAAGAACCAGATCAAAGAAACTGACTCTGAATACATTAAACTGGCCAAAAAGGGAGGGCATTCAGGTATGATTTTGATCCGCTCGTTGGTTTATGAACATCTTCTGGCGTCCGTAAAATTAACTGTAGGTCTCGTTTGCTGTGAGCCATACGTAGGTAACATACTTTTTAAGAGTGACCACTTGTCTTGAGTTGATATCCTGATGTGGTTGAATGTGTTCTTCGCTGTTTTTTGCCTTCCCAGCGTCGCAACTGATAACCATTTTGTTAATAGGAGGTGTGGTCAACATTGTCTAAGCCAATGGGCAGCACATCAGTGAAGTTGCTTCATCTTTTCAGTCATGGTGGCCATTAGTGGCACCCTTGAAAATCATGCTGCTCTATTTGTCTCTCTTCCCGTGTCAGAATCTGTCAGTCCAGAAGAATCATTATTGTAAACGATTAAACGATCCCCCCCCCCTCCCCCCATTTTTTTGTGGTTTATTCCATCTCTTTTTGCCAATTAACAGACGGCTTTTTAAGGCGAGTACCCAATTTTGAATTAGCCTCTTCTGGAATTTCAATAGGATCTTGTGTCCGTCTCTATAATACAGAACAATATTGTTTTTAAACCACCCTCCCCCCCTCGTTACCCAACGATTCCCTTAAGCATAGAACTCAGTGCTCGATACATGCTAACTATCCTCTCTGCCATAGGTCTCCTCAAATCTGATGGAAAGGAAGCGGAAAATGCTGTAAGGAAAAACAAAATCAAAGACTCAGATTCAGAATATGTGAGACTGGCAAAAGCAGGAGGACACTCCAGTATGTACTTTTCAGCTTTTGCTTACCAAGAGTTTCAGAGTGTCGCGTAATGTTGTACTGAAGAACAATATCCGTAGTCCACTTCTCCTCCTCCGCATTACCCTCTTTTGCAACAGTTTTTAAGCACGGTCGCAAAGCACCCTGGAACTCAGTGTGACTTCTTCTTCCATCATCATTCGTTTTTCCTCATCAAAAATATAAGTCTTACAACCACAGTCTTCAGAGTACACAAAATTTGCATTGTTTCGAAAGTCACTAATGTCAACAAAGACGCATCCTTTGACAATGATAGAAAGTACTTTTAAAATACACTGTTTCTTTTAAAATATACTTTTCACGATGATAGTTGCAAGACACTCAGAAGCAAGCACTTCTATCGACCGTAGCGGTTTATTTTTTTAAATAAAAATGAGCGAAAGTATTGGCAACATGTTACACTATGAAATATGTTAATCTTTGATATTTGTTGAGCCACTCTCAAAATTTATTGCTTTAGATCTTCTGGCAAGCGAGAGCACAACTCCGAAGGCGGAGTCTTCACTCCCCAGAAGAAGAACCTCTAACGAGGGCAGTGATTACGTTAAGCTTGCAAAGAAAGGTGGAGATGCAGGTATGAAAGTCTTTAATCATTGCTTCAATCCTTGCCAGAAATTCTGGTGCACAACACTAACTTCTTGCATTTTTTCATTGCACCCCTTTGATTCCTTAACCAATAGTTTATAATCAGAATACAAAGTTTTCAGCAATTGAACTGTAAATTTTGCTCAGAATTGACCATTAGGTATAATAGTTTTAGGGAATTATATTTTGAACTATTTCACAACAACAGGAAGCAGTTTCTAAAAGTCTAATTGACCAACGGCACGTTCTCGTAGACTTTATTTGTCCGTGTATCTACCTAGTTTCCGAAGGAAGGTTTTAGGACTTTAAGAAGCTATGCTGATGGGGCCGTGTCCTGGTTCTTCCTCTTGTGATCCTACGCCTTTGATTACTGAGAGCTGGACACTCTCCTCAATCCTAGTAAAGGTTTTGGTCATGACAGGAACAGTCAACCCTAGAGAATCTGTACGGGCATGCCGAAGCCGGGGGGCTATGTGGGCTGTAGCCCCCCTGCACTTTTTCGCTGAAGTATGATATCAAGATTACGGCATCAAAGACAACTGTGCCAAACCATGATTGGAGCCCCATCCACTTGTCTAGAGCCCCCCACTCAAAAATTTGCTCCGGCGTCCTTGCTGTAGTCCGCCAACCTCACCATTGAGCCATCCTTACAATCACTAAGCCATCCTTACAATCACTGAGCCATCCTTGTAGGGTTTCACCTTGACCTGTTCATAGAATGAGCTTGCCTTCATTCGCATGTATGCATTAACCTTTTCTTATAGACCTCTTGAAGATGGTTGAGAAAAAGCCGGCTACTCCGAATCAAAAATACAAGTCAGCCAGCTCTGACTGGTTCCAGCATAACGACAAAAGAACTCCAGAGCCAATCACAACAGGTATGCAAGAGACCTTGTAGCCTTAATGCCTTTAAAATATGACTTTTGTGAGACCTTATCAGTTGGGAGAAAGGAATTAAAACACTTTTGTTACTTGGCAACTTAGAAGCTCTTGTAGGAGAATGCTGGAAGGGCAAAATCATAAGTTGGCATGAAGTGGCGTCTCCTAATCCTGATAATAGTAATTTTTCAAACACAGGTTTCAACTGAAGAGGGCTGGGTCTTTTAAAGGGATGTTGTCAAAGATTTCCGACCTATTTTGTCTTCAAAATACAAATCAGATCCCTGCAATGCAAGGCTTTTTTGTTTCATTTTCAAAATATTTTCTCTGCTAAATCGGCAAGAATAATTTCAGCTGGAAGTTTGAGAAATAAGAAAGGTTTAATTAAACACCCGAAAGAATGGTGTTTAATTAAGTCAAATCTTATATGTAGCCTTCTTATATGAAAGGTCCTCGAATCACAGGTCATTGAATGATAACGAATGATATTACATCATGAGTTGTTGTGAGTTGTTATTAGCTGGATTTTTTTCAATGCCGTAAAAACTTTATGTCTGTTTTATTTTCAGGCAAAGGAAAAGGTGCAAGGAAAGACACCAACAACAACAGTAACAGGTATGCTTGCGTTAAGTAGGCTAATTTTTTTTAAAAATCAACGATCAGGTTGAACAGACTGGCTTAATCAGCCTGCTGAGCTGTGTTAAGGCACTATATCCCGACGCATTTCACCGGCCATTTAAATTTTCCATTGGTTGGACTATAAAATAAACCCTTTTATACGTATCCAATCCAGTCGGCTAATTCTCAACGTTTTGTCGACCATAAACTTGCTGCAAAGGCTGCTTCTTACTCTAAACGGTTGACTGTCGGGTCATAGTGCTTTCAACACTATTCTGCAATTCTTGGAACCTGTTTTGTGTGTTTTGTTATCAGTCAACCAAGCCTCTTATTGGGTACTCATAGTAAGTGAGAAAACTGTGATGGTATTTTGTAAAACGTATCTTTTTAGTTTAACTTTGTAATTTGATTTTCCTGTTTAAATAATTTCTTTAGATGCCTAATCGCTAAAGATCAATGGCGAAACATTTTTCCTTACACGATTGTGTTATATGACCGTAATTTCCCCTTTCACAATTCTATTTTTTAAAACCCAGTATGTAAATTTCTAAGATACAAAGTGATATTTCACAATGCCTTAATTACAAAATTTGAAATGCCATATTTCTTGCATGCAATAATTTTTATCGACTCTATTGAAGATAAGTCGTTGCATTTTCTATTGGCAAACAATCTTTAGCATTTGTAAACATCCGTCATATTTCACAGTGTTATCTTGCCTTCTGCCGAGCCTCAAACTCAGAAGTCTGGAAAACGTTTGTATCAAGTACAAACAGATAGAGCTCCAGCCCCTTTCGCTTTACATTATTAAGCAGAAAGTTGGTAAGTAGGTGATAATTCCATCTAACATTTACTGGACAAAGCCTGCTTTTGAACGGGCTTCTAGCAACATTTTTCTGTGTCGATCAGCAAATCTCGAAGTTGTCTCAATAACCTCACAATTCATTTATTCAATCCATAATTTCTTTTCTGAAGCAATTTTATTTTATACCTTCTATTTATATCAAGATCATTCATTTGATACTGAAATTAACCTGTAAGTGCAAGGCTTGAATAAGAAGGGGCAAATATGTTCATGTGATATTTGCAAAGACTTACGTACATTAGCAAGATTATAGACAAAAACAAATTACAAGCGTTTAATGAATTGTCTGCCCTGAGCTTCAGTAATGACCAATGTGGGTTGCTAAAGATGTGCTAGTTATATAAATATTGTGCTATTCTTTGATAATTTTTGAAAGGCTGTGTTCCGTGATCAAACAGTCATTCACGACAGTGTGCCTGCAGCATCAGGTAGAACTGCGTCTTGTTTTGTCTCGAAGAGAAAATGTCGAGAGTTGACGTCATTTTATTTAACGAGAACGTTTGGTATGCTGGACATTATCGTTTTTGTGGCAAGCATAAACTTTGCAGCATGTATTGAAAGTGTATTGAAGAAGTGAATTTTTTCAACAAGTGCCTCGCCAGCCCTAAATTAAGACATTTCAACCGGCCTTTTTTTTGCGAATTCACGTGTTTTTTATGCTGAATTTTGGACATACAGTATTTATTCGAATATTAGCCGCGGCTTACAATTGTTTTTTTGGCAGTGGCTTGTAAACTATGTTTTACCCATAACCAACATCCTGCCAAGATTTCTTGCTACCTTGAAGCTGGGGGAAATAATGTAGAACATGAGGAAGAAATACTTTTCGACGATAAATATCTATCATCTGTCATGTCTTTTTTATTTAAGTACATAATTAGGTTTTTGTCAGTTTTTGGTCCGCATCTTAAACCAACTATCTCTGCAGGGTTTTCTTGGTGCAGCTTATAATCAAGGGCGGCTTATAACCGAATAAATGCAGTATTTATTTTCGCAATTTTTAATTGCGAAAATAATCTGTCATGTCTTTTTTATTTAAGTACATAATTAGTTTTTTGTCAGTTTTTGGTCCGCATCTTAAACCAACTATCTCTGCAAGGTTTTCTTGGTGCAGCTCATAATCAAGGGCGGCTTATAACTGAATAAATGCAGTATTCATTCTCGCAATTTTTTAAATTTATACTCTTAATTTGTTTCAGTTCAAGAACGGATTGTTTGTTTTGGTTGGCAGCATATCCGAATCTAGCTACAATTACCATTAACCGTTGGTTGCCTGCAGCATCAGAAATCGTACTTAGTGGTGTTTTAATTAAGAAAAAAGGTTCGTTAATAGCATCAAAATGTGTTTAAACATCTACGTAAAAATAGTGGTTGTTTTGCCTCATTGAAAGTATACATTGAAAGACTAGAAAATAGTTGTAAAGATGTTAATCTTTTCTTCATATAGAAATAGAAATCATGCTGTAAAAAAAATTTAGTTACTTATTCCCTTTAAAGAGAATTACCCAATGCCTACATTGCAAATGAACTTTGCACAATTTTACTAAATTCTGCATACAGTTTCAACGTGCCAACAAACCCTCTGTCAATTTTAGCTTACCTTTGCAGCAAATTTTGCCTGTTATTTTAAATTTCAAACAATAATATGAAAACTTTAGGCCAAAATGAACCAATACAAAGATTATTCAAATGACGTTATCAAAGGGAATTTCTCATATTCTCCTCCACTCATAATCCTCTCATATTTTAGAACTATTTCCTTAACACCCATGTAGGAGCCCGACACTTCTATCTAAAAGCCTACATCCAATTCAGAAATAATATCACAATTTTTGTTAAAGCCTTTTACATGCTGTATTCCGACTTCTCTCCCTAATAACCTTAGAAATACTTTTCACTTCTAACTAACGTTTACAGTACACCCCCTTTTGCGTAGGTTTAAAACTTGTCACCCGCATGGCCTAAGCTAAAGCATTGCAACGACTGTTTAGGCCATCCAAAAAACATCTATTCTCAGCTCAATGTTGTTTTTAAACTTAAATTAGATTAAGCAAAGCTTCATAGACTTCTGCTTTATAAAACCATAATGGTTTATTTAACACAGCTTGAATATCCTCGTGTCAACTAGACTTTTTAGCAATTTTCTGTAAAATATTGTACGTTGCAAAACTGTTTTCTGGTGCGTTAGCCATTTTATTTTTGTATAACTTTGGTTTTACGTATTTAACTACTTACTTATCTTGAAAAACTGCAGTAAATTGCTGTTTCGATTTTGTTCAATTATTTTGTTGCCCTTGATGTTGAATGAACTTGAATAAAAATGTATAAGAATGCATAAGTCAAATTCATTTTGGAGTCCCTCTATGCTACCTTGAATTATGTTCAGTCTACTCTAAAATCTTAAATAAATACTAACCCCCTCTTGGAGTACTTGGGGTAGTCCCCTTTAAACTCCTTATTACAATTTACTTGGGTAACGTGCTGCTTTGTTAATTTTGCACACAAGATTTGAATATTTTCACAGAAATTGAAGTCCATCAATTTGCTAGCAGTAATCGCACGGCACATAACAAGGCTTGGGCACAGAGGCTGAGGGTTAATGGCTGGGGGCGCAGTGGCTTGTACGAAATGTCGTGGGGCAAACTATAGCCTTTTTAAGGCCGATTTCCATTAGGCGAATTCTTTCGCGCGAGTCGAATAAGTATTCGTAGCGATAGAATAGGAACGTGATCTACTTTCTGCGAATCGAATTTTTTCGCTGCGAGATTTGAGAACATTACCCCACGTATGCTCACATTGGCAAAATGTCGATTCGCGCAAAAGAATTCGCCTACTGGAAATCGGCCTTAAACAGCCTATCTTAGGGATATTACGAAAATTCTGCTACTTTGTTTCGTCATAAAGATGACAGCCTTTATTCACTCTAGCATGCAAATTAATTGTGGACATAAGTTGTGCGTTTTTAGTCCCTTGGGGAAATGTTGCGCATGATTAACTGTGGAGAGGGAATTGAAGTAACGTCCCAAGTTAATACATTATACCAAGGCCAGGGATTGCGATGATTTCGCGCCATTTGCAAGAGTCTTCAGTCCGAACGCACGTCCACTATAAGGGAAGTTTTATGGCCAAATATTATGAGTTAGGACGCGTACATAAGAATAAAATATTGAAGCGTTGCTCTTCAATGAAGTTGACACAGTGTGTTGAAGACCCTGCTTGGTGAAATTTTAAAGGTTTGTGTTGTTTTTGATACTTGTTTACACTCTGACTCGGTCCAAATATCACAATTGTACGGATTTGTTTATACTTTCAGCGATGTGAACAGGCAAGAATAATATCTGTGGACGTCTTTCTTTATTTTCGTGGGTGCCCATTGTATTCCTTTTCTTTCAGTACACTATTATAAAATAAATATACTACAGCTTGACAATCTTCGGACACCACTACAAGGCTAAACATGACCAAAGACGTCCAAAATGAAAAACGAGGCCTATAGTTAGCATGAACATATTTCGTGAATAAAACTAATTTAGTGACTTACACAACTCGATTCTGCTACCGTGGCCTTTCACTGTATGCACATTACGAGTAATACTTGAATGAAAATTATAATAGTCACAATTTTTAGTATAATTTTTAGTAAACTACGCTACGCATAATTTTGAGGCTTCAATCGGTTTCCACGAATCCAACGTCAAACAAAAGACGAGTCAATTAAATGCTTCATAGTCAGCTAGAATACGCAAATCCAATTACATCGTCTTTTAGTGCTTTAATATTGAATACAAAACAGTTGTTTTGCTCATAGTTTGTAACTATGTTTTGCTTAACTATTTTGAATAGCCTCGACTGAAGGTTAACTTGCCTTTGCAGTTATACGCTTAGGCAGTTACCTATAAATATATCTAAAATGTGTGCTAGGCACAGTCCGGGGTGTTTTACTTCTCTTTAAAAGCATCTTCTACGGTAGATCTGCTGAAAAATGCTTTCAAAGTTTTCACTACAACCATTTTCGTGGAACTTGCCATTTCAATAAGGTTAGCACGGACAAAGTCGGCGACTGCATAGGGATCGAACTGGACAGAGAAGAGTCGGTTGTGCTTGGTCTTCTTCGCCGCCGTGTACTGGGTTTGTATCTGACTACTCTTAAGACGTCTAGGCTTGGCAATCCGGGCGTCCGCCAGGTCTATATATGCACACATGCCCCATTCGTGGTTATCGAATTTCAAATACACTGTGTGGAAATGGATTGCCTCCTGTTCTGCCTTATTAAGCTTGATTCCAAGTTCTTCGTTAAGACAAAAAGCAGCACTGTGGAGGAGTGATACAAATGTTTCATTGTCTTTCTCGACGTAACTTTCTTTGTAAAGACTTTTTGTAACTGTGCAGGTGAATAAGTGTGGCCCTGGGAGGCCACCTCGACTCGGATTGGTGCCTATAGCAAAACGAAAGTTTAAAATTAGTTATAATTCTTACACAATTGCTTCTTTATTGTATATTCAATCCACTGATTCGTTTATCAATTGAGATATGGATTCAGAAAGATACATCCTCAAAATGAAATAGATTTTCAACTCCTGTTTTGGTTCATAAATCAAAATACAATGACTGCAAAAAGTATCAATTTCACGACTTGATTTGTGCAGCTTAAAGCCTTTTATCGCATGTTCCTGTGCAGTGCAACCCAATAAGCGCAGTGGAGTTGTATTTCTTTGTGAAATGAGAACATAGTGCCAAGGAACACGTGTGCAGCGACGATGGAGAAGAAGGCGTCGAAGGAAGAGAAAAATGTGGTTACTTCCATGGATTTGAAAAAGAAAGCAAAAAAGGAATCCAAGCATTGAATCTAAGAACTTGCTGGCGAAGACAAGGAAATGTCTCTACGCTTTTTCCGAGTCCAGCCTTATAAAATGGAGGGGCACATAAATGCATCGGGCTGATTTTTATTTCGTTCTCTGCTATTTCAATTTGATACCCTCTGGAAAATTCCCTTTGATAAACCACGCTGATTGGTTCTCGCAATAATCCCCAACGATTTTTATCGTTTAGTACAGCACACAAGACGATTTTTGTCTTTGAATCGGGTTGCGCAGAAAAATGTGACAAAAATGCGGTGTTCGGCAACGAAAGATTTCAAATCAAGATAAAGATCGCATATATCTCCGATAAAAATATTTAGTGTGCGCTAGGCATGCATTTTTCTCTTTGTTCTATCTCTCGAGGACGATCGAGGACTCAGAAAATGATTGGCTAACGGTTGAAAATAACCTCCATTTGCTGACAACGTATTTTTGGATAGAAGTAGAATTTGTTCCATGAAAAAACTTGGGTTTTGAAAGAAAGTTACTGGCAAGCACAAAGTTTTATAGCCCTTTTTAGTCTTCTTTTTGAATTATTTGGAGTCGAATGTATTCAATTCAGCTATTAGATAACCTAAAACAAGGGCATTGAATAGGCTTATACTATTTACATACTTACCTGTGTTTTCCCTCTGGAAAAACAGGACCTTTCTGTCAGTAGTGATGACAGCCAAATGTAGGCCAAAAGAGGTGCTGAAGCTACTATTAACAATCCTTTTGCATGGCACTGCAGAGAGTTTTTCATCTGACGTCATCATTTCCCGCCAAACAGCTCGCAATGACCGATGGTGCACGTAGCTAGTTTGAGTGAATTCTAGTCTAATGAAATGATTGCTTCCATCTGTTCTCAGAGGAATTTGCAGGCTCTTCAGAGCCACTGAAGTGTCTTTCTTTATCTCTCCGGACTTTGTAAGCTGCAAAAGGATGGCTAGATTTAAGATATGTTGCGAGAATTTCAGATTTTGGGCAACCACCAACAATGTCTGGTACAGCCGAATTCCTGGTACACTGTATACACAAAATTTTTGAATATTTCTTAAAGAAATGTTGCTTTCGACCCCCTATAATAGGCCTTCTGTCTGGCAGCAGCGGTTTTAGGGGCTGCGGGGCCAGGGGCCAAAAATATCTGCGTGGCCCTTGTTCTTTACAATTTCTCCTTTTTTCTTAGGCGTGGGGTCCTTTTTGGCTACCGGGTGAATTGAAGGTCTTTTTAATGGAAACAGTTACTTTTTTCAAAAGAACATTCAAGCAATTAGGTGTTGCATAGACTTTTGGTAGGAATTGTAGAATTGACCATGAGCCTTTGTATGTCTTCATGAAAAACAGCTCTTGAAGTTCTTATCAATTCTAGAGGAGCATGCTCCCTTTACCTTACCCTTAAAGTTTCGCTCTGCTCAGCCCAAAGGAATTCTGCCTCTATTTTTCCGTCAAGAAAACTTGTACTTTTAAAGGGTTTTTGACGTAAAGTAAAGTACGTTGATTTTAGGATCATTATTAAAGTGACAAAATATTTGATTGCATAAAGGGAAGGAAAAAACATTGTCATGTGAAGTCGCCAAAGTATGAAAGTCTTACCTCATTAAATTCTCTTCTTTTCTCGCAATAGAATTGATAATAATCCCATTCATGGTCTTGTTCAGGCAGGTTTTCATCTTTTTCTAGTGTTAATCTACACATTAGGCTTTCTAGAGAGTATTTCCTCTGCTGGTTTTTGCTTTTCTCTTCGTCCCTCTAAAAAACAGCCGAGTTTTAAAACATTTTCTTAATACTGCCTTTGAAGAAAACACTTACAAGAACATATGAGAGTATCTTTAATAACATTCTTTGGATTTAAGCCAGCGTTTAAGCTGAGTTTAACATATAGCAACTCCCTTAATATGAGTGCAAACTTACCATTAGCCACATAACCTGAAAGAACAGTTTCAAATGTCTGTTGCAAATTGATTAAGATATAGCATGTCGAAGAACTGAGTTTTCGTAAAAGGGTTATAACTGCTTTTGCCTTGATAAAAGATTTAAGAACCAAGGCTACATTATTAAGTGACTGGGGAAGGAAGCCAGTTTTTAACACATTTAACAATCTTTGCGCATCATGAGGTTCTTTCAGATCAAACGACTCAAATCCAAATCTTTTTAATGACGTCAACCCCTCCGCGTAGCCCCTCTACATAGCCCCTTGTCTTGCCCTTCCACTTAGCCATTCAACGTAGCCCACTGCATAGCCTCTTTACGTAGCCCATCTGAGTCCTGTTATCAGAGTTGTTGAGAGAGGGGCCAAGGGGGTAAATTGCCCCAGGGCTTCTAGGTCTAGGAGTTCTCATAAATGAAATCCATTTTAAGAATGGAAATAACCAAAGGTAGAAAAAACAAACCTAAAAAAGTAAAATGCTCTAAACGATTGCAAGAAATTACTGCAAGAAATATTCTGAAATGCATTTTAAGCTAATCTGAAGGGCGTGGTCGTAAAAAAAACTCTGCTCACTCCGCTCGTAAGGGCCTCGTCTTTCTGTTATGCCCCAGGGCCTTCGAAGCCTCTCGGCGGACCTGCCAATTATACCACAATCAATTCGACCCTGACTCCCAAAAGGTTATGAATACTACTCATGTTCCGACATGCCTCTACGTAGCCTAATTCCTTTTAACATTGTGTACCAAGGAACAGAATCTCACAATTCCTATAAATGCGATCTCCTACCACGACGAAACCGTAAATAAATGAACAGGATGCAAAAAATGGAAGCAACGTTGTCCTTCATGCAACGTTCTTATTTCGCCCTGCTACACAAGTATATGTAAACATTTCGACCAACTCGCTTTCATAGGGCTGGCAGGGAAATTTAATGAAGGTTTTTTTTCTCAAATTCGGTAGCGTCTTTCTTTATATTTCTATTATCTTTCCATATATTTATATTTTTAACTCTTTTCTTCGTTTTGTCCTTCAACACGGAGACTCAAAGACTCAACAATTAAAGACAAAGAGAGGCCATATTCTCAACTAAGATTCCGGCTTTTCACTTTGTCTGGTTGAATACATTTAAGGGTTGTTTTTAAGTAGGTATCCAAGGTTACTCTTCATTTTCCAACCCTCCTGAAAATTCGAAGAATAGCAGCAAGGAATCCGGCTTGGAGATCACTAAGCATGAATTGATCCGTAGTCAAAAAGTCTATGAATTGCCAATTTTTGCAAATATAAATGACAAATATGAATCAGTCCATTCTACACAGTCTATTCTATCTATTTGAGTTTAAATTTTTTTTCTTCTTGTGGATTTCTACAGAAGAACGAAAGTTGGAGAATGAAAACGATCATGGCTTCTTGAAATTATTGTTGCCCTTCCATTTTCAAGAGTTGCTAAACCCCCTCTTTAAGTTTTCTTAGCATCGGCCAATAAAATGTGATATTCACCTCTTCCACTAGGCTGTCTGCGATATAGAGTTTTGTGTCTTCAAGAAAACCAAAAGTGAAAAAGTCTGTGTCCACTGATTTTGATTCATATGGGTTTACGTCATCTAAAAAAGGTAGACAAAATAATACAACCGTCCTGAGTTAAATGTATTCAAACTTTAACATCTTTTTTAAAGAATCGTATATATTTCTATATAGATAGATACAGTTTCTGTAGGTATGAAGAATGGCTATCTATGTATGTATGTATAATTCACATCATTAAAAGATTTACAAGTTGTAAAAGAAAAGAATAATATCATACAATAATTTGAATTGAAAATAAAAGACAAACAGCCCTAATTTCAGGGACAGGGATAGCATTAAAAGCTCTAGCTGACCTTTTGTCCATGATGACCACCTTAGAGACGCCGGTTTGACAGGGAAAAGAAACGACAGGAAAAAGGATCCTTAGTAGTAGACATATATGCCATTTTATTTTTTATGATAGTTTGGAAAAAGGTTTCTTTTATCTTATGCTTGAAGGTGTTGATATTGGATGTTGATTTTAATGCTGGTGGAAAACTGTTCCATATTTTGGGCCCTAGGTAGGATAGGCACGCATGTCCAGTATTCCGAAATGGTAGGTCTAGTTTGATCTTCACGTTATTCGGTCCTGGTTGACCGGGTGAAACATCTCAGCACTGTACGCTGGGGTCGTTCCTTTGAAAAACAAAATATTGACACAGGCACATTGATCTATCCTGTTCCTTTTAGGGAGCCGATTTATAGCCTAGAATTCCGTGACCTCAAAATTTGCTGTGTTTTTTAGATTGAGATTAAAAACAAAATCATTTATTTTGTGCTGCTTGGATATTTTTGGATAGCCTCTTATTCAGCCCGGGATACCAGGAAGAGCAGGCATAATCGAAATGAAATTGAATAAGAGCATTTCTCTTATTCAGGGCCTGGAACTGTTCTTTATCTTCAATTTGTTACAGTTCTTAATCTTCAAGTCAGTAGATTAGCAAAGTTTAAAAAGCAGGGCCCTTGGCTCGAACGCCCTTTTAGGAGTTTTTTTCTAAAGGTCCTAAACAACATCAAGTAAAAAATAATATATGAAGTTAATATATTACTGCTTTTGTCTTAGCAAATATTATCTTTGATTAAGATTCGTAAAAAATTTGTAGTAGTAACCGCTTCACGTATATGTATTTAAATTTTAGCTTGGTTTTCTTGTTGTTTGAAAAATGAAAGAAATTCGGGTGAAATAATGATGCTTTTGAAATGAAAATAAATATGTATCAAATAAATTTTTTTTTGAAAAATTGTGCACTAGCAGAAGAAAAATCATGCACTCAACTCGAATTTCTCGCACATAAAGCTACATGACTGTTGCATGTGGTTTGGGAAGTGATGGAATTTTAAAAAAAGCTTCCTGCAGTCAACAGAAAAAGCTTTCCTAACAAAGATTAGCAGCCTAGCGACAGTGGCAGTCGCCATTTGCCTCGGCATAGGCAGTCGCAACGAAAACAGTTAGAGGTTGTAAAAAACCAGCCTGACTTTGCCACTATCCACACTTTCTCCAAAACTTTCTGTGTTATCAAATTATATAGTGTTTCCTCACCTGAGAAGTACGTGTCCAATACGACAGCCGCACTGGCCGGTCGTTTTCCCGGATCATTTTCATAGCAATTCATAATTAGTTCCTTCAGCGGATCGCCGTCCGGTCTCTGCTTTGGCAATTCGATTTTCGCTCGCGTCGAGTCCCAGTCCGTCGCGTTGATTACCTCCGTCCGGTCGGTATGCCACGGCCTGATACCCAGGACGCAAAACGCAACTGTATTCCCATATGCATACACATCAGCTCTTAGAAACATCTCTGTGAAATCTTGATCGAGATCTGCAGTAATAAGAGTTTGATAACATGACAAACTGCAAAGACTCAAACGGGCTTTGGGGTAGAGCATACAAATTCAATTTCATTTGGGGCTAGGGGGAGGTACAAAGATTTTCTTACTGCCCTGGGTAACAGAACGACAGATGCGGAGGAGCGCTAATCGGCGAAGAAGAAGCTAGACGCTCCTCCCCTTCTCCGCTTGGTTTTCCATTGAACAAAAATTTTGTGGCTCTGGAACCAAGGGCGTTTTTTGCATAACCCTGCAAAGTAAATCCCTGTTGATCTTTTAACAGCAACCAGATACGGAGAGATTAAGAAAGAACCGGAAAAACCGTCTTAAAAGAAGTGGAGGAATAGAATATGACAAATTTTCTTTTCTGTTAGATTTCCATTGTTAACTTGACATTTTTGCACCTGCTTCTGCCATCAGCCATGTTAAATAGGGTGTTAAAGCTCCAGAAGGCCAATGAAGATTGAATGCTTCTCTGGTGATCAGTCTTTGCACTGCGACCATATGTAAATTGGGCTCGCTGATACACAGCCGGGATCTATATTTACGTATCAGGGGCACACAAAACAGACACTTCATACAGTATAGCCACTTTTCCAGATAAAGTCTAAGGAATGATGGTAGCATCGACCCCCACTTCCCCCTAAAAGTCTGCCCCCAAAAGTTTTTCCCCTGAGGTTTTTTACAGTAGTTGTATCATCATAACCTGAAATGGTATTAACGGTGTGAATACTCCGGAACCCGGAATATTCAGCTCCGGAACTGTAACTAAGTTAACTTGGGGGCGGAAAAGGAGAGAATACGTGATAAGAATAAAGTACACAAACTGAACAGAAACGTGGGTAATATGCTGTCAGAATTTTGCCTTTGCACTGCTGTATCTAAACCAATTATCTCGACAACTTTCGTCCACAGAATTTTGGATTAATCAAAAAAATTTATTCATGTAGACTGGGGTCGCAGAAGTATGGAAACGGTGGGCCGTTTGGTGAGGCATACTAACCGGTACTAAGTGGATTTTCGTCGAAGTATGTCCACATTTCGGGAGCAGCATATCTTGGACAGAGGTAATTGCTGGCTTCTTTACGATGCTTCATGTATGCCTCACCAAAATCACCAAGCTTCAATATTCTACTTTCTGGGTAGATCTAAATTGAAAAAACAAAAATAAACCTTACTACCATAAAACATGAAGAAAGCGCGGAAAAGAGAACTTTGCGTACCAGATCACAAAAAGGAGTCCAGTCCACAGGGCCAGTGCCACCGGGTAGGCCGGGGTGGCCATGCCCTCCCCCCTCCACTTTTTTGCGAAGCAAGTAGTTTAAAAGCTGCAGTAAAAGAGGTAGGAAGCCTTGGCCCCCCAACTTTTTTAGTCTTGGCCCCCCCACTTTCAAAATCGTGGCGTGGAGCCTGGTCCAACAGTCACCACAGTTCTACCCAACTCTTTAACCGAGGCTCTAAAATCTATGGAAGAAAAACCTTGAATTTGCTTGTCCAACGATCTTAAATAGACTACTGAAATATCTTTAAAACATTGTTTTAAAAGAAGCATTTTCAAATAAAACAAATAAGCAACTTTCGACTTTTTCGTTCAGGGGTTCAGATTTAGAATATTGTATGGAAAATCAACATGTATAAAGAAAGTAAGTGAACCGTGCAAGTCTGGCGCAGAATCCTGCTGTAATGACATTAGATTTGGTTAAATGACATTAAACTCAGCCATTAAAGCCTTTGGGATAAATTTAAGCTAAGATCAACGCACTCAAGCTATGCAACAAGAAACTGCCAAGATCTTCATATCAATACGGAACATGAAAAAAGGACTTTGAATACTCGGCTCTAACAATATGGAACGATACATCTGTTGATATATGAGATGCCTCAACTCTTCGTTGCTTTAATAAACAAAACGAAGAAAGCAAACCTACTGGCTGAGATCAAATACGTTAACTTCCAAACACGACCCCTTGGAAAAGCAGCAATAGCAATATTAAAAACATACTCAAAATCTTGCCTTTGATTTGACTTTGCTTTCATAATATTATATATAGTTATTATTAGATGCTGAAGGGTATATTTTCGTGAATAAATATTTATTCACATTATGTTATATATCATATAATATCAGAAAGTCGTAAATAGTCGGTAAATGGAAGTCTTTAGAACCCTGGCAGTGGCACATGCACAGTTGCCTTAAAGATCCAGAATAAATAATTCGAAACCCTTTATTTACCAATATATTATCAGGCTTGATGTCTCTGTGTGCGACATTCAAATCATGCAAATACGCCAACCCGCAAACAATTTGTGCAGCGAAATTCCAAGCGATGCTGTCAGGCAACCCCTTTTCTTCATGGGTCGATCGACTCATGACGTACTTTGTCAAGTTGCTTGGTACATATTCCATTACGAAGAATCTTTGTTCTTGTTGCAGATGCCAGGTGTCGATATTCAACTGGTCTTTAATTGTTCCTTCGTAACGAAATGCGACAATGTTGCCGTGTCTTAAAATTCTGAAAAGATATGTATGAAAAGGTAGTTTCCATAATTTTGATGTCAATCCATTTTTTTACTTAATCACCACCAAGCCATAACTCATCACAGGTTTAAAAAAGTGTATCTATACTAAATCTTTTTTTAACCATCTATTATCATAGAGGAGTTATTGGAGATTTCCTGTGTTGCAAGGCCATATTTCTCTTTGGTTTTTAGGTTCTTCTATCCTCTTGCTGAGTAATGACTCCTATATTTTCTTATTAAATCCCCCTTCAACCCTAAGATTGTATAATATATAGGCGTTTGAAAACGGGAGCATTTGTTTACTTAGCTGTGCCAGGCGGGGAAGAGAGGGTTGTAAATTAGACGAGGTATTAAAATAAAAAGTATTTTCGTTGCCTAATCAATTTCTTAACACCCTCTTTTTCAGCGCGTTCTTCGATTTTACGTTTAGATAAAAAAAATTTTATCAAAGCTTTGCGTTGAGCCAAAAGCCATTCTCCATTTTCTATTCAGGGTCGAAACTTCAATCAGTGTTGTGAAAGTTAGTTTCGAGTGACTTTCTATAAAACTTTTACACTATTGGTATGACCTTTTTATGTACACCTGTAATTTTTCTTAGCAGCTAACTCCCTTTAAGGAATCATATTCCAATTAAGCTTGAGAAATAACCCTTGGCCGTACATTAAAAAGCGATTGAAAGTTTTGCTTGAAAATGTCACTGGTTTCTGGGTCCAAGTTTCTTGCATATCTTCCAGATTTCAAATTATCTTATTCATGGTTTACTGATTATACATAATTTTATTAAATTTTTTGAATTTTTCTCATGATTTACTGTTTTTTAGTTTTTATTAGTTATTCTCAATCTTTTCATAATTAACCAATTTTGTTTAATTATATTTTTTTAATTTTATTTAATTTTTCTAAATCATTTTTCTTTGTTGAATGATTTAACATTCTTTGATCAGACAATTCAACTGGAATTGCCCTTTTACCCTGATCTTAGGCAGGCTGGTGGTTGTTTTTACAAAACGAAAATGAAATCGCTGAGTAAGCTTTTAAAAATTCCCAGTACCAGGATGTCATTAGTATCAAATCTTCAAAAGTCATTTCCTCTTTATTCAAATGTCAGAATGTCCTATCATATATCGTTTGAATCTACGAAATTGAAAAGGCCTTTGGTAGAATTTAAATCAGATATCAGATATCAGAAACAGATATCACAAATTATCATCTTACACCATATTAAACCATACATATTATTTAATATAAATAGCTTTTAGTGAATTGGTTTAGATCTGTAAATCATATAATAATGGGATTTTGTTGAGACAAACTCAATTTTATATTTTAGCTTTTCAACACTTCAGTAGCACAGTTCTATTTTCTATTTAGTAGACATTGGAAATATGAACTGCATCATACTTTCATTCTTTATTACAATAACCAGGTAAACCATAATTTACTTTTTGAAAAATGCCCAAACAGCAATCTAGCTAAAAACATTGTGTTTATCAGTAAATTTCAATTATGTCTTGGAAAACAATTGTGTTGCTAAGGTAGATTTGCTCAGGCACTGCCCAACCATTAGGCTAGCAGGGGCTATAGCCCCCCTCCCCCACCTTCTTGCAATTATAGGCTAGAAAAGTTTTTGGAAGGTTTTTCTAACGCAATTTTAGCTTGGTGTTTAATTACCCTCAAGCTAATTTTATCTATTTTTATAGATATTGATATCTCTGAACCAGACTGTATATAGAAATTGAGTGAAATAAGCAAGTATTTTTGAAGAGGGGCATTTTTGGCGCTCTAGAGGGTGTGGCCTCAAAAAATTTGTGTGCACACCATTTCAGCCCCACCACTTTAAGACTGGTGTGAGGTCCCTGGATTTGGTGGTGGGGTATAAAAACAAGGGGTTAAGAGGAGGTCTCATGAAAATTGTTGTAGGGTGTACAAATGACAGAGAGTAAAGGTAATACTTTGAGTTGCTTAATACCTCAAGGAAAACAGATTGTGGAAAATGTTTATTAAAGATTGACTTCTTTTTGTGCACTTGGGACAAATTTTAGGAAAAAGATTTCCCTGAAAAGTCCTTTGTGCATAAATTCAGTACTACAGTAGTAGTGAGTTCTTTTTGTGTATGTCCGACAGCAAACATACCAAACTTTGAACTATCTACTGTTTGTAGTTTTTCTTTTTTGTAAAAAATAATTGTTATTTGTGGTTCAAGTATTAAATAGAAATGTAGTAGTTAATTATTGCTGTGAATGAAATGTTTTGAGTTTTTGAGTTTGAGTTGAGTCCACAAACTTTACAGTTATAGCTCACATGTTTTATAAAACAATGTAATACTAATATAGCTTTGAGGTGAAAACTTAATTTAAGGCCATAATTCAACTCACCTTGTAAGATCCATTTCCTTTAAAAATGTTTCTTCATGATCAGTACCAATCTTTTCAGGCTGAAGAATCTTTATAGCAACATTCGCTCCTTTGTATTTTGCCAGGAAAACAGCTGAAAAAGCCCCCTTTCCAATAAAACTCCATTTTTTCAAGGATTTCTGTTTGATTGTTGTCAAATTATTCTCGTCACCATTGATGCTTTTCCATGAGCTGGCTATAATTCCAACAAAAATTAGCAAAATTTTTATTACAAGAAGATAGGACAGTATTCTGAGCAATTCAAGAGAGTGATTTACAATAAAAGCAAAAGCAGCCCTACCCGATCCTAGACGCTCTCTTTGTTGGATTTCATCCCTAGTTGATTCCAGTCCTCGCTCTATTTCACGAATGTCGCTCTTTAATTCCTTCAAATCTTCTAAGTTTGGAAGTAAGCCATTTGTGAGCCATTTGTCCACAACATGAGATATTTTTTTTGCATATCCCAAAGTCTTGTCAAGCTCTCCATTCAGTGAAAATGTATTCATGTTGCTTTGGATTGAACAGTTATGGCTTTTATTTTAAAAAGAAGCAGTAGGCCATTCCAGTCTCAGTCGAGCTTCACAGTCAATCCAAAACCATGCTAACTCAGCTGGATTTATACTTAAATAATTCATGCCGACGTGTGCTATTCTTTGTTTACAACTAATTCCCGGAAAAACCCTGGCCTCTTTCTCACTCTGGTTATTTTGAGTATGGGAAATACCCATGGGGTAGATGGAACATAAAGGCGAAACATATAGTGAACTGGTCACATGAAACAAAGCCAATTAAGTAAGACTTCTGAATTCAATAGCCCTGTAGCGGTCAATATCTGGCATGTGATGTAGACTTTCAACAACAAGATAATGTATTTACAAAGCCAGGGACGGCAGATAAAGACAACGGATATGGTAGGCCAAATGGTGCAAAATTCAAGAAAATGGATTTTTCAACAAAATCGAGAAATCATGCCAGGTTCAAGAAAATATTAAGGATCAAGGATATAAATCAACGTCAAAAACATAGATTCACATCTAGAATTCAAGAACATAAATCATTATCAAATCATGGCTGTAAATTAACGCAACAAGATAAAACAACGTCAACAAAATAAAACAACGTCAACAAATATCCCATTCTTCACCATTTTTGCACGAAGTTAGCCAGGGTGGCAGACGTTTACTGTAAAAGCTCTATTAAGCCCCTGCGGGCTTATTTGTTTTTCAGGCTTGAAAGGGAGCGGGGCTTATCAGAAAGGGGGGCTTGTTAGAAATTTGAAGCACAAATGTTTTAAAAATACCCTTGGCCATTTTCTGTTATGAAAATGTCATACAAATGTTATCAAAAAACTTTGCTAGCAGCTTCGAAATTTTAAACAGATCAGTTATATGGTCCTCATATTCATCAACATCACGAGGATAAATTGGATATCCTCAAAACAAATTTTGACTTACTACAAGTTAGCCTTTGTCGCACAAGTTAAGCCCCGTTAAAACGCTCTCAACATTTCACTGAACATCGTTTAACATTTCTCGAGTGCAAATGTTGAAAGCGTTTTATCACCCTGTTCAGAGGCGAAACTTCACTATTTTCATTAGAGGGGTATGAAGCATCGACAGCCGACGAAAGGGCGTGTCATGCTTGATAGAAGGGCGTGTCCTGCTTGATGGAAGGGCGTGTCCTGCTTGATGGAAGGGCGTGTCATGCCTGAACATCATTTTTGGGGCACATCGCCTCAAGGGTTGAAATCATTGGGGATCCCGAGAGAGGGTCACTATCTATGTTAGGCCTTCAGACTTAGGCTGTTTTTCAAAGCCAAAAAAATATGGCTCTAGTTTTTCTGGTGTTGGCTATAAACATTTGTTTCCGAAAAGCAAGCATTTGTAAGGCCTGTCTTTTCTATAAAAGAAAAATAGTCTTCACTTTCTGAATCTCCTTGTTTGTTTCAATTCATACCTTAACCACAATTCCTTGATAAATGTTCTATAATTTCCCGCTTGAACCGTCAGCTTAAAACCTTCTGTTACTTGTAACAGTTATTTAAACTTTCTTTAGTTAACAAAACGGCCTTTTTGGCGAAGGGTGCAATGCTTTCGGACCGTAAGTGTAAAAACTTATAAGTATTATTGGACACAACTCCTTAAGAATGTATGATGAAGGTTTTAACATTTGAAAAAGAAAATATTGCTTGATTTTTCTCAACGACGTATTCCGAGATGGCAACTCATCATTCATTGATTTATCATGCTTCAAAAACGGCCAGTGTTCCACGGGATCCGACGCAGGATGGAAAGTGGGGGGGGGGGGGGGGGGGGGTTGTGGCGGTCAAGAGAAAATTTAGCTATCATAACAAAAGATTTTAAAGATAGCTATATTGTTTTGAAAAAATGGAGGGGGAGGCTTGCCCTGTGTCCATTTCCTTCTTGCATCAAACACACTTTTCTCTCTCCTGTCTATATTTTCGCTGTCGATCAATACTTCAGACTCTACTTTCGCATCTCGAGGCGAAGATGTGCACTTAGAGCTCGAGACAAAAGACAGAAATGCAGTCATGTTGCTGCAATGAGGTAAAAGATTTTTCAAAGAACATTTGCAAAAGACAAGAAAACTGCAGATCTATCTGTATGCCTCCAGTCAGTTTATGCTTTAGGAAGAACATCGACGCTCGAAAATTTTCAGTTAAAAAATTGTCTCTGGAGAACTAACAAACTAATGCATTAGAGAAATAAAGCTGATCTGATCTATCTTTTCATTTTATATTTTGCTTATATGTTTCGAGCCTTTGGAGACCGGATAGAAGAGCCATATCCAAAGATAAAAAAGGACCATCAATTAGTTGTCAAGAAAGTCTCACAGACCAAACTGATTCAATAATTCCTTTTCAAAAAGCAGATGACCCTAATTTCATCCCTCTCCCTGAGTCAAGAGCCCCAGTTCTGACAACAAACAATGCTAGTCTATGTCCACTGGATATGATTTATTTGCTAAATATGCATGAGAAATAAGCTTGATCTATTTATAGGACGTTCAGCAGCTTTATCCAATTTTTTGACAAACCCTCCCACCCCCCGTATCTCGGAAAAGCGTCCTCTTCCATCCGATCAACATTCAGCTTGGAATTCTGCACAAAAAACTGATACAGAAAAAGTTGGTTTGGAAAAATTCCTCGTAGGGTAGTCATTTACAGCTCATTAACAGGCTGCATACCAGTTTTTGGACAAAACCCCCTATATCTCGAAAAAGCCCCCTCTCCTGCCCGATTAACATCCAGATGTGTACTCTACACCAAAAACTGGTCTAGAAAAAGTTGGACCTCGTTTTCAAGTGCTTTATGACTGTAAATGGACATGTAGACAAAATATGGCTGATGAAAGTTTGGTTTGGAAGTTCTTCCTTCTTCTACTTGCATTTGTAAGTTGCAAAGCATTTCACCCATACGAGGATGCTTTAAAGATAAAAGATGAATATCCGCTTCCTCGGCTTAACTATGGTTATGATGCGCTTGAGCCATTTGTTGACGCCAAGACTATGAAAGTGCACCACTCGGGCCATCATGCTGCTTACACAAAAAAGATGAACAATGCATTGGAGCAATGGAGAGCATCGGTGAGACCTTTAGATTTTTATCTTCCCTTTTCTTTTCTTTTGTTGTTCTTTTATTTTTTATGTTTTGTTTTTACATGCTAGTGTCAGGGGCGCCAGAAGCATTTTGAGGGGGCGGGGGTAGCTAATCAAAAAGGGCACATTATTACAATGACTACAGGGCCCACGTCACGAATTTGGGGTGGGCTGATTCTCTGGTGGTCAAACATCAGCAAATTGAATTGAATACAGTATGACTCACTTCTGAATTGAATTGTAGAAAGAAACATCCTTGATATTAGAATCTGTTTTGTGCTCCACAAACATGTCATAGTTTGGGTTTCTGTTAGAAAAGGGCCATAAGACACTTCAGTAGAACATAACAAGGAACATAGAAGAACATAACAAGCCTCCAGAATTTCAAATTTATCTGTTTAAAGCCTATTCTATAGTAATTGCCTTCATTTGCATTATTGCTGGTGAATCTGTAACAAAGGCACCCAATGCCCCCTTTTTTACATACTACAATATAGTTTTATTTGATTCGCCTAAATATAGTGAAATTTTCACGAGGACACAGTAAAGACCTTATAACGAGGACTGGCTGGACACCTTATAACCAAGAGATGAGCTGTCCTGTCCTTGTTCTCTCTCCTTTGATAAGTTTAACCTATTAAAAGAGCTCTTCCTTCAAAAAGATCTGCATAATTTATTTTCAATATTATTTGCCTTTTGTACTCTTATATTATCATTAATATTATGTTTCTATTGGTTGTTACTTTATAAATAATTCTTTGCATTTTCAAATTGTACTTATGGGATGTAAAATCATATCAACTCAACTGAATGAGCGGGCACACCATTTCAATTAAAGGCCATTGAAGCAGTGCAGCTAGTTCATTGGTCATTCCATGTCAAATCAACAAACCCAATGTAACCCATATTTAAGCAAGGCCTCAAATTTAAAAATATTTGATAAAATATATATAATTCAAAATATTTATTTATTTATTGGAAAAAATGTTTTGTTCAAGGAAAGCAATCTGTTCATTCTATTTGTTAATAAGGTTACCTAAAAGGCTGCACAAATTTGATTTATTATTCACCTGACTAAATCCAAAATTTCCAACAAGCTAATTTTAGGAGGCAACACCCTCCCCTCTCCTGCCCTGCCTTCTGTCTTGATGCATTGGCATGTGCTGTAGGAAGATGACCAGGCCTTTTGGACTGAATCAAATGTTAGGAGCTTGCTATGCATAGTGATATTTGGAAAATTTTTGAAGCCCAAGTACCATTGTATGTATTATAGAAAAAGTACCATAACATTTGTATCAAATTTCTGGACATACTTTTATTTTATGCAAGTAATTACTGGTGAAGACATTTCCTAGAATGCTACATTCTGGTGTGAGGCTAAGTCTGTTTCCGTGAACTACTTTTATCACATTGAAGGTTTTGGTATCTTAATTCCACTTTAAAACCAGAATAAAACCATTTTTCAAAATATCATTATAGAGAATGCAAAATGCAGGTATGTAGATGAGTTATACTAGTATTTAGGAAAAGCCAATCCCAAATCACTTTCAACAAGTAAGCAAGTTTGTTTTATTGACATAATGTTTTTGTAATAATTCATAAGTTTCTTAAGCTTTGGCATTAAAGCCTCTTAATTTCTGGCAAGTCTCTGGTATGGGAGAAATACGGGCTCCTCCTTTGGTCAGATTAAAGTTTATCATCATCATCCAACTCGACCTGAAAGTTTTGAAATTGTGGTTTTGCATTTGAATTATTTTCAACGTAACAAGCACGATTTAGATGTAGTGGTTGTTTCATGAAGTTACTTGGGCATGACAATCCATTTTCAAAAATAGCATTTTTAGATATGTTCATTTTCATTAGAACACAACAGAGAATCTTTAACACAAATGTGACCATGGGTGTGGACTTGGATGTGCCTTCTAAGAATTCCCTACAGCACAGCATCTTAACTTTGTAAAAGGGCACCCCTGAGAAGGAGTCCTCTGAAGACCAAAACATGACCATGTACAAATCAGGTTTCCAGTTTGGTCATGTCCATAACTATGAGTGTTATAAAACCATGTTAAGATTATGCCCATTGTCCCGACCCATATTTGAAACAGTTGGAAAAATTGCTTGTAAAAGACTCTCTTGTGTAAATGTTGACCAAACAGCTATCCATTCAGTTTTGTGTAATTTACTTCATTGAAAAATTTGATCTTATCCCCAAATAAGATTTGGCATGACCACTGCTGTTTTGCTGGGTAAACTACCAAGGCCATCACAAGACAAGCCTTGTTGGGGGGTGTGTGGACTACAGATTTACTTGATTAAAAAATAATTACCTGGAATTCTTTAGTTGCTGACATTAACCTCTGCAATATGTTTTGTCAATCTAACTCTGTGGCATATAATTTGCAACTTCCATTTATATGATAATAACAGACTTTCCTAATAGATTTTTCAAATCTGTATATCGGGACAGGCAAAGAATATTGTTTTTATCAAGGTTGCCTCTGAAGGACTAAAAAATTTTCGAATTTTGATACTTCCAGTTCTCTAGAAAATGTACTCTAATAAGCAAGATAACAAGCATTACTTCTAAAGCCAGGTAGCAAGCAACACTAGTTGTCAATTTAGATCTCTCTTTCCATCGTGGCATTTCTTTTGAATGTAAAAAAATCTTGAGGTCATTGTGAATTGCATTTGATGCTTCTACCAAAAGACATTTGGAAAAATGGACACAATACGCAATTTTATTTAAGGAGGTTCTGGTTTTTTGGATTTAGTGCCAACAAAAAATCTTGAAATCATTAATGCTTAGTTTGTTTACCTTCATTTGTATCAAAGAAATATCGTATTTAACCAACAGAGATATTACATTTGCTTGATCCTTTATTGATTATAAGACATGAAGGTCTATGAACTACCTAAACAATTTCTTCCACTCACTGAGCAGATTTTACCTAAAATCTCCTATTGAGATTTTATTGAGATATACCTACTGGGTAGCGACATCTTTGTACACTGCTAAATGAAATAGACATGAAGAATCAACAATCAGAAAGCCACCCAAAATTCACCCTGAAGAACAAATCAACTATTGACTGATGAGGGAGGGTACTTTTAGTAATCTTCTAATGACAGATTGCTCTTCTCATAACAGACTGACTGCTTATCTATACTCCATAATCAACACCATAGAACTGGATAGTGTTTTGAACATTCAAAAGTTGTACTTGTGACATGCTCTTTGTTGGCAGAAATCATAGATTTTCATAAGCTGCCTATCCACCATACCCGCTTCTTCATAGTAACCTACTTTCTTTGAGAGTTTGTTGTATTAGGAATCCACCATATTCTTAAATATTTCTCAACATAGCTACAAACGAACTTATTACTTTATTCATACTTCAGTTTGTTGATGTTTTTTGAAATCTAGAGCAGAGGTTTAGAACTAGGAGTACCCAGGAGGCTGTGCTCCCCTTATGAATACCAAAAAGAACCCTTTTCTATTTTTTGCTATTGTTTTTTATATGTTCTTTGTAAGTTACCCCTAATGCATTATATTGCCAAACACCCCTGACCAAGATTGCAGCATCTACTCAATCAAAACATTATAAAAGCTTTATGGTAACGAAATCTTGAAATTCCTCCCAAGAAACACAAGAAGACCAACCTTGTGTGAAATCAAGGTAAATCTTACCTCATCAACAAGTTAGAAGAAATATCACAAACCAATTAAAGTTTTATTGTATTCTTTATTATTTCCATTTTCATTTAACAGCGCGGTCTTATTTCTATTAGGAAGAAAGCAATTCATTATCCAAAAAGTCAATACTTGAGATCATGAAATCAATAGAGGATGTACCTGAGAAATGGAAAACAGCTTTAAGAAACAATGGCGGAGGGTAAGGTTTAGCAATTTTGTGCTCTTGCAAATTTTTTGTTGCATTTGATTGTCCAATGTCTTTCAACAATTTTGCACAATTTTTTTTAAAACATTCTTCAATACCAATTCATGTTTTTCATCTAAAAACAATCTAAAAATTATCTTTTAGCTGTTTTGCTTCTCTTTTTCTCTCCCCTGCCTTTTTGCTGCATTTCTAAGCAGTTCTGTCCACCACCAGCTCTCCTCATTTTCCCATATCATCCCCTTACACTCTCCTAAGATGCTTTTACCATGCTTATTCATTCTTTCAACCTCCATTGATTGGTATCATATCATCATAATAGTTGTTACGTAATGTATCCTACAAACTCTAGGATCAGCTGCCTTTAAGTTGTGCTTCTGCAGAAATATTGAAATGCTTTTAAGTGTCTTAGAATTTTTCATGCACCAATTAATTTCGTACATAAGCATCGTACATAAGCAACTCAAGAGGTAAACTTCTTATTTTTCATTCATTTGAAAATAATTTTCATTCGTTTTTCAGGTATCTCAACCATGCAATATTCTTCTCGCTTCTTTCTCCCAATCCTTCAAAAGAGGATCGTGTTCCAACTGGCAAAGTTCTCAATCATATAGTAAGATCATTCGGTAATTTCACTGCCTTCAAAGAGATGTTTTCAAAATCTGCTCTGAGTCTGTTTGGTTCTGGCTATGTCTGGTTGTGCCGTGAGCCTAAAACCAATGCATTGACATATCTGCCCACTATCAATCAACAATCACCAGTGAGCTATGGTTTGAATCCCATTCTTGTTATCGATGTATGGGAGCATGCGTATTACTTAAAACATCAAAACAAGAGAGCAAATTACATTGATAATTGGTGGAATGTTGTAGACTGGTCAGCTGTGCAGGATCTCTATGATTTCTGGGATAAAGATAGCAACCACGAAGAATTATAACATCAACTGACATTTGATAGAATTATTTTCATGGATTTAATGACGGCTATAGCTGGATATATGTTTTGTTTTCATAGCATCAACTTGTTGCTGAAACTAAGGATTGATTACATATTGAATTTTTCCCTGTGCCAGTGGCGACTGACATGACAAAAAGATGGTACTAGTAAAGCAAAAAATCTTTGAACAGAGCGAACCAGCCAGACGAAGGGTGGTGCAGAGGCGTGGTCCCTGGAAAATATTTGTTTTTATAGATTATATGGCCAAATTGTCTTTTAATGGCGGGTCAGAAGTTTTTACCATGCCTCGATTTGTTTGACGTCATGTAGTTTTTCCAGCTGCAGGGCCTTGTGGCATTTTATCACTAAAAAAAGGAATCTAGTACTGCGAGCGATTTTTTCATTGTTCGATTGTCAAAAGACAAACGGTTTTACGTAACGTTGAGTCATAAATGACAATGAGACAGACTTCTACAGTACTGGATGAATGAAATCTGGTACCGTGTGTACATAAAGGGCTTATGCATGCCAATCTATCAATGAGAATTAAGATAAGGATGGTCAGAATTAAGATATGGTGTATTCCCCTGCTCTGCCCTTTTTTGCCATTTATGATAGTTCAATTATCATAAAAAACGGAAAATCATACAATGCAAAAATATTTCGAGCTTTCAAAATAAAATGGTACTAGACTGGTACCACTAGTACCGATGCAAGCCTCCACTTTCCTGTGCAATGCCTTGAAATGATGTTGCTATACTGGAGGTTTGTTGTTATACTAAGAATTGATTTGCCATGTTATTCCATTATATCCAGTTCATTAACAGCATTCTCAATAATAGGTGGGGATAATATTTACTACTTTTTAGGTTTTCTCCCTGTGCAATACCTGGAAATGATTTTGTTCAAGATGTTGTGACGTGTCGTTAAGATGTTGTACAGGAAGGTTTTGTCACTGGAGATATTTTGGTATTTCACATGCAATTCCTTGAAATCACACTGTGATATTTTAGCTCAACCACTGACAACTAGTTGTATTGCATGTAAGAAGTTGGCGAACTTCATGAAAAACATGTTTCTTTAACATGCACTCGACAATCACTCGTTTGAATAATTTATGTAGCAAACAATGTTCGTTGGGAAAATGTATTTGAATTTTCTAAAAGATTTTTTCAATGAGAGCTTGTATGCTTATATGATATGCCGAAAATTCTGGAAAGTTGAACACACAAAAAGTTGGCAGCCAGAGAAATCAACAAAATCTTAGAATTATCATAGCACAATCTATTCTCCCATCCTAGAGGCCACAATTCTCGTCTTTATCTACTACCCTCCATTTTATACTTGTACAACATTCCATTTTCCTAGCATCAGTTATTTTGTTGCAACTGTTGTAAGAGTTTTATTATTTCAACTTCTTTAAGGCTTGGTAAATCATTAGCAATACATTCAGAATAAAAATATTTGGTCTTATTTCGTTAAAGTTGTTGTTGTAGTTGTCCTTCAGGTCGTTCGAACCCTGGTGATGTTATGAACCTGACGTCTCCATTCAGCTCTATTTTTAGTGTCTTTGTTGAGCTGATAAACATTTCTTGTTGTCATCGCCTTAATGTTGTCAAACCACTTTGTTGCAGGTCTTCCTCTTCCTCTTTTCCCTTCAATTTTTCCTTGCATTATCAGTTTTTCTAAACTGTTGTCTGCTCTATTTATGTGGCCATAATAGGTTAATTGCCTCTTTCTGATGGTGTTGAATAATGATCTTTCTGTTTTTATTTGGCCTAGTACCCATTCATTCGTTCTTCTAGATGTTCACGGCACCCTTAGGAGTCTTCTCCATACCCAAAGTTCAAAGGCTTCAATCTTTTTCATTTCTGCTTTTCTTATTACCCATGTCTCACTTCCATATGTAACAACAGAAAATACTAATGCTTCGATTATTCTTATCTTGGTATTTAGTGTGATGTTTTTGTCTTTCATTATCGTTGTCAAATTGGTCATAGCCTTCCTACCCAGCATTAGCCTCCTTTTAATTTCTTTTGTGTGATCAGAGGTTCTGGTTAATGTACAGCCAAGAACATTGAATTCCTGTACTACCTCGATGGATTCTCCATCTACTTCAAAGTTGGTTATTTCTGCCGTCGTCATTACTTTTGTTTTTTTTTTAAATTTAGTAGTAGCCCTTTTTCCTTGCTTGCTTTCTTAACATTTCTGATAAGTTCTTCCAGATCTTCTTTGGTTTCGGCAATCAGGGTTGTGTCATCTGCATACCTTAAGTTATTAATGAGTCTACCATTTACTTTTATTCCGATGTTGTTTTCATATAGTCCTGCGTTTCTCATAATAATTTCACCATATAAATTAAATAGGTATGGAGATAGAATACAGCCTTGTCTCACTCCTTTCCTGATTTCAAACCAATCTGTTGGCCCATACATTGTTCGTACATGCGCTTCTTGTTTATGGTAAAGATTCTTAATCAAGATTATTAGATGTTCTGGAATTCCCATCTTTCTCATCACAAACCACATAGTGTTATGGTCCACACAGTCAAATGCTTTGCTGTAATCAATAAAACAAAAATATATTTCTTTCTTTACTTCGCGTACCTTTTGCAATATCCATCTGATGTTTGCAATTTGGTCTCTGGTTCCCCTTCCTTTAGTAAATCCAGCTTGCTCAATTGATATTTCTCTGTCAATATAGGGTGTTAGTCTTTTCTGGATTATTTTCAGAAGTATTTTGCTCATGTGAACAATTAAGGATATTGTCCGATTATTTGAACATTCTCTAATATCGCCTTTCTTTGGCAGCGACAAGAAGACAGATCTTTTCCAATCTACTGGCCATTCAGTGGTTTTCCAGATTAGCTGACACAGCTTGCATATGATGTTGAGTGTTTCTTTGCCAGTATTTTTTACCAGTTCAATGGGGATGTTGTCAATACCTGGAGCTTTATTACACGCAAGTTCTTTAATGGCATGTTCTATTTCTGCTAGAGTTGGTTCCGGTTCTTCTGTAAATTCTTCTTCTGTGAAATCATTGGATATGTCTGCATCCCTGCTGTACAAGCGTTGTGTGTATTGTTTCCATCTCTCCTGTATCTCTTTCCCCTCTGTGAGTACTTTACCATTTTGGTCTTTCACTGTTGCCATGCGAGGTGTAAACTTTCCTGTGATCTGTTTGATAGCGCGGAATACATTTCTTGATTTTCATTTTGCTTGATTTTCTTCCATATTCCTACAAATATCATTCAAGTATATTTCTTTATCTTTCCTTGCCTGATTTTGAAATATTCTGTTCAAGTTATTAAATGTGGATAAATCTTTTTGTTTTTTAGCGTTTCGTCGTTCTTCAGCAATCTCTATAGCTTTCTGTGATAACCAATGTGATTTTCTTTTTCTCTCTTTCTTAGGAATGTTTTTTCCCGCAGTGTCAACGATGATATCTTTTGTTGTCTGCCATAATTGCTCAACACTAGTGTCCTGTGATTCTAGACATGAGAAACGATTCGATAGCTCGATTGTAAAGTTTGGCGGTATCTTTGTTAAATCATATCTAGCTTGCGCATGTTGCTGTCTTCTCTTTTTTAGCTTTACTTTGATAGTGGCGTGAAGCAGCTCATGATCTGTTCCACAGTCAGCTCCAGGAAGAGTTTTGACTGCCTGTATCGCACTTTTCCATCTCTTCCTGCCCAAGACATAGTCAATCTGATTCCTATTTTTACCATCTGGTGATGTCCATGTATATAGTCTGCGTTTGTGTTGGAAAAACATAGTGTTGGCTATGAACAATTCGTTTTCAATGCAGAATTCTATTAATCGTTCTCCTGCAGCATTTTTCTCCCCTAGTCCAAATCTTCCAGTGACTCCTTTTTCTTCAATATTTCCCACTTTTGCATTCCAGTCTCCAATTAAAAACAACATATCTTTCTTTGGTATATTATCTAGCACTTTCTGTAGCTCTGTGTAAAACTGTTCTATTGCATCATCATCGGCATCTGTGGTTGGTGCATATATTTGTATTATGCTGGTGTTGAAAGGATGTCCTTGAAGTCTTAATGCAATTATTCTGTCATTAACCATGTTATATCCTAGCACTGATTTGCTTATCTTTTTATTGACAATAATGGCAACTCCATTTCTCTTGTATTTTTGGTGTCCTGAGTAGTACACTGTGTGATCACCTTTTCTAATATCCCCACACCCTGTCCATTTCATTTCACTTATTCCGAGTATGTCTAAGTTTATTCTGTCCATTTCATTTGTTACAACTTCCAACTTTCCTTGATTCATCGTTCTAACATTCCAGGTTGCAATTGTGTGGTTTTTGTTGTTGCGGAACTGCTTAGGTTTTTCATCCTCTGCAGTGTCAGCTATCATATGCCCTAATGGGTTTAGTACAACAGCTTCATTATTGCTAGAATTACTCAATCCAGAGCTGCACCCTTCCTCAGTAGCAAGTTGAATGCCATCCGACCTGAGGGGCACATCTTCAGGCACTATAGCTATTTTACTTGAGACTGGCATTTTCATAACATTTTCTTGGCAGGATACTGTAGTAGTTTGCCGTTGCTTTCTACAGATTGCAGTTCTCAACTAACTAGAGTTTGATTGCCGCCATTCATCTGGTTGTACCATATTTCTGCCAGCAGTCATGGTGCACGATACTTCATCATTTATTTAGCAAGACCAAATCTCTGCTAAAGCATCTCCACCCTGCTCTGTCGGTGGCGCACGGATGTAGTTTTAGTTCATACCCCAGGAACAATATTTGACCCATATCTGGGACCCTTGCAGGTGCTACCACCCCGGGTCAGGGTGGACCTGAGAGTAGCGGTAATTAAGAGGTAACTCCATTATCCCTAAAACTCTGGTTCTCCCGAACCATAGCCTTACCACCGGATGTAGTTTAAAGTCATTACCCATGACAAGTACGTGAAAGTTTGTTAAAGTACGTGAGCAGTGATCTGGAAAATATTATATTTATCTCACTTTTGCTGCTTTTATTTTTAATCTTTTTTCATAACACGTTAATGTACCTTTTCAATCTTCTTCTCCCCGAACAGCCAGAACTATCCCCTGCAATCTATGTATAATGATATGTATGTAATCTTTTCGTATTCGCCAGGGAACCGTGTTCCACGATTACATTTTACTGGTCTGGATGCACTATTTTTTTTTCATTTTTAAATTATTTATGCACGGTAGCCCCGTCAGTCATGACTGATTTTCAGGGGGCCGTGCCAAAAACTTTACAAATTAAAAAATCTACTAAAATTAATAGCGGGAAAAGGAAACTAATTACAATCATAAATAATTTATCTACAACTATTTACAATAAATTTACAACAAACCCTTTATCTTGTTCTTAAAAGAAGATAAAGAGGGAGCTTGCTTGGCCTCGCGGCTGAGATCATTCCAGATTTTTGCTCTTCGAAATGCGAACGCTTTCTGTCCATTACTAGTTTTCATGAATGGCACTAGCAAGTCAGTTTCGGCATTTCTAAGGTTGATAATATTGCGATCAGAATTTCTAACAAATAAATGCGAGAGATAATCATGCGCGAGACTATTAACAGATTTATATACAGTTGTTGCAGTCTCACTTCTGATCATATCCCTTACAGTTGGCCATCTTAACTCTGTAATCAAAGCTTCAGCAGGAGCATCGTAGCTGCTATTTGTAATAATTCTAGCGGCTCGATTCTGCAATTTTTGAAGCTTAACCAGTCGGAACTCTGCACAGCTCCCCCACACAGAACAGCAGTACCGAAAATGTGGCTCTACAATACCTCTATATAATTTGCAAAGTACATTTTTTGGAAATAGCTTTGAAAAAAGCAAACATTTAGTAAACTAAAGCTTTTCGTCTGACACTCTTCAGAGTTTAAAACGTCAGAACATAGATCGAAAACTCTACGCTAAGAAATATATATACCCAGTTGTGGAACGAAATAGGCCAATCAGAAACACGAGCACATGACTGTAAAGGTTGACCAATCAGTGCCGCTTGCCTATTAGAATGTTACCAATGGAGTCCTAAGGTGAAAACGAACTCTTTTTGTCTACACAGTAGCGGTTTTTTCGTGCTTATGTAGATAGATTCTAAAACTGCTAGGTGGAACGACGATCGGGCTTTACCAATAATCCGAAACATGTCGCCATTATAGTTTTTTGCACAAACTGGGTTTTCTAGCAAATGCTGCCCGATAGCAGAATCGCAGGTCTTATTAGTAATTTTGGATTTGCAAGACCGAGGTGGCTGTTCTCTTTGGGGATGTGTTTTGTTTCTAATATTAGATGAAACGTGTTGTTTTATCCTATCCTCCAATCTTTGGGTGGTGCGTCCTACGTAGCCAGAATCACACTGGCACGTGAATTCATACACAACAGAACTTTTTTTTGTGGCAGGAACGCAGTCCTTTTGAATGGACGGAAGGGCCTTTTTTGTACTGTAAACAACACGTGGGTTAACCGCGAAGAAACAATTTGTTATGGCCTGTTTTATTTGGCTTTCAAAACGTAGGGAGCTGTTACCGATCCAGGGTAGTTTTAGATAGACCGGGCACTTTTGAGGACCAAATTTTACGTCAGCCGAGAAATTTCCTATCTTCTCCTTAATGTAAACTGAAATAACATGTTCTGGATAGCCGTTCTCCAGAAAAATCTGAGTTAGTTTTTCAAGTTCCGAGTCGAGTTTAGACTTGGAACAAATCATCAGTGCCCTATGTGTGAGCGTTTTGATGAGGCTGATTTTTCTTTGTTTTGGGCAAAACGAACTCCATCGAGTGTATAACCCCGAAAATGTGGGTTTACGGTATACACTGGTGAAAATCCAGTGTCAGATTTTTCAACCAAAACATCAAGAAATGGCAAGGAGTTATTTTCTTCCTTTTCAAATGTAAAATGTAGGGCTGTGTGAAGACCATTAAGGCGTTTTAGGAAAATATCACACTCAGCCTCTGTTTTGAAAATAGTATATGTGTCATCCACATACCGAAAATAGACACCTGGCTTTTGGTCGCAGACAAACAAACGCTCTTCATGAAAGCCAACAAAGATATTGGCCAATGCAGGTCCCAGAGGGCTACCCATAGCGACACCATCCTTTTGTTGGTACATTTCATTGTTAAAGCTGAATTCTTTGCTGAATACATTTTTTGGCAAAAATTTCTTTGCATATTTTAAAAAACCTAACGAGCGGGAGACTTTGGCTTGAACAGATTTAATTTGCTCGTCCCACACGAGGTATTGGTCAACTTGGACACCAAGATACTTAATACTGTCGACGAGTTCTACAGGGGAATCATCGATAACGAATGCAGGTGAACCCACAGTGTTTTCACCAATCTTTTTCAGATTTGATCTAGATCCGATTACCATTGCCTGAGTCTTGATTACATTCAAAGACATGTATTTATTGCCCTGAAGCCATTCTTTCAAACATTTCAATTCGTTGTTGAGCGTTTCAGTTAGATCCTCAATGCTCTTAGAGGAATAGGATATGCTAGTATCGTCGGCGTACATCGTAACTTTGCAGTTTTTCAAGGCGAATGGCAGATCATTTATATAGATTAGGAAGAGTAGTGGACCTAAACAAGAACCTTGTGGAACACCACAGCTGATGCTTCCGATGTCAGATTCCACTCCATTAACCTTAGTGAATTGCTGCCTACTGCTAAGATATGATTTGAACCATTGAAGCTCAAGACCCTGAATTCCGTACTTAGATAGCTTTTGAATAAGTATGGCATGATCAACAGTATCAAAAGCCTTTTTCAAATCAATGAAAATATTTCCTGTAAATTTTCCACGCTCAATATTAATGTGCCAGTCATTAGTGCCAGAAAGCAAGCAAGTTACAGTGGAATGCAGAGCTCTAAAACCTGATTGGCCAGAATACAGAAGTTTATTTTTGTCTAGATAATCATATAGTTGGTTGTAAATCAATTTCTCAAAGAGTCTTGCCAGAAATGGGAGCACAGAAATCGGTCTATAATTGGAACGATTGTTTTTTTCTCCACTTTTAAAGATTGGTCTCCACTATCACTCCGTTAAGAAAATAATAAAAAAAATTTGCAATCTTTCATGTAAAAATGTCTTGTAATAAATGAAGTTAACGATTTGACAATAAACATAACGAAAGAAATATCTTTTGCATGAAAAAAATTCCTTCAAGGGTCAAAGATTTGTTATTTATTGAAACTGAATAGAATTTATCCCTGTAAGGGTGGAAATGAAAGTTTTGAAAAACTCTAATGCTTGCGTAGTTGATTCGTTAGGCCGCAATCTTTTTCGTTTATAATTCGTCATGTTTGTATCCACCGAATTCTTTGTGGTTGATGTATCCATCACTATCGAGGTCATCCTGTTTGAAAATATCTCTCAACAATGACGTCATTTTGTTGGGGTTGCCTTCGAGTTGTTCGTTACCCAAGTATCTTTTAACCTATGAAAAAGAGGTATGCGTGAATGGGAGGTCGTGATGAATAGGGTTTCCATTAATGGAAATATTGCTTCGCACGTGAATTTGAAACATCTTGCATCGACAAAGCTTTGTATTACTGATATATCAGCAGAGCACTGAAAAACGCAATCTTCATTAGCATTGTACCTCGTATTACTAGAAGCTTTCTGCAACCTACGTGCCACAGCTGGCCCAACGCAGTCACATGTACTGATGTGGTATTGACAAAAATTGAAAAAATATCAGACTTCCATGTAGCCTACTCGCCTTGCCAATATAGTTTGATCAAGTAAGGTGAAGCTGCTAGTACAAATGAAATAAATACTTTAATAACTTTAGTGTATCTTCCAGGGACGCGGGAACATGGGGCACACGAAGGCATTCCCACCTCATTACATTCGAAAAATTTAGGAGTTTTTCTATTTTGCTATTGTTGTGGCATTTATCTTGGCAGCCGCCCCCTTGCCCCAAAGCCCTTCCGGCGTCCCTGGTATCTTCAAAAGCGAGTACTGAGTAAAACTACTTATCTTGAATGGGAGACACATATAGATTTGTGAATAAAATTACTAGAGATTCAGTGGTGAACTGTTAAACCAGGTAACATTACCTCGTCGGGCGATAGAAGTCCATCATCGTTAACATCGATGGTTTTGAACAGGTTGGTCTTTCGTTTGAGAGCATCGGAGCTGAAATCAATAAGCTCTACTGTGAAATGGAAGGTAACTCGGGCTGGCACTGTGGAACCAAGCTGCCATTCTCCATAGGCATACTTGGGTGGTATCATCAGATGACGAATCTCTCCAATGCACATATCGGCCAGGCCATATTCAAAACCATTAATGACCATTGCCTCTCCAATCACAAATTCAAACGCATTCTTCCTCAGCCATCTACGATAAATAAATTTTATTCCAGGTCAGTTGTGGCGAAAAATAGATATTTATTTGCTAGGCAGGGCAAACGGCTTAGATTTTAATGAACCACTACCCCTAGATACAATCAAATATCACACAAAGAATCATCACCCCAGATACTGCAAAATTCTGACCAGAATTTGTTTTGACTAAATAAAATAGGTATATGCAGAAACAAGTAGTTTAACATGGCTGTGTATAGTTTGAAATCGTGGATATCGATATTAAGGATATAAAGATTCGATGCCCCATGTGTTGCAGGTTAGATAAGTTGATAGTTACTTTAGACAAAAGGTTTGCTCTTGCACGTGTTCGTTGCTAGGATACAGATTGCTGTAAGGTGTCAACTTATTGTACGTGGACAAAATTCGTCTGTTCTATGCATTTTTCATTCAGTCATTGAATTCGCTTTTAAACACTATTATATCACTTTTTGCAGATCTCCATCGTATCAACCATTCGCAAAATCATTGGCCCCCTTCTTAAAGAAGACTTCAGACAACATTATAGTGACTTCGGCTCCTTGCTGCAATTAGCTAGATTTGTGCCTATGGCAATTGCCTGATTCTGAACGTAGCTTATCATCTCAGCAAAAAGAGGATCCTCTTAGTCTCGCGAGCCCGTGAGTTACACATCTTCGGCCTGGGTCTAGAGTGACGTCAGACGTTTGCATCTAAGACAATTCATATATAAGCCATAATGATCTGTTTTGCAGTACTGCAAAGATCTATTCATTTCGATCAATTTTACCAATTTGACGAACGTTTTCAAAACAAATTTCGCAACTTTTTCCTTTAAAACAGCTTGTATTGAAAATTGCCTCTAAAAGCACTTAATGCCTTCAAGCCAAAAAAGGAACAAGTATTTGCAGTTTTGAATATATTTCTGATTTGCCACGTAGATTGAAAATAACCACGATCCACGTAGTTTCTTTCCCACAATCAGGCATTAGATTTGCAAAAAAATTACTCATATACCCTGCAATTTTATAAACAACGTTGAAATGACTTACGTGGATTCGATAAGTTTTCCATCAGGCATTGTAGCATTGAAGTGAACCTTGAGCCTGTCCCCTTTCTTCGTCCTTCTGTCACAATTATGCGCTTTCTTCAGCGTTGTAACAGCGATTCCGTCAAAATCCTTGTCTTTATCTGGATGCAAGACATAATCCACTGCAAGTGTGCTTGTGATGAAAACTAGTGCCAACGTGGTAGCTACTATATACATTGTGGAAGATGTTGTGTAGACTAAAGGTTTTACTTGTTGTAGGTTGAGACTGTGGTCCGTTGAACGAAAGGGACAGACTAAGGCGCTTGCACGATTTTAATACTAATAGCTCTGTACACGCGGAATATGCCACGTTTGAGCTTGTGAAGAGAATTTAGCATTTAATCAAGCCAATGACAATAAAGAAAACACCAATCTAGTCCATATTCTCCTTCAGGAAACTTTCATACCTTAGTGCCTGGCAACGTTTGTGCGCATAGTGTGTAACACGTGCACGCTACACTTTGTGAATGGAATGGGTTTGCTTCTGCTAGGCCTCGACATTCCACGCGCGCAGAACATAGTTGCTAGGAAACAAGTTGTCTGTCTACAGTCGTCTAGCGTAGTGTATCAGTTTAAGACACCTGTTGCATTGTACTGGGCTTCTAAGCGCTGCTGCGCAGTAGCAGAAAACAGGCCTAAACAGTTCGTTTAATCTGGCTATTTAACATATCTAGTTAGATAGAAGGTCTTATTTTAAATCAAGCTGTGAGTTTCTCTAAAATAGGACCACTTGGCTGAAATAAATAGCAACATTTGGGGAAATTTGAGTACAAATACATACTCCCATGTGAAAAGTGTTTTCCTGACGTTTTAAAGCAATTTTTCTGAATTTTGATGTCTTTCAAGTAGTAAACAAAACATCTTTTAAACCAAGCAATCGCTTTGAAGGCTGTAAGCTCTGGCGTACTTCACATTTTTTGGATCACACATGGTGTTTCTTCACTTAATGCAAATAAGATATGCTTTTTTATGTACGATATACAGTGTTTTCAATTTCAGATTTGGTATTTATTTGCTTGGGGATTCGAAATTCTTTGAAAAGATAATGGTGGGGAATTCACTGCTCACCAAGTTGCAGAAGTAGCCTCAGAGCAAACATTTAGCACATAGATATTTCAACAAAAAAGACAATTTTTTTAGAAATTCATAAGTATCCCTTAGAGAGGCTCTATTTTGTAATAATACTTTTAAAATTGAAGTGCAAGCTGCATTATATCAAAGATACTGATTTTTGTACAAAATAACAATGCTAAGTTTATGAACTCCAGTTTATGATGAACACAAAGAAACTCCAGTTTATGATTACAAACCTTCCTCGTTATAAAAACTTGATTTTTTGTGAGAGTAATCTTTCTACTGTGAATTTCATCGAAATACATGTTCGATTACCCTATTTACCAGTGTAGCATAAATTCAAAAGCAGAAATAAATAAACAGAGCAGAGATACGGAAGAGCACTTTGTTGAATAACAGGACAACAATGCTCCTCCGCTTCTCCGCTCCGCTCTTCCTTTCCAACATTAGAATTCTTCTGACTCTTTCACTCTGGTACCCAGGCTACTCCTTTTAAAGCTGAATGACTCGTTTTACAAATTCCGGAAAAGCAAATGGACACTAATATATGAATCAATGTTGTTTCTGAGAATTAGCTAATAGCAATTTTGATGGTTTCCGTTCCTACAAGTTTCAAAACCGTTGATTTTTGAATAATTCCCCTTGTGGAATATATATTGTTGAGGCCTTTTTGGATGTAGCTAATTCAAGGGAGCATGCCAATTACTCATTCTTAAAGCTCTCCCCCTTGTTCCAACTTTGTTAAGCGAAAAGACAGTTTCTGCTCCAACAAAAACATCGTGAAATCACTTCGTTCATCTAAATTTCTCTTTTTAATTATGCGATATACCACGAGGGAGGGGGCTAGAATTAGAATTGGTAGGGATTTGCGGTACGTCCCTAGAGTTCCTATTTTACGTATGCCAGAATTTACCCACGAGCTTTCTTTTTCAAACTCGTGATTCTAACTGTAGTATGAAAATTTGATAGAATCGTGATCTTTGCTTCGATTTCATAAACATAATTAGTTTTTAAGGAAAAGAACAAGTGATTGCCTGCAATTATTTGAATCTTCTTTTGTGAGAAAGTACAGCGCCCCCTCCTCCCCTCCCCCCAGCCTCAAGGCTCTCAAAATTTATACTTTGAGCCTAACATTATTCTTAAATTATTTTTAAGCGACACAAGATGTAACTGGGTTGTGTAATAGCGAGTATTATAGTGTTAGTAACTCATGGCCAGATACGTCTATTTCGAACTCAAGACATTGCCAAACTAAAAATTCAATTCTTGATCAAGCTTGAGCCTTGCATTATTTTTTAATTATAATCAAATTTAAGCTATCGATTGTCTTAATGTTCTTATAGACTATATTCTTTTAAAAAAGGTGTACGCATGAAATGAGAATGACATTCGTCCCTGACCTTCCAATACAGCTAATGCAGCCAGGGATGACGCACGTTTAAGCATTGTGAAACCAAAATGGCCAAAAAATGCAAATTACAGTAATTTGAAAGCTATAAACTTGTCAGAAGTATTGTTTAACGTCAAAATACTTGGCTCCGGATGCCTTTATGGGGAATAAGGTCTACCCGTCCGTGATCTAAGTAATGTTCAGTTCTCGGACTACAGGGAACGTGTAAAAATATCATTTATCTTTGTAGAATTTAAGGAAAAGTGGCTGTTTGAACGAGCTTATCTGTCCGCAACCTTGGAACGTTTCCAGCTGGTAGACCTATCCGCGTTTGCCCAAGTATCCGGCTTCTTTCTGGCTGGCTCTCTTGCTGTTTATTGTCTTGACTGCCTCTGGCGTTTTCACCGTTAAAACATGTTTGCTGCGAGAAGGACTTGCTGAAAAACTAACCAACTGCGTCAAAAAGGCTTCGATCAGAGAAATTATCGGTATGTTTTTCTATTTTACAATTTATGGTACAGTTAGAGTCGGGAATTTCTCAAAGAGTTTCAGTTTTCCTTGTGAAGTAAATTCTGTACGTTGATACGCAAGGGCCTTGCTTTTGGATGGGCCCATAGCTTCCACATGTATAATGGTCTGTGAGAAATTAACGGCTAGAACGTCAATTTTTAACCTTCTTGATAAAACACATTCAGGATACGATCTACTCTACGCTGTTTACCTTACGGAAACTACAAGAAAGGAATAAATCTAATTGTTTATCTACCTGCAACATCTTTTGAATTTACATGCACCATACTCAAATGTTTAGTTTGCGTGAGTTATGGAAATGTTTTTATTAACATACATTTCACAGTTCTGACCCCCAAGTAAGAAATTTTACGAATGACTTCGACATTTTTGCAATGAACAATGACAATTTAGAGCTAAGGGCTTATCCCCAAAATATTTCTCAAGATTGAGTTGCTAATTCGTCCAAAGACCACGCCCAATTTTTCTAACAAATTTGGGTGAACAAACTGCACTTCAAAGTCTCCTCAATGTAGTTAAGAGGAGAAAGAGGATACCCCGCAATGGCAAAAATCTCTTTAGAAAGGGCGTTTCCTGGCGTTCCAAAGGGTGTGGACCCTCGTTTTACTTCACTCAACTCGCATTGGCCCCCCCCCCCAATCTTACCATCCTAGCTACGCTACTGCCTTTCAAAGCTGCAGATCTAGCAGTTGGAATTGTAAGTAGTAGCAAGTCAGATATGCTTGCTATGGTACCAACACACAGTTTAAATTGAACAACAGGTACTCATATCATTTTAAACGAACACGAGTTCCTTTCATGCTTGTGTGTCAAAAATTCGGCACAAAAAGTCAGAAAGGCTTGCAACAGCCTCCTGAATAACAGTTCTGCGAACTGGCAGTGCTTATGCCTAAATTAAATGAAATATACGGGTCATATTGAATTTTTTTCAAAACTGGGCGTCTTTTCCAGTCGAACTTGGGTGGAACTCCATTCGAAGTTGCAACAAGTTCATGACAAATGCCGGTCTCAACTAAACTTTTTGTTTGAACACTCACCAACGTTTTATATTATGCAGATAATTTTCAGCGAATATTGTACTGTATTTCCGCTGTGTACGTGCAATTTCCTTCACTGGAGGCATGCTATATACATTCGAAAGACAGTTTCCGTCTAGGGTCGTTTCATATTTGGATTGTCTCCAAATTTCCTTTTAAAGCATAGTCAAGCCGGTGCGAGTACCGTATTTTTTCGATAGAAGCTGCGGCCTCCCTTTTTTCAACAGAAATGCAGCTTTTTAGTCCAGGACACAATGCATTTCTAGAATATTTGAATTTTTCTCATGCTCGTTCGAAAACTTGAACGTCGATTAGCAGTGTTGTGTTGCAAAAAGATTTTCCTCTACGTTCATTTCTTTCTTTTTAAATACTTGCAATGTCAAGAACGAGGAAGACAAAGTCTTTCCATTTCCAATTTAAACAAGCTTTCATTTGCTGAAACATACTCTGAAAAGGGGTGGTTTCTTGCGTCCAGATGGGAGTAGACCTCAAGTTTCCCCATACTAATTTTGCCTTTGCCCCCCCCCTCATTATACCACCCTGGCTACGCTACTGCTATGCGCATTAAAGATCACATATTTTGTTAAGGATGACATTTTTTTCCTCGGCTATACATTTTATCTTCAACAAAATATTTGTGACAATTGCAGGCAATGAGATGAAAAGTGAATGCAAAGTTAAAACAAAAGCAAGAGAAAATTGCTATTTCTCAAGGGGTAAGGGGATGATTGACTTTTCTGTCTTTATTGTACTACGGCATATGTTGAATTCTTGAAAGCACCCCGCACAACTTGATTGGCTAATGGCCAGCATCCCTTATGTACGTAACATGGTACGCAAGTTTCATCAAAAGACGTGCCACATTTCAAATAGGTCAGTCATTTTCGTCAATTCTCTGTTAATGTTTTTTGTTTTGTTTTTTATATTGATTGTGAAGGATTGTGGGTGTAATGTTGCTGAACACAATGTCTATTTTCCGATATTCTCATACTCCCACACAAATTTGCTTCCCCTTTCATTCGCGAGGTGTAACAACAGTAGAAGTTGCGGTTCCTCGTTTTGAATAGATTGCTTATCCAGTTTTTTTACCTAAACTGATAAATCTTTCGAGCCAAATAAAGCCAGACCTAATTATCAAAACTTCAGGTCATCTACGCGTTTAAACTTTAAGCGACGTCAATGTTTCTTTGTCCCTCTTCTTGATTTTTGAGCGAAGGGATGTTACAGTTAC